GCTGTCAACTGCGCCTATTCAAGCTGTTTTTAGGGGACGACCCGAACGGTGGTTTTCCTGTTGGTTTTCAGTTAAAACCACAAAAGCAGAGCGAACCCTCAAAAAAGACTCACCCAAACGGACAAATCAATTCGGCGAATGGCATTGTGGTGATTGGGGCTTAGGATTGAGCGCAGCACCCTCCAACGACTTCTTCGCAGCAAGGACCCCAAGGCTGTCCGAAAAAGCCGTCGTGTGGGGGTGGGGGGGGAGGGGGGGTTCGTTGGACGCAGAATGTTGCCCATCAGCATGCAGTAGTGCTTCAGGCTCAAATCGCAAGCTTGCCTTTGCCAGCAGCTTTTCTGAAGGACAATGAGGAGGCCCAAAGGGCAACACTCTTATACCAGGTATATTATATGTATGCATAGGTACATACATGGAGAGAGACTGTCATTCCTGAGACCCGTTGGTGGTCCAAAATCCACGGCTGACCATGCCTAGCAATCCCAAGCATTCTCTCTTGACCAAGGTCGAAAATGCTTGCTTCCCGGGAGCGAGTCCCACCCCATTCAACCATCGACTACTGCAGCATTCGATCGAACCTCAGATAGGGGTCCTTTTGGAAACATAGATGGCCCTGGTAAATGAAATAACACATCTAAACCAGCGCCAATGATTTTCAACCAAACTTAAAAAGGAACTATGGCCCTATAAGGACCCCGTCCCCCGAAACCTGTTTCCTCAGGGCTCGCGCATCTTCGCTCATCAGCTGCCCTCAGATTCTGCGAATGGGTCAACAAAATGAGGTTCGCCCCTTTTTGCGAGTCTCACTCAAATGACACCAAAGTGAGTTTTTGTTTGGGACAACTCTCTTGGAGCAAGGAAACTAGTGACTTGTAGCTGGGTGGAAAGCAAAAGGATGCTCGATTTGCCAACAGAACAAAAACAAATAGATCCTTAGCAAGCCACAACTCCCTTTTGAAACCCAGAATTACGTTTGAAGGGCAAAGAAAAGCTACAAAGCTGAAAACAAACAGTTTCCTCCACTCTCGAGTCGCTCCCAACAAAGAAGCTCAAGCGTCACAAAGGGCATGGTGCCAAGCCCGCATAGCCGGGAAAACCAACATGGCCATGCTGGCTTCCGTGAGGTGCTGGAGGCTGAAGTTTGAAGGACTCGGAGGTTGATCATACTGTGCGTGGACAAAATCCATTTCGCACCATCTGAGAAACTATGGGAAACCACAACGTGTGTTGGCAATTTTAGGGGAAGCATCATTCCAAGACTTAGGCGGCGCAGGGTTTCGTCCACAGTAGCACGTCTGTAGCCGTGCTTCCTCTTCGCCTGATGTTACCCCAGCCAAACTTGAGCTTGCAGCTTGGAGCAACTACGAAGTTGAACCATCATTCTCCAAAAAAAGGTTGCAAGGTTGTTGGTTACTGCTTTGCACCAGCCCAACTTAGAAAAAACATGCCCCCTCAACCCAATATGAGGTCAAGAAATTGCGTCTGTGATGACGACCCAATTAGATTTTGAAGTATCCCACAATGGCATTCGCCTGATACGCACAGAAGCAAGGCCCCCGGGCTCACAAATCAAGCCTCAAGCAGGCAGTTTCTTTTTACGTTAAGGGAGAAACACCGGCAGTGAGCCCTGGGAGCCTCCGCTGCCCCTAGCCACTGCTTGCAAAGCGAGAGACACAGTGACCCAAAATGCCCGTCTGCAACAAAGCAAGCCAAGCACGGGTGGGACGGCTTGGCGATGATACAAGCCACAGCGGTGACTCCTCGTCACACGTCACATTGCTACATACATATATTCTTCTTTTCAACAGCCTAGACACAGCCGCCATTCTGAACAGTCTCAAGTCCGAACGGGGAGACGGTCCCATGTTCTGAAGAGAGGGATCACACTAAGGAGAACCCAGACCTCCATTGGCCATGGGAAAGAGGGGGGCACCCGTTGTCATTGCCTTTTCAAGGGGTTTTCCCTCAGAGACGAGAATCTGGAAGAAGCAACCCACTGGAAATTTAAGAAACCCACTGGAGGTTTGTGAAATTTACTCCACAGTTTAGCATGGAACCCCAAATTTTTAGAATCGGAATCTCCTTTTCGGGCTCCAGGTCAATTTGTAGGGTATTCTCCGTTCACCACTTCCGGGCCGCTGAAACAGCTTGCCGGGCAGCTAGTGAGCCAAGGAATCCTCGGGAACTCCTCTGTCTCCGGCAAGCGACCCACCAAGTAGATCCTCAGCGCTCGTGGTTTGAGGCTCAGAAACCATTTTTGGGGTTATTTGAAGAAACACCCATGTGGCTATGATTTGTGTTTTGTTGAACTCCCTACAAGTAGTTGGTGGACATAAATCCCCTAAATGATATGAATCGGATGGGTCTTGAATCAAAGTCCTACCCACATGGATGTGCCCAAAAAATGTTGTTGGCTTCTGCTTACAAAGGGGGTTCCCACAAAACATGCGCGCCAGGGAAACCCACAGGGTCTTGCAAAAGGCTGGAGCCGGCATGCCGCTACGGGGTTGATATCTCAGGTTCCATATATGAGTGTATGGAATGTTGTCACCCTGACTCTGACTGCCAGAAACCAGACTGAGCCGGGCCTTCAAGTGAGAACGGAGCTTGCCCTTCTGATCTCAGCTACCTTCGAATTGTGGGAAAAAGATGGAAAAGCCATGCCCCGTAGTCCGAGGAAAGCCATACTTGCAGCCCCCCACCGAAATGAAAACAAATAGAAAGGCCAACAAGCCTGTGAAACTGAACTTTGCCCTGACTATCCGGGTGAAGCAACATCTCAGTGCACCTAGCACTTGTTTAACCAACGGAACCTCCAACAGGTTCGATCACGGCAACAAATACACCACGTTGTCAATCTGTCTTGAGGGCCGCTAGCTCGAGTGCCTCGAGTGCCTCGCATTACCATGCATCACCCAAGGCAGGCAAGTGCTCAGTTGAAATACTCTGCACTCCGTAAGCCGGACATTCACCTTCAAACAAAACCACCATAAGAAGCAGAGCCACGCGTGTCTCAGATGCTCTTGGATAAACGGATTTGCCATCATTTTCCAAGCTGCCATCAGGAGTCGCGGGCAAACATCATGTCAGTTTGCAAGAAGGAAGCTAAACATGGCCAAGCTTGTTCGGCGAGTTCGCCTGGTACCGCTGTGGTGTTGGTAGTTGCCGACGGCACCACGACACAACAAACACACACACACACAGTGTAAACGCACCACGCATTGAGCTCAATAGATCGAGACCAGCACAAAGACACGTCTCGCTTTGGCTCCAACAAACAAGGCAGCAACAACATACTACCACCACCACGCTTTTTACTTCTTACCTGCAAATGCTTGGCGAGGCACCTGTACTGCGTTACATGAGTGATCTCCTCTGGCAGCTGCCAGGAAAGCAAGCCACCGATCTCTGTAGCATCCAAGTCCTGCAATAACCGCTTGTGAGCTGTAGCTGTCATGTCACTTGCTCTGAAGGCGAGTTTCTTTTTTGTCCAAACATGGAAGTCCGTTTCAAGAGGCGGGATGGTAGTCTCTTCCAAAACCCGCCTGTCAACTTCCATGGTTGTTGGAAAGAAGGAAAAGGAGTTAAACATGTTCCAACCAAACACAGGTATGTTTGTAAATCGGTGCCCCTTTGGAGCACATGATTTAGCTGGGGAAGCCGTCTTCAGGGGGTTTCCTATGAACAAACACATAGCCACACGGTACGTCTCAATGGAACTTCCAGGCGCGCGCCGCTGCACCAAATCTGAAGCAAGGCAAGGGACAGGTTGTTGCCTCTTGCCCGAAAGGGGGGGGTGGTGACATGCATGTGTGCCATAGCTGTTGGATGCCAGGACTTACCTTGGGCCTATCCAACAATCGATGCCCTTCAAGTGAAAGCTGCGAGGGCAATGGCGCGATGACCCAATTGGCGGTGTTTCACATGGCTGGACACCGGTCATCCTTCATTCGCAGCTTCCAGGACTGCTTCATGGTCGGAGTTGATCACATTGGATGCCGTTTTGGTAAACTGCGAAGAAGTGGATTTGTAGATGTCAACAATGCCATGCCGTCTTGTTGATATCTGGCGCTAAACTGGTCACTTTGGAAATCGGTGGCGTGCAATTTGCTTGCTTAACCCATGCCATAGCAAACTACTGAGACCCGCTCAACTCCAATGGCGGTGACGTCCAAGAGAAGGTGAAGCTAACGTGACTGGAAAACCTTTTCCATTTGCACCTTGCAAGGTTCCCGAAAACCAATTGTATACCATCCGCAACCACAAGGCCCCAGATGGGCCCTTTCCTTTTGCACCTTACAGATTGCCCAAATCCAACCACTGGGCGACACTTTGCTTTTGCTCCTTTGAACGTTTGAAAGGGTTGCAAAAGAAGCCCTCGGATCCCATAACACATGGTTTTCTGTATCACGGGTCCTCCCAGGCTTGCTACTGCTACACTGAAACACCCTCGGAAACCTCCGCCCGAAAGGCCCTTGGCCAGGCCGAAAGGCGCGCCTCGTCTGGAAAGGACAGGTTGGCCACCGAAGCCGCGGTGTCACTGATCAGCACAGAGGCCGGCGTTGACTGGCGGACCAGCATCGACTTGGTGTAGACCACGAAGTAAGAGTGCCCGTTCCTTGGACCCGAATGCTGCAGCGCTTCAAAGCGGGTTCGACATGGTTCATGACGCATTTCCACATAATCCTGAAAGCAACACTGTGCGGAAGAATCCGTTTTAGAGTGACCTTCTTGGAACTGCTTCTTTGTTTGCCGGGAAGCTAGACCGCTAGATCTTTTGAAACTGATAGCCTTCCATGGTAGCAAACTCAGGCCAATGCAAATCGAATGATTCATTTGCGATCTGCCCACGAAAGGGCAAACATACTTGCAGCAAGTACGACCTCCTGCTACAGGTTCACGCAGTGTTCTTCTGACCATCGAAAGCCGAGTGTGACTTACTCCTTGTGCCAGTCACATCGACAAAGAACATGCACTCGGTGCATGTGCTCCCCAGGCTAGTGCAGCAATTGAGTGGGACAAGTAAGAGAGCACCAAAAGATGAAAAGTGTGGGGACCGAGTGCAGTCCACCTACAAACATGTGGCGCCAACTGACACAGCCAGTTGGACAACTCTTGTTCAGCCCCCTGATCGGCACTTTGGTGAGTCCCAGCGCGCCATAAATACCAAATCTGGGGGATTCACCGGCAGGGTTCCTGTTGTTCACGTGGATGCTGCACACGGAGGGAAGGGTGACACCCCGAACTTTTTGCGAAGTCGAGTCAAGTCTGAGGCACAAGTCACCGCAAGCAGCGTCTAGGGCGTCGTCCTCGTCACTGTGCACCAACTCGTCGCCTGCCTCCATTTCCCCATTCAACTCAGACAGGATGGAGCTTCGATCCAGAGAAAACTCACACAAGCCGGGCTTATCGTCATCGACACTAGCAGCCGCGGCAGACTCCGCGGCAGCAGCAGCAGCAGCAGCAACTGGAGGAGGGGTCTGTGAGTCCGTGCCGGCCGCGGTCGCGGTCGCGGCACTGGCAGTACCAAGGCCCTGGCGCGGGTTGTCGATGCGAGTGGTGAAGACCGGCACACAGTCTCCATTCCAATGCGTTATCCGCGCGAATGATGCGTTCAGATGTACCGTCGTGAAGCCAACATTGAGTTCCCGGTCGACGTATGTCATCTTCTCCACCATCTTTTGGTTGATTCCCCCATACGCTTTGGCCGTCGACGTGGCGCCGGAGACAACATGCGACAATCCATTCTCACGGTGGTACTGCAGCAAGTGCTCGTGCCCGCTGAGGTAGATGGAGACCCCTTGCTCCTGCAGTAACGACTCGAGACGGAAGCGGGTGCGGAGCAAGACCCCTTGGTGGCCGTGGTTCTTCCCTGCGGTGTACATCGGATGGTGCCCAAACACAATGCGCCATGAGCTTTCATCCTCTGGCACCGCGGCGAGCGACTCCTGAAGCTCCTGGAGATCTTGCGCCAGCTGTCGGTCGCCATTTGGAATCTCTGCGGAGAGTGACAGGGGGTTTGTGTCCAGCGCGTAGAGGCGCACGCTGCAGTCAGGGGTGGTGCTACTCACGTGGTGCACCGCATAGATGCGCCCCGGCATCTGCCAGTGTCCGCCTCGATTCAACTCGCTAGTGGTGTATGCAATCTGAGCTTCCGGATGCTTCGAGCCGTAGTCATGGTTCCCGAGCACGGCATACCATGGGCACTGGAAAGCGGGCTGGTTGTGGATGAAAGTGTTGTACCACGTCTCCGTGAATTGCTTGTCCCGCACCGAATTTACCCCAGATGGGTAGAAGTTGTCGCCTAACAGCAGGACGAATGCCGGCGTCTGCCCGTGATTCTGCTCTGCGACCCACCTCGCCATGGCGTCCCGGACACTCAGCAGCTTGCGATTGACGGAACCTGTATCGCCCAGGGCAAGGAAGACCATATCGAAGGCCTCATCCTGGGGCAGGCGGACGCCATGTTCGTGGACGACACCCACAGCGCGCCGAGGTGCGCTAGCGCTGCGCCGCTTTGGAGCCATCTGATAAGACTAACTTTTGGCTTTGTGCAGTAAGAACACCTATCCATCCTCCACAGATAGAAGGCCTTGGGGGAATGCTACGTATGTTGTCGCATTAAGATTTTTGCTCCGCTTAGGCAAGCCAAACTGTTAAGTCAAGTCCGCTTTTAGCAAGTAAGGATTCCAAAAGGTGACCAAAGAACGAAACAATAGAAACAACAACCGCCAACCATGAAAAGGGGTATATACCCAATTGTGCAACCGTTCACGGGGCCGAACAACAAAAAACTACTAAACCAACACTGAACCAATACAAAACAATACTAAGCACATGTGTTTTCCGTGCCCCACCCGTTGGTTCTTATACTATCCACCTGAACATTCCCCCAAATAGATACAAACGGTGAGGTCCCTTGGATAAGGTCACGCTTTCAGTTGCCCCATTGGCTCATCTTTTGAGCCCATGATGGCCAAAGCAAACTCTGCTGGTGGGTTGAAACGTCTACAACGGACAGCGCAAAGAATTGGTCGTCGGGCTATGCCTTACCCTTCATGGGCCCATGATTGTGTTAGAGCAAAGCCAGTACTAAGGCAGCGCAAAGCAATACTAGACCAATACTAAACCAATACCAATTAGGTTGGCTTGGTGTTGATGTTATTTCCTGTGCACTCATTCAATTTGTTTGTTCAGCCAGGCAGCCAAGGCGTTGCGACCAGCACTGAGTTGGTGCCTGCAAGCTGAGCGTCAAGCTTCAGAAGGTGCATATGGGCGTCTCGTCTTGAGTACCCCCGTTTGGACCGGGTTTAAAAGTAAACCGAAAGGAAAATCACACCCCTCATTGGGGGTTCACCAAAAAGACGCAACCGTATGGTTGTGCGGAGCACCAAGCGCTTGTGAGGACCAAGTACCGCTTCAGTGGGTTGGTGTTCTGGCCATTCCGAATTGCTCGGAACATTCCAAATCAGCAAAGCAAGGTCACCTGTCCGAAGAAACACAGACAAATGATCGAGATGCTTTTGCTGGCAGACCGTCTTGGGCTGATCTTTCAAGGACATCTGCAATGTGCGGGAAAGGGAAATACCCTAGTCACAACAAATTCTGGACGCATGAGGTCTACCCCAAATCATGTAAAGAATGACAAGAATCCAAAGGGCGAATATCCGAGCCTATTTCTGGCTGGGACTGCCCATCAACCTTCAAGCCTGGGACATCAATGGCAACGTCATTGAATTCTCCATGAAGGCTGATAGGGACTTGTCTCAAAATTATGGGAACCCCCCAAGTAGTTCCCCCCCTTTGGTCAGTAGCAACTCATTGAATCGCAGCAAGCACAAAGCGCTAAGCCACACGGAAACAGGTTGCTCAACTAATGGCCTGCAGAAAGGATTGGCATAATACATGTCTTTGCGCATATCATGCAGGTATAACAATGATATGTGTGTCAATATATATATATATATATACATATATATATATATGTATATATATATGTGTAAACATATATATATATATAATATGTCTTGTTTTCATCGATATAGACATTTCAATTGCTGTGCTAAGCTCACACGTCCCCGCCTCGGGCCACGTCCTCACCCAATTGCTCCAGCTCGGTTCCTTCAGAAGTGGCCTTGGAATCAGCCGCTCCCAACTCCGGCGCATCTTTTTGGGGGAACTTTGGTTTACAGTTGAGGGGTTCTCGGGGTTAGTGGGTTTATGGTGAAAGATCCTTGAACCCCCTTGTCGTGCATCTTGTTTCGGCGCATCTTTCTCTTCGCGCTTCCCTTTTTTGGAGGGGAGCCCCCCTCTGGGGTTGGTTCTTAGAGTCAACCATTTTGGGGTCCTCTCATTTTAAGTGGAAGGCAGGGCAAACCCAGCATTCATGATAGCCTCTATAACTTGCCAAAAGAAACAAGTCTTGCGACCAGCAGAAACCTGCTGAGCAATAATTGTTGCCTCTCAAAACATGCAAAATGTGGAAGTTATTCCATGTGCCATAGCCGCGGCAGTGCTGGTGGTCATGTGGTCAAGGAACAGTATATAGATCGGGGGGTCCATTACCCCAATCCAATGTCCAATCAATCTACAGAGCTAATGAGCTGCTGTCTTCCAAGGACACGTCGTCAAGTCTGGACCTTTGGATTCAAATATCTTCAAACCCAGCCAGCATTGCGCAATGCTGCGTGGCTACAGCCAAACACGGAAAAGACAACTCCAACAAACCCTATACAAGCTTTCCGAAGCATACATTTCTCCTGAACAAGTAAGTTAAGGGTCAATGAATTAACCAACCAGCTGCACAGAATAATGGCTTCAGCTGGCTTCACCAGGCATTCCAGGCCTGTGACTGCCATAGCGGTCTCTGGTCACGCTCTCTCCCTCTCTCTGTCTCTCTCTCTGTCTCTCTCTCTCTCTCTCTCTCTCTCTCTGTCTCTCTCTTTCTTTCTCTCCTCCACCCCACTCTGCGCTCATACCACCCTCATCCAAGCAGCGCTGAAGAAGATCTGATACGCCTGCATTGCCCCGCACGCAGGAATCGTGCTAAGAACACCTTCCGAGCGATATGATCCCAGTGCCGATGAAGCAAAGGAGGTGCCTTCGGCTCGAGGTATGACATGTTAATCCAAGGTTGGCGCAAACCCGGATATGACTTGCCTGAGATTGGTGCATGCTTGACTGACTGCCTTCCTCCAAACGACTAACTCCGCGACAAGCTTCAAAACCTCAAAGAATCAACTTGAACACGTGGTCGAGCCCCGACAACCGTAGGAAAAAGTAAGAACCAACTGTGCTGCGTCTAAGCAGATTGCACAGAGTTGCACAGCGCTTACTTCACCGCTGCAAACATGCAGTCTATTTGGCGCTGCAATCTATGCCATGCACCCTGTCTCAAAATGCAGAGTCAAATTGCAAGGCGAGGGTTGCTAGATGTTCTGCGATGTCCGCTCCGTGCTGCAGTGTCTGGACAACTCATCATAGTTGTCATGAGGGAGCCTATGCAAGGAGCCTTCATCAGGTTCTTCACATCGCAAGCAACAGCAACTTTGAGTTCGCCGTGTCATTTGCCCAGTATGCAGTGAGCCACTTCGAAAGAGAAAGCCAAGGGCTGAAGAGCCCAACGGGTTGCTTGGCCATGAAGCCGCGAAGCCCTCCAAAGCTAAACCAGCCAAGGCGGCTCGAAATGGCCCAGCTATCAGGCCGTTGGATTTTTGTGGCTTTGTTGTGGAAGACTAAAAGACAACCAAGCATCTTAGACTGGCCGCTCACCCCCCCCACCCACCCCTACCCCCAGCAAATCCCCTGACCATCTGCCTGCACGCGGTCTGGCACCCTCGGGGGCGTCCATGAAAAGTCGCCGCCCAGCTCGTTTGCGTCCAGGTCCAGGTCAGTGAACCTCACGCCTTCGAACCAAAATTTGCTTCGAAGGGGGGGGGGGGGATCGGACTATCAACCCATGGGGGGGATGTTTTTGGGGGGGTGTACCATTTGGTGACTGGGATGCAAACCGCCTTCAGACACCAGACAAAAAGAAAAGAAAAAAAAACAACATCGGAGCACAATCCGTATGGAACACGCTTGTTTACCCTTTGGCTTGGGTCATCTTTCTCTAGCTTGGAGCCCTGACTTTCAAAGGGGGCAAGGACTAAGGTGATCTATGACACGAGCCTTTGAGGGGAAACATAGGAAACCCCTGCCGTGTCCGTTTTGAACAATAGGTGGCACTGGCAAACCTTGGTTGACGTTGGAAGGGGAGCAAAAATTTAAGTTTTGGCAGCTAAGTGGGGATTTCCCACTATTAAGCAAAAAAAGGAAAAGGTTTCCCAACAACAAAAGCACGTATGAGAACGTATGACTCCGTTCTTGGCAGAGACTTGCTGTGGTTCATGGCAAACAAAAAGAGCCGCATTTGGAGGATATCATATTTCTTGACGGGGACACAGTTGCAGCGGCCATAGGAAGATAAAGGAGCCTTTTTGACGATGCTCAGCAAGGAAGCGACTGGATCAAGAAGGGAGAAACCGTGCCGCTGAGCAAATGGTCCATGCTGCTGGTCGCACAGCTTATGAGCCCACTGGGAGTTTGGCGGTTGGGCGATGCTGGGTGCCCTGTCAAGGAGAACGGCGAAGCCTTTTCCGAGCGGAGTTGTTCAACCACTTCTGAGGATAAGGCCATCTAGCTGCCTCTTGACTCGTTCTCCATGGAAGAATTATGTTGCTTACTGGTGTTGCACCAGAGCATTGGTGCACTTTCGGCGTGTGTCCTTCAGGTTGCCCTTTGGAAAGGGTGGTGTTGCCTCCTGAAAGCAAAGTGATAGAAAAAACTGTCCGAGATACAATCCACTTCTCACCAGTTGGGATGGATGAAAATCCATGAGTACTCGCATAAACCACCAAGACGAATAAAACCCCATGAACACGAGAATCACCACCAATCATGGACACCTGGGATCCTTATTCTTCCGGACTGGATGCCTCGAGCTGGATGCGTCAGGTGACGTTTGTCGGCATCCTTGGGGCGTTCACATTAAAGGAACCAGACATCGGTACTTTCAGGAACAAACATCGGCTTGTCTCCTGGCTTCCCTCACGCGTACAGCTCGGGGGGAAAACGAGGCGACATGTTCCTTGGATACTTTCACCTAGAAGGCGGTCTCTGTCGAGGACAGCCGTCGCCACGCAAATTTTTGCATGCCCCATGGAAACAGACGGGCTGAACAATCAAACTCTGACATGCGCAAACTTCAGTGGGCATCCTAGAGATAGCATCTGTCAATGTTCCTGAGCAGCCCTGCCTCCCCACTTTTCCTCCAGACCTACAGAGATAGCTCAGCACTCTTCTGGTTCGTTGTGATGGCATCACTCAATGCTCCCGCCGCTCAGAAAAAGAAAAGGTCAACTGCACCAGCAAGACTTAAAACTCTCCGTGCTTGCCCTGACCTGGCAAAGTGATTTGAAGTATCTCCAGGTAAACTTGTCCTGTAGATTTGTGACACATGCACTGTTGCAAACTTACCTGGTCTTGGGGGTTCAGGGTCTCTGGACAATCTCTGGACAACTCAGGAAGTTAGGAAGGTGGAAAAAACACTGTTAACATGGAAACCCCTCATCCATCCAACCCAACCCAACCCCCCCCCCCCGCCTGTGACGCTTGCCTCCGCGTCGAAGAACTCCACCACCGACGGGGTGCGGTGCTCTACGGTCTCCGAGGTGCTGTGAATGAAGAGGTGGCTCGTGCCCTCGGCACGCGGCATGCGTCACAGGGTCACGAGTTGTCTTGGTGTGTTTGTTCAATTGCTGCTTTCCTAAGGGGCGAACGGCGAATCCACGTTCATCCACCCTACATCAAACAAACAAAACACAAGAAAGGAATCTTGATCGTGCCGCACACCCTCTTCCATGACTTTGAGACACGGCTGTCAAAATAGATCATACTCCAAATGTGCTCCACAACCTCTCCAAACGGGTGCATTTGCGTTGATCGTTTCACATCCCCACCTGACTGGGTTGTTCAAAATGAGGGGGGGCCCTCATCTCCTAAACCAAACTCCGCATTGGGACATCACCATAAGTGAAACCACTACCCGCCACAGGGATCTTGTCTTGCGATTGATCTGGGCAAACTATGACAAAGAATCACCCAAACATATTCATGCGTGACGTTGCAAGCCCCTGCAATGTGTCGTCGATATTAAAAAAGGAAAAAGTTGGCCGAACATCGACATGAATAAACTCGCACCGGACTTGGGGCCAATGCTCATGCCCTTCATTGGTATCGATCGGATCGCCTCAAGGGACTTACTTTCCAATGGGAGGGGTTTCGAAGACCATCAGCTGACACCAAATGACCATGGGTCAAAATCCCGTACTTCAGTGAACATCCCAATCCCCACTAACATAGGTTCTAAAATGGGTAGTGCACCTACCCCAAAATGGGATCCCATTGGTTTTGACCCACAGCCAAATCTCAAAGACCTGTCCACTTGCAGAACCGGAGCGAGACTGAAACACATGTCTCTCTCGCATCGGGCACCCTCCAAGCCCCACTGAGAGCCTGGCGTTGGTTGCAGTGTCTGGCGGAACCTGATAGGCCATGACCAAAGGTCGAGCGCTCAGACCCCCAAGTGGAAAAACAAACCTGGTACTCTTTCTTTTGGGGTAGTTGAGTTTCAGGGGACACCTCTCAAACAAAAGTTGAAAAAGGAAAGAAACCTAGTGGGGGTCTGGGTCAAGAAGGCAGTGCACCGTGCTCAACATGTAGCACAACTAGCTGCCCCTTTTCAGAGGAAAGACCACCTCTACTCGCCCCAATCGGGTTTGAGCCTTAGCATAAATTCCCAGGCTGTGCACCGGAGGGAAATGCAAGCAAAAGGACATGGCGAATCTGCACGTGTGAGGAAGAGCAATGAAAGCAAGCGGCGCTGCTAGCGCCAGCCAAGAAATTTGGGCAGCAGGACAGGCAGTTATCTTTTGATTGCCCGTGCCACCCAAACCGCTTTTCAACTACTTCTCCTTTGCCAGGTGGCCCAGCCAAACGAAAGGGGAAACTTCCGGGTGCCACTGAGCAAGTCGGTTTGAGAACAAGCATTGCCCAAGGTCAAAGCAGGTTGCGAGTTCTATCAGCAGAATGACTCTTTAGTTCTTTCCATTCGAGATCGCAAGTAAGGCCCAAAACAAATGGGAAACAGTTTGATCAAGGCAAAATCATCCGGATGGACTGTGAGAATTGAGTCCTCTTTCCACTAGCCAAACCCTTGTACTCGAAACGGAGCAATGGATTGGGTAGCTCTCAAATGATTTGAATTCATAGCATTCCATTCCACCTGCCCCTTACCCAGCCACCCCGTGGTTCTCTCCCAAAGGCCTTCTTTTGGGAAAACTGGGGAGGTGGGGGGAGGTGGGGGGGGGGGGCGTGGATCCTATGACCAGAAAGCAAGCATGGAGCCCAAACGGGCTCCTGGCTCCAAAGGAGTCTGCTCCGATGGCTTTTTGGGTTCCACGTCAATAACTTCGAATGGAAGTAAGGGCAATCTAAGGATCCCTTGTCTTTCAAATGCGGAACCCGGTTTTTTCGACGCCTCCCACCCCCAAACGGGGATGAACAAACGGCGAGTTGGGCCGCGGCACGACAAACGTCAGCTGGTCGCTGGGCACGGACGTCAACAAGCTATCGTGCAGCGTCAAGTTCTGGTCATCCAGGTAACCCAAGTAGATCCTGAGGCCAAGGAGAAGAGACATCAAGCTGCGAAGGACTGAACCATTGCCAAAGGAACAAGTCTGTTTACACAGATCTGCGAATCAAATGAGTTGCCACGTTCATGTTATATTTTGGAATTCACATGCAGGGCTACTTTTTGTGTTGATTCTCCTAAGAAAGACTCAAATCCGTGGGGATTCGCTTAGGAAGGCAACTCCTGGATTTAAGTCAACTTGGGGAAAGCAAACAGTAGAATATTGGCTTAAAGAGTCATAGCTCCAATGCAATAGCTCGTGCAGTTAAAACCACTCGCGAGTACAAAGGCATCTCTGATATTGTTGCTCCCATGACCTGAAAACTCAGATCCCCCTTTGGGCATCAGAATCTGAAACTGCGGGTCTTCAAGCACCAAAACCTTGCTTTGGACCATACATATGACAAGTGGCATATGCAAGTAATGGCTCCAGCAGCAGCACAAAATGGGCCAGTTTTTGTCAAACACATAACACCTCGGACATCATATTTTGCCTGTGAAAGTTTCAAACAAGGGTCACTCTGACATTTCAACCCGGGTTTCAACTCGCCGGTGTCTGATGCCAGCCTGGAATTCGCCTAGGAGTGGATCACCTTGCCCCCAGCGTGTACCCCGATGTTCCTCTCTGGGAAAGTCGCCCGAAAGAATCGAATGGCCCCCTCTGAACCTGCATTTGCCTGGCATCGCCTCCGGGCTTCAAAAGTATCCTGGCCCGCCATCTTGCCAAACCGAAAGTCGGCAAGTCGTGGCGTTTAACGCGTCTTGCGGCTGCTAGCTGTATCTTGCTGCACCAAGTTGGGTTTCCAGTATCATGTCAATGGCTTTCCGCCTCCCCAAGTTTCAATAGTTGTGAGGCAGAGTGCCTACAAATCCGAGGCACTGGTAGCTGACGATCTCACCCATGACCTGACGGGCATCAGCTGCACATTCGGACCGTGGCCTTGTTTACGAAATCATTGCAAGCCCAATTCCACCCAAGGGTACTGTGTGCATTCGTGCATTCATGTCATCTAGCTCGAAGGTAAGGAGGGACTGAACAAGAGCGTAGCCCTGTTGAGCGAGGCAAATGTGAGACGCAGAAGATAAACAAGTTCATTTCAAGGGGAATTCCTGCTTCCCAGGCGAGACAGGCAACGAAATCAAAACATCAGAGCTGCTTCAGGAAGCCTCAGGACACTTCCTCTGCTATTCGCGGCAGAACAGGCAGGCTAAGTCACTGTCCTTCGGTTTGATGGAAGTAAAACCACGCACCACTCTTCACTACAGGACCCTTCAGTCTAGAATCAAGCCACAAGTGAATGGAAATAATACAACTTAGCGCTCAGTCAGAATTGCGGCATCTCAGAGACTGCTCAGTGCCGTCTGGCATACATAGACAAACAGCGTGACTTACGGGTAGTTCCTTGGCTGCGCGCCACATGTTGCAGTCATTGCTGTATTTGTTGCGGTGTGGCATGAATGTCACGCATGTCTTTGCCTGGCGAAGGCTCGTTGGGCAGGCTTCTTCAATGCAATAGTTTTGGCTGGAACACTCGGGCAAATCATTGCTGTTCTCCAAACCACAAGCTTAGTTTTGATGTTGTTAATGCTGCCGCGACATATCGACTCTTTAAAGTGACATGATGCTGTCCTCAGATTCATGTTCACCGGATCGAGCACAAGTATTCTCCTGAAGCCAAGAACGCACCACACTAGCAAACAGGAACCCTTCATAGTCACATATTGGATTGGCACCTACCTGAGGGCTCAACCACGTATCCCTGGAGAAGATCCCCTAATTCCACCAATCTGAGACAAACAAAACCGCTAGACTCCATTGGATTTTCCGGTTGGCGGATCATCCGCTTCTTTTTCGTGCCTGTGGGGCCGACCAGGTCAGCGTGCCGCCGAGCTCCTCCTGAGCCAAGCTTTGAGCTACAATGGACAAACGGCCGAGAGTTGGAAAGGTCGGATTGTTTTAGCCTTTGGCCCTCAAACCAGAGTGACTTGTTTGATTCTGGTCCATATTGAGCTAATCGCTGGGTTCTTGCCAGTGGCAACCGGCGTGATTATGATGATAGTTATGAAGAAAAAGAAGAAGAGGACAATGACAATGGCAATGACGAAGACAATGACGATGACGATGATGATGACGATGACGATGATGATGATGATGCTGCTGATGATGATGCCAACTCAAAAGGGAACTCGTTGATTGGCCATAACCCAGTGGCAACCAGTGACCCAACAGGTAGATGTCTGATCGAAGTTGACAAACAAAGCAGGGATGCTTTGAATACATACGTATTCTTCTAACAAATGAGCATAGCATTTTGCATGTTATCCCTCAGGGTCATACCCCCCGCCAATGCAGATGGACCCGTTGATGGATATGGGAATTCTGTCCACCCGTTTGGAGGGTGCACCAAAAACAATTGGGACCTGCAAAAACACGTTTGATTCATTTGGCTTTCCCTGCCAAAGCAGCCGCAGGGCCAAATTTCAGCAACCACCTAATATGATTCTCAGGTTGGTTTGGGGGCACTCGTGAATATCACCCAAGTATGCCTCTTCAGGTTTCGCTCGCTTCGGGCGGTCAACGCACTCCTCGTCGAGGTCATAGTCCGAGAAGGTTAAGCCCAGCACCCGGAACAGCTCGGAGGCCTGTCGAAAGGAGTCGGTTTGGGCGAAAGATCTCCGCGCGGCCCCACAGGCGCCCCCTGTTCTCTGCGGCAAAGGCGTCTCTCGGTTCCTTTGCCTCGATTATGGGTCTGTCTGGCTGGTTGATTTAAGTTGGTTTTGTTTGATTCGCGAGGTTTGTTGGTTCTGTTAGCTTTTCTTTTGGAATATGGTATTGTTTTCAGTTGTCCTGTCTTGCCCTGCCATGTCCATTCCTTTGTGGATTTTGTATCAATGTTTATGTTGGCTCCTTGTCTTTATGCTTTTGAGCAAGCATGCTATGTCGGGAGGCCTCATTCGCCGGCTCCGGAAGAAGCTCCTTTGGCCCATCCTATCCCCAAGCACCGCAGACCTCCAGGTCGCAGCGGATACAATGAAACCACACATTTTGAAGGCTCGCCTATTTTGTGACAAAGCCAAATGAATGCCTTCAACTTGGGCGGATTTCTGGAATTTCCACCAGCTGCAGCATCTTACTGCCCATCCGCTGCGAAAAACACAGGTGCTTACACGGTTGTCTTGTTTGTTGGCACTCCCATCCAACCGCTCGCCTCAACCAAGCTGAGAGCTACTGGTGTGCTCTGCTCCACAAGGACGGACTTGGTATAGACCAGGAAGTAGCTGAAGTTGCCCTCTGTGCCTGCAACGCTTGCATTGGCTCAGGATGGATGGGACAAAAGGGGCAGATGGATGCGGTTTTTGGTAGCTGAGTTTGAAGGGAAACCCTCTTCACAAAGGGGAAACGGGGCCGAGAGTGGAAGGGCAGGAAAGCTGTACTCGGTTGGTGTAAAACCTCGGACCATGGGGTGTGCGATCAACCACCCAATGTTAATTTAATGTTAACTTAATGTTAATAATTAATCATATTCTTTGTGGCAGTACAACTAGCCCTCGTTGTGATCAACTCAGCCAGCACGATTGCACTAAATGCCGGTAGGAACTCAACCAGTTGACCTGTCGAGCTTCAGGCTTGCTGCACCATCCTTTCGTCCGACCCGACACCACCAACAACGCTCCCTGAAGAAAGCCCGTGCCTTCCGGAATGACTATCTCGTTGGTGCCTCGGAGCGATTCGCACGCAGTCTGCTAAGAATTCTTGAGAGAGGCTCCACCCCTATGGAGTCTGGTGTCACTGGCCCAAGAATGGCAAGCCGTCAAACTGTTTGCGCCCTAAATCATGGAATCCCCACAATGCCAGCAAAGGAACTGGGGGAATCACACAAACGCTTCTCCAGCAGCTCCGCTTGACAGCCAATGAGGATATGGCGCGTGGAACTGCGGCTCGGCTTCCAGTTCGTCTGTGTAATCTTGGTTGCTGTTGACCCCCCTGCAAAAAGTTTAACTTCTTGGGAGTTTAGTGGAAAACACCCCTTGATTTCCCCAAAAAGTTAAAGTCTAAAGATCCAACCCAGTAATTAATTAGCAGTCAAGTTAGCCGCTTGAACTCCCCAAGCCCAAAATTCCCATCTCGCGGATTTTTCGGCGGGGCTGCCCACTGGCGTGATGATGTCGTACTCCAGGGAGTCCGAGACATCCGCATCGCTGGAGCTCAGCGGATCAAAGGAGGCGTTGCCCGGCAGCGTCTGGTATCTGATCCTCGGATGTGAGTCACCTGAGTGCCTAACTTTTGGTGGGGGGATAGACACATTTGGACATGATGTATCCCTATTGTCTTCATTTGAAGCAAGTTCAAATAGGATATTTAGAACCCAGTCACAAATCCGTTTCTTTTAAACTAATCCCCAACCCCGGGTCTCTTGGCTCGGAATAAATTTAGGGCTGTCAACATGGGTCTCCAAGTACTTGATCGAAAGTACCAAGGGACCCTGAGGCTATGGAACTTTGATCGAAGCGATCGTTTTACGCCTGGAGCTCGCAATCAGTTCAGGCTGGCGCATTTGGGTGGAAGCCCGAACGATGCTTTTCTATTAGACTGTTTAGAAGTGCAGCGGACAATACTTGGACCCTCATATATATGGAACAAATTATCGTGTACTGATTATTTGCTTGTTTCAGCGGAAATTCACGCATATGCTCGGATGTGTAACTTGATATGATTGCATGTTTCAGCCAGGCCTGCTGGAAAAGCGTTGCGAATACTGCTAGGATATCCGTGGGAAATACTCCGAAATCTGTGGGAAACCCACAAAATCCAGGAGACAATATATGGAAGCACCAAAATTGTGGTCCTAAGACTTTGTGGCTGGGAATCATCACAAAAAGGTATTGGACATTGGTGCTTGCAGCAGAAATAAAGAACTCTGACGGGCATGAACCCTTGTTCTGCTCGGCAAAATGCGGGTATTTGTTCCATAGGAGTGGTATCCAGGCATATTTGGGACTTTTTGTCATTGTCTCATGTCAAAGACGTTCAAGATAAGATCCAAGCGGCAACGCTCCGTGAGCGTTCATGTCGTTCGAGAAGCGGGGGTATAACAACAACCTCCCCCCCCGCCCCTTGTCGAAGGGAAAAGGTCGAAGGATGCAATGATTGTTCAACTACTTCCTCTCCGTCCAGTCGCGGAGGATGCCACCATGCCGAGTCTCCAAACCCTGCCGCCACCCATTGTGGTGTAGGACAAGTACACCACGTAACCCTGCACGCTGGAGACCTCAGTCGCATCTATGCGGGGCAGAGACGAAATTGGCCGAAGAAGGTCAGCGGTTCTTCTTGTCTACCACTGCCATCAATGGCAAGCTCCTGTTTGGCACATTCCGTGGACCATCAGCTTGGGCTGAACTTTGGGGTGTCTACGAGGTCCCAGATGTTGTCTTTTCGTTTTAATCACAACTAGCTAAGCGTCTGGAACCAGCCAACTTGGTAAAACTCTCAAACTTGCTAGCCAACGAGTGAGCTGGCTAAATTGACTCACACACGGCTGCACTGTGCCTTCACCCTGGAGCACAGCACACACTGCCAGTTCACGGGGAGCACGTGCCAAACTATGGCCTTAAGAGTTTAGATATTCTGAAACGTCACTCCTGCCTATTGGACCTTGGGCCATACGGGCCCACGAGTCGCAAGTCTTGGTTTCCCTCTGCGTCGCCCTACCATGTGCCAGCGCATCCCATTCTGCCAACAAGACGCGACACATAGTGCGAACTAAGCAGGTGTGATTTGGGCAAGCGTCGTGCATCATGACGTGAGCTCGGCACCCTGACAGCCAACCCTTCGTTGCTCCTTGGCGACACCAGTGCATAGGGACCCTCCTCGGTCAGCCTGCTTCAACAGGGTGCACTTCCCCATTCGATGACAGGCATCTCACCTGAAAACAGCCCAACTGGTGATGTGTCGAACCGCCACAAGGGCACACCAGGTGGTGCCGGATGTTGTCCATCCACAGTGTGGTTAGGTCTGATTCAAGAGTTCCGACAAAGATCCCTATTTATGAACTGGGAACCGATTTCATATCAAACCAAAAGACTAAAACCAAATAACGGGAACCCCGGATACATCCACCCACCCTTTTGGGGGTGTCGGAGAAAAAAAACTGTCGCACCCATCGGCTTAAGGACCCAGCGCTCGCAGGCGGCGACCAGCTCAGGTTGCCCCCCAGGTCATCCTCGATTCGAACAGGCGAGTCCCTTGCTCCACATTTGAGCCGTGTTTTTTTTAATGGTGTGGGGCCTATACACTGGAAGCACATACCTACGCGGAGGCTACGCGGCTGTCTTTCCCCTAGGAATTTGGCTACGCGGAGGCTACGCGGAACATATTTGTTGATAAGTGGCTACGCGGGGGGCTACGCCGGGGCTACGCGAATACTCGTCGGCAACCGGAAGTTCGTAGTAGCAGAAGAAGTAGTAGTAGTAGTAGTAGTAGTAGTAGAAGTAGTACTAGTACTAGTACTACTACTACTTCTTCTACTACTACTACTACTACTAGTACTAGTACTAGCACTAGTAGTAATAGTAGTAGAAGTATTAGTAGCAGGAGCAGTGGTAGTAGTAGTGGTAGTGGTAGCAGCAGTAGTAGTGGTAGTGGTAGTGGTAGTGGTAGTGGTAGCAGTAGTAGCAGTAGTAGTACTAGTAGTAGTAGTAGCAGTAGTAGTAGTAGTAGTAGTAGTAGCAGTAGTAGTAGTAATGGTAACAGTAGTAGTAGGAGGCATGTGGGCCAGTGGCCTTGAACACGCCTTGGAGGCTACGCGGAGGCTACGCGCAGGCTACGCTGAGGCTACGCGGAATGAGCGAACTCAGCTCTAGCTGGGCCAAGGCAAATCAAATTCACCCTCTTTCTCTGAGACACGCAAGCTTTCAACCTAAGCCTTGAGCTCAAGACAAAGGATCTAGGCGGAGGCTACGCGGACGATTGTCGACAGCACCCTTTGCTAGTGGCTACGCGGAGGCTACGCGAGGCTACGCGGTCCCAGGAGTAGGCTACGCGGCTACCATGCCAGTTCCCCTCTCCTTTTGGCTCCTGCATTTTAAAAAAAACGCTGCTCATTTGGCTGTGGGTCAAAAATGTGTCACCCAAATGGAACCCTGGTAAATGGGAACAAGGACTAACATCTGCGGTCAAGTGATCGTTAAAAACGGAAAGTGCCTGGACCTGTAGGGATTTCTCAACACACAAGAATGACTAATATATGTCAATGGGAAGTTCGCCACTTCGCAAGTTTGAGGCAACCCAGAATGACATTGATCTCGCAGCGGTGAAGCTCACTGCAAGACATGTGGCCACGGGTCAAAATCCAGATCGTACCCCCAGTAAACATCCCAATCCCCGCTAAAATAGGTTCTAAAATGGGTGGTGCACCTACCCACCAAAATGATACCATTGGTTTTGACAACCACGGCCATGTAAGCTTCCCATGAGCATTAAAAAAATCATTTTGTGCCAAAGAAACAAACGCGGCTCCCAAACAAACCAAAGGCTGCGCGTGGCTGCGAACTGGCCGAGGCGCGAGGTTCAAATCCGGCCCCACGAAACTCACGTTGTCCACGCTTGCTTCCTCATCAGAGATCCTGCCACCAAAACTGCGAGCTTGGTGCCAATGTGGGGATGAAGACCATCCAACAAAACAACACTTGTTCATTTTACCCAAGCATGCCAGAAGTTTTACCGTCAGCATCCTAGCTGGATTGTCATCTGTCACAAAGGGAAATGAACCTGACCCTTTTGGTGTCCATTTAAAGCCAAGCACATGTGTTGCATCTGCGTAGTGATGCAAATTGTGGCAAGCAAAACACTAGGAACTCGGCTGAATGTTGAACAGAGAGCAGCCAAGGGGAACAAAAGCAACCAAGGTTTGCCCGATCTTCTTGCAATAGACAGGAGGCCTCCTTGGGATAATCTTTCCATTTCGAAGGCTTGCGCGTGCCCTGTTCTCATCACTTTCTCGGCTTCGCCAATGGACCTTGTCCCAAAAAAGGCCATCCTGAACGCGGGGGGGGGGGGGGTTGAGGGTACCCTATTGAGTCGCAAACAACTAAAGAAACAACATGATTTGGAGGGTGCCATAGGTGCCCTAGTTTAAGGCACACCCATATTTCGAACCAAGCTAATAAAACACTTTACTTGTCTATGGCTCAGAACCGTGTTCGGACCTGAGGCCCTGTTTTACCTAGCTCCTTTTTCTCCACCCCTCTATCAATCGGCCCCAACCCCATGCGACTGTGGATGGATGAAATCCTGCACCACTTTAAAACCATGGGAAGACATTGTTTACTGGTAATTATGTACAGGAGAATCAGTGGTGCGAAATGGATTTTGTCCGTCCACTGTAGCAATGCTTCTCCTGTGTGCGGTGGGCGTGCTGGACTCCTGCAAGGACGACCTGGCAAAAGCTCTTTCCAGCGGGGGGAGGGGCACTGGGCTGCATCCGTCCCTGGGCTGCCCGTTTGCGCAAAGTGACTCACTTTTAGTGGGTGAAATGGCAACTACCACTAAACACTGAAAGGCTAAAAAGCTAAGGAACCGGATGGCTGGGAGCCACCAAGGTCCTAATCCGGGATCCGCAGTGAAAGTGCACTACAACGAGGAACACCAAGAATTTGATGGAGGTTGAGCAACCAATGCTCAAGATTCCTTGCGTAAAGCCTGTTTGGACGGAAGGATCTCATGGATTGCGATCCAAATGATCATTGGCTTAGAGCTGGCTCCCTTCTAGTTTAGAGACATACGTACCTGGATGGGAGCTCATGCTTTGAAAGCAACCACCGAGCAGCTGATTTCCAAGTCCCAACCGATGACTGTCATAAGTCTGCCACAACGATCCTCGCAAAGGTATGTACCTGCATTTCAAAACTGAGGAAGAGAGATCTATAGAACAAAACAGCGACATGTGTTGGCCCGAGCCCAAAACACGTTCACATCCTTCTCCGGAAACCAAACCCCTCGTGCACCCTCCCCACCATTCTACACGTTGGTCCATGCATCTGCTTGACACAAATCCCTCTGTGTGGGTAGGCAAAACGGATGACCAGAATGGGGAGATTGTGCCATCTACTCTTGCCAAAGTGTAACACACATGTGCCACCACCTGAGATCATGGGCCATGACATTCGAAACTAAAGCGGAGTCTCAGGGTCGCTCACGTAAAGCAGAGTAGAACCAGTGTCATCCAAAGACCCCGAGGGTAGAGAGTTGGCTGCAAAAGGAAAACCAGAAGACCCAACTCCGATTCCCTACCCTTGTGGTTTTGTCAGTTGAGCTTTGGAGCAACCCTGCTTGGAAAGAGAGTACGCATGGCCCGCGGAATCCCAAGTGAGCTCTCAGAAATGATGAGGAACGCCACTCCCCCAACCAATGTTCACATGCTGTGTGTGAAAAATAGGTACCCAAAACGGAACCCTGGTAAATAGAACCAATCACCGATCACCGTCATTTGATATTGACCCATACCCACATGGAAGACCCAACATCCCCTGCAAAAACATATTTCCAGTGATGAAGCCACCCCCCGAAAAGGGTCTCGAGCCTCCAAACGAGCCACACCCATTTCCTTTTCGAGGCTCACCGGGACCAAACCCGCGCCTGGCGTAGACCAGGAAGTGTGTCCAGCCGGAGGTGGGCGTCTCCGCCGGCAGCGCCCTGTCGCCATTCTGGGGCCAAAGTCTGTCTACACTACTGGGCTGTCCGTTTTCAGATCCCCCACTAAAAGTGACTGACTTTTGGTGGGTTATATAAGTGCAAATCCAACCACTGAACACTAAAAGGCTAAAAAGCTAAGGGGATGGCTGGGAGCCATCAAGATTATGCTTTTGGATTGTGTGTTTTGCTGATCCTGACTAAACAATCATTCTATGATTCTCATGCCTTGATTTGATGTCGAAGTATCCCACAACCTGATTCTGATTATTAAGGCCGCTATAGCACTGGCAGAAACAAGGTTCTGAAATCTGGGACATGTCCAGGTGGATTTGCATGATTCTCTGTCAAAGCTGTCATTTTGGGAAACACTCATGCAAACTGGGCGTAGGCCAACATCTCTGCAACACAGGGTTTGTGCAACTCCCAACATGCATCGGGGGCTGCGCAAAGGCCCCGCCCGTCGTTTGCAATCCGTCTGCTCTTTCTTTTGAGTAGCCAAGTCCTTCCAAATGTCCAATTGCAAATGTACAAGGTCACTAAGGCAACCGTAGGATAATCCATTATTGATTTGCCGCCTTAGAACAAACAAAACCAAACTTTATCAAACACACTGAAGCCCATTTTCCCAGCTGGGAAGTGGACATGGCTGAAAAGGGCAGCAAGCTGCAAGCATAAATTTGGATACGCTTGCAGGGCTTGTGCACATGTGCATGTGAGGTCAGCTTGTACATTGTATGTATGCCTGCTTACATCAGGGTTCAACATGATTCAATGCTGGACACTCATGCCCTTGACTTACCAGGGGTCACGAAACGGTGCTGAAAAAGGGCATCGTTTGCACCATCCACTGCGAAAGACTCGCCTTCGAATTGGACCAAAATATGTTGGAGCAAGCAGCCATCCAAGCATTCCAACGAGTGCCGGGGATGCAACAAAGCTCCTCATATACAAGGAGATTCCTCTTGGAATGGCCCGCCTAAATGCCGAATGGTCCAGTATGACAGGTGGCTGGTTGCTTTCTGGTCGAGGGCCCAAAAAAAAAGGAGAAAAGGACACCGAGAAAGGAAACAACAACAACAACAAAAAACAGGGTCCCGTATTCCCTTCGGATGCTTTCGACGCGGACTCGACGCCCAGGCCAGGTGTTGGAAGACGCAGGCACCGAGCCCAAGACCAAGCGGCACCTAGGGGTTCCCAGGGAAGAAAAGGGGCACTCTGCTTCTTAGTGCATTGGTCTTAAAGGGATGGCAACAAGCAAAAGGAGCAAAAAGGGTGCCACTGAGTGTCTGGGTGGTTTAAAGATCTCTCTTTGTCTTAGGTTCTGCTTTTTGAGACACACAAATATACATTTGTTTCAGCTGTTGAAGTGGACAAGAGTCCTTCTCGCTCTCTCTCTCTCTCTCTCTGTATCGCTAGTGGGTAAGCTCACTCTGCGAGCACTACGCTATTGGGTGCGGCCACTCAGTGGTGGCTATTGACGGATCCCAACAAGACGGTTGCAAACTCCAACTCCTCTTCAAAAGAATGCTAGTCTTCCAAGACCATCCGGCCCACTGTTGGGGTAGTTGAATGGGCGCGAAGACGCTCGATCTACCTGGATCTACCTGGAATCGCCAACAAACATTCCATGATAGGCGATGTGCCCGCATAGCTTGATGGTCGCGGACAGTCTCGAAGACTCCATGTTCAAGCGGGAAAGGGAATGACAAAGTCCATTGTAGGGGTGCCTTTCAGCTTCACGCTCCACCCGCTTTTGGGCTGAGTCAGGTAATTACAAATCAAAGTCAACTCAACTGCACTGCTTTTAGCCACGTGCCTCATGATTCTGCGCTCAGGCTTCAACACAATGCTCAAATATCCAAGTTGCGCTGCACATCTGCATGCAAGCACTTCGAATGTTTTAGCGATTGAAGGTACTTCATTACAAGCCTGGAGCTTCATTACAAGCCACAGAATGGTCAACCTGGCCCTTTGAAAACCGCAAATGTTCTTTGCCTTTTACCATCTGACAGCCATGCACCAAAGAAGCCTGCGTAGGCCCAGCGTAGTAGAGTATTAAGTCCGACCACAACAGCACCCTTTCGGCAAAACCATCAGACATTCATCCGGACTGGGCAGCTGAATCTGAGCATATATGAAACTGCGGGTAGGTACAACGAAAAACCTAGTTTGCTAAGTGAGCCACTCGGATGGATCCCTTTTCACCCAGTCCCACTTCCCCCGAAAAAGAGAATGCATCGAGCCCTGTGAATTTCTACAGGGGAAAACATCTTGCCCTTTGGTTTGTTGACTCCGGGAACCCCCTTCCACAAACAGGAGAAAATCTGAAGCAACCTGTCGAGCCGGGTTTCGGAACCCCGAAAAAAACACCTCACTGAGCGCCGTGCCAGCTCAAATCAGTGCCAGGGTCCTTAGGGTCGTGCTTTGTCGGCCTCTACTAAACCGAAGCAAAACGCGAAACAACCCGTGCCATCTCACTTCGTGTTCATCTTGTGCTTGGAGTGTGCAAAGGACTTGCCAGGATTGCAGCTCCCAACCACACCAAAAAGAAGCCCTCAGGCCATTGGAAGATGGCCTAGCCAAGTGAAGAGGCAAATAGGTCTCCCGCTGCGATGTGACTCGTAGCGGCGCCGGGTTAGGGGAAAAGGGACGTGCCACTCAGGATAGAATGAAACAACTATTCTTGGCCCACATCTAGGAGCTACAAAAAAAATACATACGACAATGACTCTGTCGCATTGTTGTCTCTTTCACAGGCATGAACACTTGAGTCATGATCAAACCTGATATTAAATTGTCTACCCACAACTATGTGAATAATGAACAAGGCGGCCGCACTTATGGCTGGGACTATCCCTAACCTTCACCTAACCGGACTTTGAGTGTGGCTCACGTGAGGCAAGTGTGCCGATGGTTCATGTGACACCGATGTCAGATATCATGGGAATGTGCCAAAAGTGGGGTGCCTCTCGACGTGGTTTCTGGGTCGAGTCCAGGGGAGTAAGCCGTCACCGAACCCCGAATGGAAAAGGACGCGGGTCAGACGCTCTTGCAGACTTGGGGGGGGTGCTTGGAAGCCGTCGACAAACAACATCCACATGGCATGAACCTGATGAATATCCATATGGGTCTGAATTTGAACAAGGGACCCTTTGGCGGACATCATTTGGGTGGGGATTCATGTCCCGATCACTTTTGAGGCAGTTCCCTGTTAAAATCCATGGACATAGAAAAAAAGCTGCCCGCGCGTCTGAGGCCCGGGCGGAGCTCGAGTTGCTGTCGCTCTCCCAGCCTCGAGAAGTCGAGAAGGCACGCACGAGGCGCTGGGGTTTGGATCCAACGTGGCCAAAAGTGATGCTTAGAAGCAGCGCCGTGTCTTTGTCGGAACCCCCGCTCTGCTTTTGCGGCAAAATATGCGAAGCAATAAAGAACACATGAAACAAATCCATGTCAAAAGGTTGGTTTTTGCCTCATGAAGTCGCCAGTCTTCTCTTTGACAATTGCGGCCGGATTCAGGTCAAAAAGAAAAGGGGCATGGATCGCAAAAGGATGCACCAAACCTTAAACCGGCCAGAAGCTTGTGGCCGGTGATGGCCGTTCGACAGAAACCGGTGTCTGCCGAACCAAGGCCCTTGGCGACATGAGGTTCAGTGTCCCCCTATTATTTGCTGGGAGAAACCTGGCGTTGCGCACCTCCGTCCGCTTGATGGGTGTGCGCCCTCTTTCCATCCGGTTCAAGCTTTCAGTCCAGCCCGGGTTGAGCGCTAGCTGGACACCCAAACATGTTCATAGGGACCTTCAGCCGGCACCCTCCCAACTGCTTTTTGGAAAGCACTTGGGGTTTTGGACCTAACAGAAAACACATCCGTTGTGGGTGCGAGTCGGCGACTCTGCGAGTCTCTAAGGCCTCGGCTCCATACGTAGGGCGCCAGGCTGAGGCTTGAGGTATTCCCCTGGCGTGGCTTCCGTCGAGCTTCCGCCATGGCCGTCTGGTGGGAAGCCGGAACCCCTCCACATAAAGGGGGAGATTCCTGTCACAGAACTGGGGATAAACCCCTAGAATCCACAAACCCTGGGTGACACCCTACCAATAGGACGAGCTTGATAATATATCCGGGGAATCCCCAGTACTCACAGACTGGAAAGGAATCCCCAATGAAGGGGCCATGGCTGAAATTCGCTCGTTTTACCCTGTGAGCTCGTGATGCCCAGAACCACACTTTTTTAGCGGTGCAAAGGAAAAACAAAGTTATTTTGAGGCTTTTCCTGTTTCGAGTCACGCCCACATTCTGTTTAGCGAACGGCAGGCCATGAAACTGATTCCCCGCAGTGGTGCCTGTTAAGGTATCCTTAAAGCAAAGAAAGAAAGGCAATGCTGCAATGGCCGTTTGCTTACAGGAGTCACTGGGCGTAAAAGAGCGCTAAGCATGTTGCCAAAGGAAACAAATATCACTCGATGACACATGTGCTGCATGGCTTACATGCGTGCAAATACCTCATGTGCCTGGATACGTCCCATCAGCTATCGCAAAGTTGGTGTTGGCCGACTTCAAAGAAATGCGTTGAACACATGAAATGATTCCAGGCAAAATGATGCTCAAGTGCTTCGACATGACTATGTTTGCAGTAAACAATTGAACCAAACAGTAAGCTGAGAGCACTCCTCAGTGCAGAACGAGAATGCATGCATAGAATCAGCCTTCAGAGTGAAACAGCAATGGGCTCGCAGCTGCACACGAATCTAAGTGCAGATTTGCAAACTTTGCATGCGGGGGGGGGGGGGGGGGAGGGGCGGGCATTTTTGGACATGTCCAATTCGTCCTTCCTTATACTCACAAGCCGAGAGCAAAACTCAAGCATAAAGGTTTGCTTCAACTTTTGAGCGATGTTCAAGATTACACTGTTAGGCGTGACTCCAGACTCAAAGCCACCGGTAAACCCCGCGATAGGCTGCCGCTCTGTTGATCGAGACCGCTGGAAGAGGCCTCGTCGCTGTCTTCGCCGTAGAGGTGGCCATCACAAGTCTCAGAAGGGCTCAGCACTTTGGCGACGTAAAGGTCGTAGTACTGAACCAAACCTTGGCTTCCCGGGCAAAATTGACGACCAGACCCTGGTGACCCTTAAAAGCAAAAAGGAGGCTGAGCAATAGGTGCTTCGGTGGGGCTCAAACCAGGATTCCTTACCCCCCCTGCAAGGGAAACTTGGCTTTTTATCCCTTGATAGTGGGTGTATATACCTGACTTTTCAGGGTTAGTGGTTTGAGGGTAGTGGAAACCATCTCTGAGACCATTTATCATCAGTATGTGCTGTGGTTATGGCATTATGTGTCGGTGCGCGGTGTGCGGTGGAATGTGCGACGGTGTATGGCAGCATGTTCTGTGAAAGCACAAATGCCTATCGCAAAACCGAAAGCTGATACGTATATCTCAAGCGCTCCAGGAGGTGCAAAGGAGTTCCAACCTGCACGCAGCATTACAGCACCTTGTCAGAGCTTGTTCTTCCCCGCCGGATTGGGGTGTGGAACAGCCTTGCAGCTCGCTCCAACATTGACACGTCGCCTGCGCCGCAGTTTTGGCCGGGCCGTGGCTCTCAGAAGCAGCACTGAGTCACCACAGGCCGAGCTGGGTCCCAACAGAGCCGGAATCAGATCGCAGAACACGGTCGAAAGGCGCGCCTGTGTTGCGTTGGTTTGGGGACGGGTGGAGTATAAGTGCTGATTGGAATACGGAACACTTTCAACTTTCACCTTCCAGGACTCCAGGAAAACATGGGGGAGGGTATCTTCTTGAGGGTATTGGCGGTTTGGTGACTTGAAGGGGAACAATAGGGGTATGTGTGGGGTATCTTGACACAAGTTTCCTGTCAAATGCCACATTGCACAAACTCTGAGCCCAATCCCCCCCCCCCACCCCCTTCAAGCCTAGAGACTCAACACAATGGGCCTAAACAGCACCGATTTTTCCGCATTTGGATAAACCCCCTAGGGTTGCCTTCACACCCCTCCATTTGCTTAAGTCCTCCGGGCAAATAGAATTCCCAAATAGGCTTAAGCACATGGAAGCCTGAGACACACGCACACACACACACACACCACAGCTTACAGTTGGCTGTCCACTGTCCGGGCCCTGAGCCGGTGAGTGTCCTTCGCATCGCCCCTTTGCTACAGGCAAATTTTGACGAGTGCTCAACCAAAAAGAAGCCTTCGCCATATGTACATATATATATATATATATCCCTTTTGCACAGATGGCTTCTCTTTAAACAAGCCCCGAAAACTGAAAGAGGATGCCAAGTCGGGCCGCCCTCCTCTGCGTTGGTCCACTGCAGGTCACCCCCCAGCTCGGACGCGTCGAGGTCCAGGTCCCGGAATTGGAGTTGCTGCACCACCGAGGACCTAAGGCGCCCGAGATGGAAACCCAACAAGTGTCCCCAAAACAGGCCAAATAACTCTCAACAAAACCATTTGATATCCTTTGGGTGGACATGGTGTGTTCATCGAACTCTGAGGAACTGCACTTGCAGGGAGCGCGTCAATCGATTTGAAGACCTACCCCCAACATGGTCGAGCCTAGGAAGAAACGAAGGCAGAAACAGTCTTGCCCCTGTTGACTGGTTATTAGGGAAGGGGGATCGAACACAAAACGCTGGTAATTCGGTGAAAATTGGTCTGAACACAAGCAAACCAAAAGCCATCTCCTTGTGGTGTTGTGCTGAGTCGTGGCTTGTCGAGCCGGGAATTCACCGGCTTGCCGCTGCCTGGTGCATGGAATCTGATGCTGGCTTCGTTTCATCCTCTGGCACGCTTCATGGGCGGCCCAAGTGAGGCATCCAAAAAGCACCCCACAAATGCTCCACGCACCTAGAAGCCAACATGGTGGCTACGGGTCGCTCAGAGAAATGAAATATCTATGTGTCCATCTATATATATATATGTATGTATAGTTATACGTGTTTATCTAGTTGTTTACTTATTCATGTATTTACTTGTTGTAGTTCGTAGATATGTGCTTAATAGTTAATTGTCTTACAGATTTGTTTATGGCCTATTTGTTTATCTATGGTTATGTTTATACATATATGCGTATAGATTTGCCGTTCAATATATATGTATATATGTATATGTATAGTATATTTCTGCATCTCTCTCTCTCTCTCTCTCTCGCTCTCGCGATATATGTATATTGAATACAATCAGCAGCTCCGCGCTCTTCAACCTCAACCGTCCGAGTGCTGGAACAGGTCTGAAACGTGTCTGGACGCAGTGTGGGACGTGGGTGATATATATATATATATATGTGCACAAATGACATACATACATATATATGCGTATGTCAATCCTTCGATGACAGTGTGGTTACTTGTGTCTGCTTGGTGCATGCGCATGATTGTATTGTTGGATGTGTGTCTTGTCTTATTGCATGATCACATCGCATGATCGCATTGCGCGGGCACCATCTTAGCTTCCCGAGATTCTGCGACCCCAAAGGCTCCAAAAGTGTCAAGCCCCGCGCGGATATGTGTCGTCAGCATACAACAAGGGTGCTTTTCTTTTGGCTCCCTTTCAACCAACCCAAAGGCTCTGCAACAGGCACACAAAGCTACTTCCATTTGCTTAAGCCCCCTCAGAAGAATGAACATATATCCAAAGGGTAATAGATTCCCTTGAAAACCAACAATGTAAGAAAGGAAAACTCAAACTCTTAACTTCCATTTGGTTGAGACCCCTGTAAAAATCAAACATATTTCACGTGATAGGTTCCCTTTAAAACCAACAGCGGGAAGTACCAAATATTCTTAAGCGAATGGAAGGCTAGGTCAATTTTCGCTCAGCGCGAGCGGCGTGTCGTTCAAGAGCAGGGCCGCGGGCGTGCTTTGCTCGGCCAGCGAGGACCTGCAGCTGCAGCGCGGCGCCAACCAAGGTGAGTGTCATTTGTTTGGGGGTGAAGAATCCTTTATCGGAGATAAGAGTGTTAAAGGGAAAACTGCAAAGGAACACTACCAGTTACCGTTTTATTTGGTTTCGGTGCGGTACGAGTGATTTTTTGAGGTTAAAAGTGTCGGTTCTTTTTTGGGTGAAGAGTGATTTAAAGGAAAAATAGAAAGGAACCCTTCCATTTTGGGAGAGAGCTTCTTCTTATACTGCGCTGTTCAAAATGGCTAATCCGATTTTCCATAATCTCTGCTCGACTACCACTACAAAGCGGACCCCTTGCGAAACGGATTGAGGATTGCCTCTGAACAGCCCAGTTACAGGGAAATTAAAAGGAATACCACTTACCATTTGTGGAGTCCCCTATTTTGGCACAAATCGGGGGTGGGGTTGTGAAAGTGGGTAGGTGTGAAAGTGGGGATGTAGATCCCCACACTGATGGCTTTGCTTTTGGATTCGCTTGACACCAACCTGGAAAGGGCACCCTCAAAAACACAAGTATTAATACGTATTTAGATTGGAACAACGAGTGGATAGTTTGATAGAAGTGATCGGGTTCAACAAGTACTGTGCGTATCCGATTGGATAGGACTATTCAAGCCTAGGTAACTGTTTCAAGTATAGGTGCCTAGGGAACTGTTTTGGCCGGCAAGGCACTGAGCCAATCCCGCCTACTGATGGCTCGTGGGTCGCTGCCCAAACTGTGATGAGGGCTAAAGTAATGCGCCACAAGGCGCGAAATGTCACATGCGACCTTCTATTAGCGGTTTTGATAGAAGCTTCCCAAAAGAATGTGCTGCTGCTCTCCCCCTGAAACAGCGGAAGCCAACGGCTTCTTGATTTAGGCCCAGACAGACTTGACACTGCCAGGATCCCATGCCACCGATGCATCTGCCGTTCGAACCAAAGATAAAGCTCCGGCTGAGCGGGCTGTTTCAATAGCTATGCCTCTAGAAACTGAGACATGTGTCAAGATGTGCCTCATGGTGGTTGTCCTCCGAACCAACCCCAAAAGGGTACCCTCAAGAATCCAATACCCATTGAGCGTGTGCTTCAGGTTTTCGCACATGCATTGTGCGATTTGGGCAGCAAGTGGCTAATCCTCCACCATAGCTTTGAGGAGGGGACCCCCCCTTCAATAAACGCACTGAGAAAAGGACCAACTTACCCTCCCCTCTCCCTGGGCCCAAGACTACTGAACGAGACAACGCCTGGTGTAGACCGCAAGGTGGGTGAAGTCGCGGATCCAAGTATTGGCGGCAATGCTTCTGTCTGCCTCAAGCCCCAGCGTGGTCCATCCAAGACCCAGACCCAAGAGGTTGGCAAAGGAGGCCATTCAGTGGTGTGTAGTTTAAGGGTACCCTTTTCTGGTTGTTGTATATACATGGGGAAACGAACAGGACAATCCTCGGTGTCATCCTAGTTTGACACATACCCTCCCCCAGGCTGACGTGGAAGCTCCCGGAACCCCTTTGGAAGACTTGGTTTACGGCCTTCTGGGAGCTTCCATGTTGGCCTGAGGGAGTGTACCCATCTGCATGTTGGTCGCTCGGTTGAAAAAGTAGTGTCCTCTTCTCGACTTATGGGAACCAAACAATACCTGATGACGAAACCTCAGCACAAGGATTCTGAAAGGGTGGGCTCGTTTTACCCAGGCAAACTCCCCGCATGATTTGCGGCAGCTTCTGCCCAAGGACCCTGACTCCTGGTCAATCCATGATGATTGGATAGTGTGCAGCATCCGGACAACCCCGTGTTCAATCCCTTCAAACATGCCCCACTGTTGCTTAAACAACCTACTGTTGGTTCCCGCAAAGCCCAATCCCAGAATATCACGTATCGGGTACATCAAACATGATATTTTCAGATTCAAATGCAAAATGTCATCGGAGGAGACAGCAAGTGTTCCAAACTGTTCCAAATCAGGGACCGCATGCCCGTCAAAGGTAGCAATAGCGCAGCACCCCGATCCCTGGCTCTTTCTACCAACTGCCAACAAATTTACAAAAGAGCAAAGCAGCTAAATAGGCCGTTCCACTTTCGGTCGGTCACGAAACGATGGATTATGCCTTGGGATGTGCAGGAGTTTTGGGCGAATTCAACCAGCAGCCCACTGGCACATTTGTGCTTGAGAGCGGTGAGCAACAATTGGTTGTCTGCCTACGAGGCGAAGTTCCCGAACCACGCACGTTGTCTTTCTTGGGCCCCTCCCAAGAAAAAAGAAGTGCATGTTCCTTTGGTTTCCCTTTTTGATACAGGTACCACCATAAAAAGACAACCCCGTTTGCAATGCGCGAAAGAAACATGTCTGCAAGTGCAGTGAGTGTGACACAAATCTTACCTCAAGCCACAAAATCTCCCGTATGGCGAGTTCACACTGGAGACATGGCATCAGTCCCCACCCAAGGGATGCCAAATTTCATGAGGAGGGAATTGCGTTGGCAACCTCAACTTGAAAAGGGCTTTTATTTGGCGAAATGTAGGAAGAAGGGGTTATGTATTGAAGGTACCACTGGAAAAGTGCACCTTCCACACATCACTTCGGGTGCGTCGTACCCCCTCGCAGGCAGTGCCCACACCCAGTCTCCCGACCAAGTGAACCCCTCAGATTGGCGAAAACAAACTCCCATGGTTTTGCCTGTTTTACATGGTTCCCGATGTCTCCCTTGAAACATCCCCCCCACCCAAAGGAATGTTACATTGAACTGGTCCAGGAGGTGATGTGTCAAGCCATATTGGAAAACCAGAGTTTTCGACTGGTCAAAGCAAGTGTCCCTTCTAACATGCCTTGAAATGGAGACTGCGCAAAACATGTTTGCCGAAGCAGGCGTTTGCTGTGACCGGCTCCTGCATGGTGAGAACGCAAACCAGTTGAGAAGTCGCTATAACTTGGCCAAATGAATCTCTTGGGCAACGCACAGCTGTCACTTCAGCGTGCGGCGGCAATATCGCATCATATATATGATACGATATGATATGTGTGCGTCTGTTTTGGGTGCTGCTTAAAAGGCAAACCGAAGGGAAACCGGAGCCCATTGTGGCTCTAAAACTCTCAATTGGCAACAAGTTGTTCCTTGATGTTAAACCCTCTCACGTCACCCCTTGCTCGCCCGCTTGACCGGAGGCTCCTTCGAACCATTGGTGTCACGCCGCTTCCAATTTGTGTCCGTCTCACAATAGGAAAACGGGGTTCGCTGTCCTTTTCGGTTCCTTTTAAACCAGCCCCAACAGCTCGTAACAATGGCCATTGGGCATGGCAAGGCCATGTGTCACCAACAAGGGGAAGCTTTGCGACAAAGGCTCGTCCAAAAAGAGTACCAACGCGAAAAACGATAGACCCATTCCAAGGCGTCCCACCCCGACCCTAAAGTTGGCCAAGTTGCGGCGTCGACCTGACGGACTGGGGGCCGGGCCCCTGTCTCTCACGGCAAATGACAAATGCTCAAAAGCAACAGCAACATCTTTGCTCAATCTCCAGGAGTTCAGGATGTTACCTTGAGTTTCCAAAAATATCATCTAGGATTTTGTATTTTGGCAAAGTTCGAAGAACTCAGACAACAAGAATGTAAAGCGCCTCAAAAACCATGTAAGCAAAGCTTAGGCTCTCATCATTCCCCACCCAACAAGTAGGCAAGAATTATAGTTGCCCTGGCCACCCACAGCAGTGGCGCAAACTGCCATGGCCTCGCAAAACAGTGGCAAAGTCTGATGTAAAGGGTTTTCATGTGTTGGAAAAATCATCATCATGGTATCCTGATCCTGATGGTATGGCGTCGACATCTCTTCCACTCATGCAGACGTGGAGACACCCCTTTGGGCAGCCAAGCAAACCCCAGCCATACACACCTCTTGCGCCAAAGCTGCTGTCTCCTGGCCGATCTGCATCTGAGATACCTGGCCACCCATTAATAGCTAGCATGGAGACGAGGGGTGCTAGGGGCCCTTTCCTGCGGATGGCCAAAATCCACGCCCGGTATTCATCCAGTTCATCCATGCCAACTGGTCCCTGTGGATTTTGTGACACAGCAAGGATGGCGGGCCTTAGCAACCCCCTGCCCATGCGAAAAGGAGCCTCGAGTACTGGTCGAGTACCGGTCATCACTATGCTTTGTTTAATGTTTCAATCACCCTCATCTCGTTCCATGCAACTTGCGAAATACCGGTGCAAAAACGAAACGCTCCTCTAAACCGGCGTGACGGCAATCTTGAGCCCGTCTCATAAAGGACTGCTCTCAAAGGACATGAGCTTCTGTGTCCTAGTTTCCATTCAAGCCCTTGAAGCGCACAACCAAAGACGCATTTTCCCGTGCATCAAGCAGAGTGTTCGGGGCTAACCCGACTGCGTCCCAGCGGCGCTGGGGGCGCCAAGGGTCAGCTTCACCAAATCGGCAACGACCTGGCTGGAACTCGTGCCGGGTCCGGCGGCTTGGGGCGGGGTGAAGGCTACCCGGGGCCACTGAGGATGTTTGGGGGGGGCGGGGGGGGGGGGGGTGGGGGGCGTCCACTTGGGTCAAAGTACATAACGGATTCTTAGGTCTTAGGTGCTTGCCTTCAGACTCACAATGCAAAAATCTATCCTACGACGTCCCGCCCACGTAACGGCCAGCTTACGTGATGCTTGAAATCGACTGAAGGCCCACCAAAGGCTCAAACAGCGATCCCTGAATCACGTGTCGACAAGGTATGGCTAGCTCATGTGGTTGGTTCGCATTTGGCAATGATTGATCAGGTTCCCCTTGAAACCTGCCTCCCAGGGTCATTATGCCAGAACTCCGCTTGTGAAAGAATTATCCTGCGGTCACTTGGTCCTGCCCTCAAGGCCGAAGGCGGCTTAGGTATATTTTCCATCAGCGGCCATGCAGCCATCAGCCAAGGTACATCCTTCCGAAGGAGCAACGTGGTCCTTGACACATAGCTTGGGGGAAAAACCTCTGATGTGCAGAGTCTGCTTCACATCCAGGCCACCCTGCAACCAAAAAATCCTTTGGAGACCCCAGAAACCGAAAATTCAGAACCTGCCACACAGGTCTCCCAGCCCCCCCCCCCCCCCAAAAAGCCCCAAGCCCCCCGCCAGATCAGCTCGCTCCGGCGGCTCGAAGCTCAAGGTCCCTCCGATCTGCTGCTCGTCCAAATCCAAATCCACGAAGCGCAGGTTGGAGCTGCTGGCGCTGGCATCCTGAGGTCTGAGGTCCCAGTGCTCTTGGTCAAGGTGCAACATCGGCCCGCTTGAGCGCCATCCATTCTCGGGGCTAGTCCATTCGGCGGGCTGGTTGTTACACACTCCTTAGCGGGTTTCGACTTCCATGACCACCGTCCTGCTGTCAAAATGAGAGTTAGGATTTCACTTGTGTCTTGTTGTTCATTTAGTCAACGGCAACGATGTAGGATGGTCCCAAACGTTCACCCAGTAAGGGGATATTTGCAAAGCTTCAACAACAAACATGCAAAGAAGCGCAACTTATTGATTCCGACCCCATAAACCATCAAAGCTCGCCCATCTGTGAAGGGTGTCATAGACCGTCATAGATATGTCGCGGAAATCCCAACCCGTTCCACATGCACCCAGTTCTGTGACTTCTGCTTGCTTAGAAGCAACATGCAAAATGGGCATAGTTGTTCTCTGATGGGGTCTGGGGTCGCAGTATTAAAATTCAATCACAAAAAGGAGACACAAGACAAGGCCCGGGGGCCGGGCCCCAAACTCTTCGGACCTCCTCTTTGGCTGTTTGCCACGCATGCACCTACCCACCATACATTGGCTGGATGTCAAAAGGGAAACGAAGGCAAACCAACACCCCGCACGTGCCATGGTGCCTTCGGGCAACAAAAACACATTTTGGCTTACCTTCGGCCCTTTGCAAATGGAGAAGGCCCGGAGAAGCGAAGAAACATCGTTGTGGGGGCCCCCTCAATTTCCCCAAACCACAAGCGCAAAACCGGAGACGAGCAGAGCTCAGTCGCCTGTGTTCAGTAAACCTCGCCCTCGCCACGTGGAACATGACTGGTTTCTTGACAAGAGTTTGGAGGGGGCTACTTGGTAGGTCATGTTATAACAGGGGTTAGCTCCCTTTTGACCATGGCTATGACCCACTTAGCTTGATTCTCTCTGAGGCGCTGCAATCAGCGCTGCGGCCGGCTCCGACTGGTCCGAGAAGAAGGTGCGAGCCTGGGCGCTCTGGAGGCGCTACCAGTGGGGCTACCAGGTAGACTTCAACCCGTGGCTGTTCCAAGGAACCCTGCATTTAAGTCATGGGGTAGGCAACAAAAAGAGAAGTCCGAATGATATTATCTTGGACATTTACGGAATAAACCTGCAAGGGGATCACCAAAAGGAGATGGCTCTGAAAATGGTGGCTTTTCCATGTTATTCCGCAGGAGTAGTTCAATGAAGCAGGTGGTGAGGCCTCTTCCAAGGGAAGGCAAAGAAGGAGATTTGGAGAGTAGCCACCCTATCCTGCTGAAGCCGGAGGTCGCCGTTTGCGCCCCCCAGTCTTGTGCTTAAGAGCGAGGACCCCCCAAATCCAATTGGGTCTCAGCCAGAAAGGGATGGCGCAAGGTGAAACTACATAGCAGCTCTGGTCGAAGTCGATGATCTCACTCGCCGTTCACATTTAGAGTTCCATCGAACCAAATCCAGATTTTGCCTGTCCCCATCGCGCCTTTTGGTCCATCGGATGGATGATTGGATGCAACACTGTAAGCTTGAAACTGCGAATCATGCTGGCAACTGGTTGCGGAAACCCTCCTGACACGCGGAGGGCTCACCAAACATGCAGGGCGGAAGCGACAAAGGGTTGAAGCAATGGCGCTCAGCTCCGTCACGCTGTCAAGGGTTATGCTTCCACATTGGGTTCCCAGGCATAAATGAAGACGTGGGTGAAGTTGGAGAGATCGGTATCCTGAGATTCAAGTCGCTCTCCCTGTCTGATGTCACTCAAACTTAGTAACATTTCCTGACTCTCGTGAAACAACAGTTGGTAGCCAATCTGAACTCAGAGGGAAAGGGGGCTGATGTCCTTTCTATGGCCAAAAAGTAAATGGAATTTGGGGACTGCCTTCCATACTCCACGCACACACACACACACACATGCACGCTTGATTAAAAGTATTTCTTTGATGTACCACAACTTGCCTTTAAACTGTATTGGGAGCCTCGGCAACTGCGTTGAGCTCAGGGTGGGTAAACCCCAACCGGTGCTCAGGTCTCTCCTCCCCTGGGGAAACGAGCCTCGCAGGATCCCTTGTGGGTACTTGAATTCGGGAGGACCAAATGGCAACCCACGGTGCCCTCCTTCGCAACAAAAAAGCGAGGCGGCACAGGGTGGCAAAACGCGCCCCAAATGCTTTTCTGGCAGGCCCCCTTTATGTGCCCTTGAGCACTCCAAGCTCTCTCCAACAGGTGCGATTAGGACCCTTCTTTGGTCACAGCTTGCCCAAGGCACGCCCCAAACCCAGCGCCAAAGGGTGGCTTTCCCGCTGCGCGAAAATGTCCAATGTCAAGTGAGAAAGGAAAGCAAACGCGAAACCCAAGGCGTGTTGAACATGTTGGGAAGCCTCACCATATGTAGGATGACTGACCTCAGAGAAAGCCCTTGATCCCCATAGCTGGAACTTCCGGTTTGCCAGTTGGTTCTGCTGGACAGACTTCATGTGTCTGACCGATTCCCCGGCACTAGAATACATCTGCAACCACATGCGCGGCTTTATGGCCACCTATGCCTGCCTTTTTCATGTCAAACAAACATCGCCGAGAGTAAGAACCATCCAAGCCAGAGCGATTGCACGCCACAATCAGAGCCTCATCTTATCTCGGACTCTGGCTTTGTCTTTCCGCCAGGAAGCCGACTTGTTCCACGATCCTTTTGGAAGCTTGGCCCAAAAGCTGAGAAAGCTACCGCCTATGACCAGTGCCGCCTATATTCAACCTATATAAAGGGACACCACTGCCCTTGGGATTTCCATGGGGGAAAAGACATATCTTCCTTTGGTTCTGTAGGTTGCAGTCCAAAGAGTGATGACTGACACCTGAAGTCTGGGCATATCCGGGTATGGTCCGCTTTTTACTTGCACGTTTGATTTCTGCACGGGCATACAATGCTCGAGCCATGTGCCTTGACCCATGAATCCCACCGGTTCCAACTAAGAAGCGACAATTTCGTTCGGGTCAGGCATAGACAAATGGGCGACCTTGTGAATATTGAATCAGGCACCAACCAAGCCAAACATACCAAACGTTGGCTGGCTTGATTTTGTTGGACCCACCCAACGAGAACACTCGCCATGTGTTTGGGAGGATGTTTGAAGAACAAACACCGCAGGCAAAAACGTCAGGCGGCCACCGCCATGGTGTAGCTGGTGAGCAGCTCGCCTCCGGAGACTGCGGGGATCTCCTCGATGAGTCGGCCTGAGGGATCCAATGGCTCTGGGTGGAGGGTTCTCACCTATGATCGGCCACCCTTGGCTCTTTAAAAACAAGGGGTCCAACGGTCCAACATTATGAAAAACGCAACAAATATCTGCACCATTATCACTCTCCAACACTCGTGGTCTTGGTTTATGAGTGGCCACAAAAGAGTCTGAAGTCTGAACTTGCCATTGAAACGGAAACGGGTCCCAACGAGTGAAAGTCCAGAAACTCGGGAGAGTCTTCCTTTCTCGACGGAGCGAGGACACTCAGACACTCGAGCAAACTTGCAAGCGTTGCGCAGGAGTTCTGTTTCTCCAACCTCCGACCTCGCAAAGATGGAACTCGAACTGAGGGCCGTCAGCTCATTTACCCATAGAGGCGGATTCCAGACACGATATATGGGGCAGAGGTGTTTTTCGAGGGTACCCTTTCTTGGGTGGGTTTAGATTGAAACTTTACTTGAAACCAAAGAAACGGCAATGTTGGGGCTCCCGTTTCAAAAACACACCCATATATTTTACCAAACCTCCATGAAAAGCCCGCTGGCAAACCTTTACACCCAAAAGAACCAGAGCATGGCACCTTTTCCCGCGTGTTCATTGGCGAAGTCCTAGCTGAGTTGCTTGAGACAAGGCATGGTGTGTCAAGGGATCTCGTTCTCGCGATTAACAATAATTTCCCCTGGACGCCTCGGCCTCGTTTGATCAACCGCAAAAGAACCTCACAAAACACCGTCTGAAAAACAGTTGCTTGACTGCATCAGCGATCCACATAGGCCCTACGGTTGGCTTGCTTTTCGGTTTCACTTCAAAACATCCAAACAGGGTTGCCCCAACTTGCCGATGTGCGGCCACACCAAACCAACAAAAGGTCCCACCACCCCTCCCCCCAAAACAAAAAACAAAAAACAAAACAACACCAAAAAAACATTGTACCAACCCCCAGGGAGTTCCCCCTGAGTTTCTCGGCGCGCCTCGCACATAGACAAAGGAGGTGACATAGGTGACAGATGGCTCAAGCGCTGTGACCTGACAGGGCGGCCAACGGGCCTTGTCTCCCAAGCAAATGCTTCGTGCGGAGAAACACAGCAAGGCGACATCAAGGTCACCCTCCGCCCCCCCCCCCGCCAAAACCAAGAAAACAAACGTGGGGCCTTCAATGTGCTGCAAAAAAAGGAGGGGAACCCAAGATCGCTGGTTCCCCCTTTTTGGTCTTCCCTTGGAGACTTTCAAGATACCACTACGCAACTAGTGGGTGCTCATTGTTCGGGGAAACAGTCAATTGGATGATGTATGACGTGGGAACTCCGCCCCCCCCCCACCCCCCCGCATATGGCCCGGCGTTGCCTTCACGTCCTATGGAAAGCAGCCAAAGTGCGAGGCTTTGGCGCGAAGCTTTGGCTAATTTGATGGAAACCTCCGGAGGAATGACGGTTGCCGGATGGCGGGCTCTGCTGACCTACCCTTAGGTCCTGTGGTCATGTGTTCTTGGGTGCGAAAAGCAGTCTGAAATGCAACCCATTCCCGAAGCAAACGTTGTGTCTTGCAGAATCTTGCCGTGGCAGTTGCCTAAGAAAAGCAGGCCACACGATGTGTTTTGTCACTGCGGCGCCGGGAGGAAACAAAAGGGACTCTCTTTGTCCGTTTGCACCCAGCAACGAGTTAGCCGCACATAAGGATCAAACAGTGCAGAGAAAATGGCATCTTTGAACAACGCCTTGTCGGAAGGCAACACAAACAACGAAATATCATGCGGGGTTGCAATCCAAAAAGAACCCCGAACTGGCTCGCTCGGCTTCCCTTGACTTAAACTCTGGCGTTGCAGCCCCTGGCTGCCTCAGCATAGTGGTGGGAAAGAACCCATGTGATACCGAAAGCGGACCAAATTTACAGCAAGTGTGTCACTTTAGAAAGGATTCCCCTTGGTGCATTCGCAGAAAGTAGCCTTACCCAAGCTTCCATGAGCTACCAGCTTTCCTACACTTGTCAAACAGACTGCCTCAAGTAGCATCGAGCCGAAAGGAACCGTGACAATTGTCTCATCCATGGGTCCAGAGCAAAGCTGACGGTAGAATCGTGTCTGTGGCTTCCCCTGCGCTTGATCAACTCTGAACCGCTTGAGGCAAAAACCCATCGGATGACAGCTCTGGGCCTTAAACATGAGCCGCTATTCTTCGTGACTCGTCTTTTCAATCAACATCCTACATGTCACGACCCTGATCTGGTGTGAACTGAGACAACCAAAATGGGTTACCTTCCTTACAGTACGGGTCAAGGGAAGTTCCCCCCCCACCATGCCTTTTCTCACAAACGTGCAATTGGAATGACTTTATTAAACAATTTCAGGGACACTTGCGTACCAAGCACCGTGGTGGAGGTATTGCTGGCGTTGTCCTCCTGGCACGCTCAGACGGCAAATGCTGTTTGGTGATTGAATTGAAAAGGCAAAACCTGCCAAAAAAGGACCTACATCCTCAACGAGGGCGCGCCCGAACCCCGACAAGGAACCCAAAACCCACCCCCCGACAAGAAACCCATCCACCCCCCGACAATTTTTGTTATTTCACCCCACGACAAGAAATCGCTTTGGGGCCTCCCGAAAGCAAAAAGCGATTTTTGGGCTCAAAAAATCGCTTTTGCTCAGCCTGGGGCCTCCCGAAAGCAAAAAGCGATTTTTGGGCTTCAAAAATCGCTTTTGCTCAGCCTGGGGCCTCCCGAAAGCAAAAAGCGATTTTTGGGCTTCAAAAATCGCTTTTGCTCAGCCTGGGGCCTCCCGAAAGCAAAAAGCGATTTTTGGGCTCAAAAAATCGCTTTTGCTCAGCCTGGGGCCTCCCGAAAGCAAAAAGCGATTTTTGGGCTCCAAAAATCGCTTTTGCTCAGCCTGGGGCCTCCCGAAAGCAAAAAGCGATTTTTGGGCTCAAAAATCGCTTTTGCTCAGCCTGGGGCCTCCCGAAAGCAAAAAGCGATTTTTGGGCTCAAAAATCGCTTTTGCTCAGCCTGGGGCCTCCCGAAAGCAAAAAGCGATTTTTGGGCTTCAAAAATCGCTTTTGCTCAGCCTGGGGCCTCCCGAAAGCAAAAAGCGATTTTTGGGCTTCAAAAATCGCTTTTGCTCAGCCTGGGGCCTCCCGAAAGCAAAAAGTGATTTTTGGGCTTCAAAAATCGCTTTTGCTCAGCCTGGGGCCTTGAAAGAAAAACCGGTGGGGGAAGAGGAAAGAAGACTAGGGGAAGAGGAAAGAAGACTAGGGGAAGAGGAAAGAAGACTAGGGGAAGAGGAAAGAAGACTAGGGGAAGAGGAAAGAAGACTAGGGGAAGAGGAAAGAAGACTAGGGGAAGAGGAAAGAAGACTAGGGGAAGAGGAAAGAAGACTAGGGGAAGAGGAAAGAAGACTAGGGGAAGAGGAAAGAAGACTAGGGGAAGAGGAAAGAAGACTAGGGGAAGAGGAAAGAAGACTAGGGGAAGAGGAAAGAAGACTAGGGGAAGAGGAAAGAAGACTAGGGGAAGAGGAAAGAAGACTAGGGGAAGAGGAAAGAAGAAGACTAGACTAGGAAGACCTAGGGGAAGAGGAAAGAAGACTAGGGGAAGAGGAAAGAAGACTAGGGGAAAAGAGACTAGGGGAAGAGGAAAGAAGACTAGGGGAAGAGGAAAGAAGACTAGGGGAAGAGGAAAGAAGACTAGGGGAAGAGGAAAGAAGACTAGGGGAAGAGGAAAGAAGACTAGGGGAAGAGGAAAGAAGACCAGGGAAAGAGGAAAGAAGACTAGGGGAAGAGGAAAGAAGACTAGGGGAAGAGGAAAGAAGACTTGGGGAAGAAGAAAGAAGCTTGTTTTGGGCTGCAAGCATCGCTGTCGGGGTGTCGGTGTTTTTTTTGTCGTGGGGTGAAAATAAGAAATTGTCGTGGTAACCAACGTTTTAGTCGCAGGGTTGCAGTTTTTTGGCGTGGTTAAGGCCCGTGCTGCATCCTCAACATTGTTTTTTGCATCCTCAGCATCACCAACATCCCTATTCAGGCTTCCGGAGCGAGGGAAAAGACCATCAACAAACAAAGGCAAGCCAAAGGTCGCTACTCAAGTCCTGCGCGCACCTTTCTACAGGCCTGAAAAACAGGGTCAAAGGTTCCCACTCGAGTCTTGCTGGGATCCCACAATGACCGAGGAAATCGCAAACAAACATCTACAGGCATGCGCAGGTGGGGAAAAAGCATGAGCCAGAAGAGGTCCCCAAAAATGTGATTTGCATTTGTTTGCAACTTCCGCTGTTTGTTTGCGACAAGCCCCCAGAAGCCATGGATGGCTGGTGTGACTAATGCAAGAAATCCCTTTCTTGCTGACGTTTCTTGTTTGGTTCCTTTGGAGAGGCTCCACAGGACTTGAGTAGGAAGCTTTGATTTGCCTCCGTTTGTTCAAGTTCTCTCCTATAGCTGGGGAGGCGTGCTGTTGCTTGTTTGTACTTAACTTCCTTGTGCCTTTTTGGGACAGGTTCCAAAGACGAGATGGTGGAGGTGCTACTGATGCAAGTAAGCTCTGTCCCGCTGATGCTTTTTGTCTGTTCTTTGTTTGCATTCCTTCTTTTGGAAAGTTCCCAACCAGATTGCAAAGTAGACCGCCGGACTTGAGTAGGGAAACAAAACAAACAAACAGAGGCAAGCGCAAGGCTTCTACTCAAGTCCTGCGGGGACCTTCCAAAGGAAAGAATCCCAACAAAAGAAACGGCAAAAAGCATCAGCAGGAAAGCGCTGGATTGCATTCGTAGCACCCCCATCCATCACTTCCTTGACCCAAAACGACAGAAGAAGCTGCAGGCATCGACACGCATCCCCAGCCAGGGAACGGACGCGAACACACGCCCCTACTAGCCAGGTCAAAGAGGGCAAAACAGAACCTGGTCACATCAGTAGCGCCCTACAAAAAAAGGAAAGCAACAATAGACAAACAAACAAACACACAAACAAACAAACAAACAAACAAACGAACAAACAAACAAGCAAACAAACAAAACAAAACAAACAAACAAAAGAAGAAGCAAGCAAGCAAGCAAGCGAGCGAGCGAGCGAGCGAGCCAACAAAAAAACAAACACACACACACACACATCCCCAGCTAGGGAATGGAACTTGAACAAACGGAGGCAAACCAAAGTCTCCTACTCAAGTCCTGTCAGGACCTTTCCAAAGGTAAGGATGCAAACAAAAGAAAAACAAGAAGCCTCAGCGGAACAGAGATTGATTGCATTAGCAGCACCCCCGTCCATCGCACACGGAGCTTCCTAACCATTTCCATTGCTACACGCGCTGCACGTGAACACACATGTAAAAAAGATTCGTCCCCACACCCATCTCTGCTCTTTGCTGTTGCCGTCCTGCGGAAAGCAGACATAAACCAACGAGATCAAACATTTTAAAAGGTATCCTTCCTAAATCGAGTTGTTTTGTCATATGACGAAAGCAGGCCTGTGACGTCGGCTGTCTGAGCCTGAGGCGTTAAAGTATTGCCTGACAACGCTGACAATTCGTAGGGTTTGGAGGTTAGTGTTGCTTCTACTGCTCAAAGCTGGCACTCCACACCACCTCGGTGCAACCTCAATTTAGATTTGAAAGTTGGACTCCGATAAAATCTCGGTTGGTATACTTGCTACAAAACGCTTTGGCAAGTTAACATCCAGGCAATTGTATCAGTTCCCCCCATCCCTGTCCCTAATTTAGTGTGACTGTGCCAAGACGGCTTTCATGGACGGATCCCCACATTTCCCCCCCAAACCCCAGACCACAGGAAACCAAGGCCACTCTTTGGGGAGTTGACTCAAACCACTCCCAACACGAGGGAACAAAGGCCACCGAAAATCTGGGTTTCGGAAGTCCTCGGTTGCGGAGGTCGTGGCCGAGGTGGCCGAGGTGGTCGAGGTCGTGGCTGAGGCCAACGTCGTAGCCGTGGTGCTCCAGTCCGAGATGTCGCTCTCGTTGCTGGAATTCACCTCGACGCCAAAACCAAAAATCGGCCGGAAGAGTGGAACCCCGCAGGTCTTCTGCGTTTTTCTTGTTGCAAAGGTGGGGCAACATGGCGCTCCGACAAGAAACGCGGAATGAAGTTGACTGGCTCGCGCTTGAGCGTGTCTGAACCAAGGCAACTGCCATCCCTTTACTGCTGGATCAGCGCTGGACCCATTGACAGGGCTCATATTTCCAAATTTCAATGCCGTGGCAACTTCCCGACTGTTCCAAACACTGAAGTGAGGGAGAAAGGGACCAAGGACTTGAAACCTTTTGTTCATTCGGGTTCGCGTCTATTTTTTGTCAGACCAAACACCTGTTGGGCAAAGTCCAATTTGCCTGGCTTCTGCAAGCTCATCCGCTGGCATTCCACACGTGAGACTGCACACACCAATCTAACTTAACCACAATGCTGAGCAGTGGCATCTGTATCCTCTGAGATATTTGAATCTGAAGTGGTGGACGTGGGCGTCGACGTGGACGTTGACGTGATAGTTGTGTTGGTCGATGTGTTGGTCGATGTGTTCGTACTTGTAGTCGCGGCGGTGGTTAAAGGGTCCTTGGATTCAGAATTGGCTGCTCATACCCAATTCTACCTGCAAGGACAAAGGCAAGTGAATGTGTTTACCCTACCAGCCAACCTTAGCGGTCTTGACTGTTACCGGAAAGTGAACGGTCTGTTCGTCAATTGCAGGCAGGTCGCGTCCACGTCAGTGGCATTGGTGATGTTGGGTTCAGCATAGATTGCTTGAACTACCTCTTCCACCCAGCCCAAATAGATGGCGTAGTGCCTCAGCACGTTGCCCCATGCCCACGCTTTGCAATGCCCAGTGCTGTGTAGAGTACATTGTGCAACCTGCACACACAAATGCCGAAATTGCCGAACACAAATTCTGTCTTATGCAATCGACATAAATCCTCGACCTAAACCGAAGCTCGGGCTGGCTTCCAGTGGCGCTATGCGCTCGTGTGGTTCAGGCTAGGCTTAGGCCTGCTTTACGATACTTGTTGTCGGCTTTCGAGAGGATTTAGGGCCGGTGTGGGGCAAGTTTAGCCGCTGGCTAGCCATTTCAGTGCCAGTCTGGTCTCGTTTGAGCACTGACGAGGGGCACCTGGTCGTGTACTCCAAAGCATAACGCCCTGACAAGGTCGCGATTGGTACAGTCACAATTCGAACAACTTGAATATACGGAGCATAAAGCAGCCAACGAGCCCTCTTCCCGGCCCGTTGGATTCAAATCTAAGGTCGAAACAGGTCCCGACATAGCAACCAGTAAAATTCGGTACAGCCAAAACAGTTCGCCATACATTCATGCGCAGCCCAATGCACATAGTGATTGCATTGCATAGTGGGAGGTGTGCGAATCAGGCTGCTGTTGTTTTGTTGGCAAAAGAGCAGCACTTTCTTCATGTACGACGGCGACTGAAGCATTCACCATTAATCGGCAAGCTCCGATAGTGTCGCATAGGTCTTATTGAAGCCTTCCAGCATCTGCACTGACTGTTCCCTGTTGTGCCCAGTGCAGAACACTTTCGCGTCCGGGGTTTGCTTGAAAATGACTTTGCCCCATCCCTCTCCGTGCCCCAAAGCACCCTGCTACAGTCTTCTATATACATGCTTCCCCTGTTGAAGAGGGCAACCGCAAGGATCCCCCCCCTCTCCCGCCTTTCCAGGGCTGCCATTCAGACACTTGGGTGTTTGCAAAGTAGAAGTCCCCTAAAAATGGTGGGTTCCCCTATTGAACCCCTTTTTAGTTTCAACCGACAAGGGCTCCTCAATCCATTTTGGAGGTTTCTCCACTCCACGTCTCCAAGTGTCCTGCGTTTGCTTCCGGTTTTGTGACCCCCGTGGGCGGATGGCCGAAGCGCGAGATGGCGGTGAGGTCCGAGAGGTTTCCGGTGAGGTTCCAGGCTACGTCCCCCCCAATGTCCGCAGCGTCCAGGTCGAGATCCAGGAAGGCCGCCTGAGCAGTCCCCCAAAAAGACGCCCAGCTGGGTGGGCGCGGGGTCTTCTGCCCAAAGAACCGATTCAAAAAACAGGTTGACCTTTTCGGCTTCCATCAAAAAGGGTGTTCTACCCATATGGCGAAGATATGCGAAGATATTAACTTCAGCGGCAAAGAATGAAGGCGGAGATCCGCGCCTATTAGTATGGTTGGGATCTTCCTTACCCTTTATCTGTTGACTGTGGCTCCCTTGCCAAAAGAACCTGAAAAAGATTGGAAAGGACCTTTGGAATCTTGACGACTCAAACCCAAACTGGCGAATCAAGAGGTCAAAAAGGTCGCTTTGGGCCGGTGATCAACTCAGACTGCTGGTGGCCGCGGGAAGAAGTGAGCGGGGCTTCCCCGAACAAAAAAGACGGGGAGACGGGCACCTGGTGGGTGTCCTTTTGGTAAATAGGGGACCGCGAGAAGGACAGGGCGGGTGTCCTTTTGGCTTCAAAAACACCCAAAACAAGAGTAACCTCAAAAAAGAAACACGCACACACACACACAAGCACGAACGAGACAGAGACAGACAGAGACAGACAGAGACAAACAGACACAAACAGAGACACGCACACACAGTTCAATGGCCAAGGGACTCCCCAAAATGATAACGTGGTTGATCTTTGGAGATCTGGACCGGCGATACCCCTTTGAAGAAGCCTATGGACAGGCCTTGACTTGACGAGCTGAAGTGCAATGAGCTTGCGGACATGTGGGGAACAATGAATCGCCTCTCGGATTCTCAAAGAAAAACCGGGGTAGGGCTGTTCAGGACTTGCCCACTCTTTCTCCGCTCGGGGTGTGAGGCATCGCCGGTATCTCATCTAGATCCCTTGGATCGGAAATCTCGATCCAACAAATTGTGGTCTTCCTTTTTGGTTTCCAAAAAGCTGGGAGTGTAAAACAACCAAAAACCACAAAGGTGTTATGGTGTTAAAACCACAACTGGTGTGAAAACCACAACAAAAACACACAAAGGATGTTATGCAGCAAAGGGTGTTGAAACCACACCAAAAGGTGCCGACACCCCCAGTTTGCCTTCCAGAGGGCCACAGGCAAAGACCAAACCGGCTCGAACCTGGCCTCGGACACCGTCAAACCGGCATCCACCAAGGTGGAGGCAGCGGGGGTGGTCTGCTCCACCAAGTCCTCAAGCCAGCTACTCAAGCAGAGACTTTAGGATCAAGGGGGCGGGGGGGGGGAGGGGAAAGAGAGTCACGGGATTGTTAACCTTTGGGCGAATTCATGAAACATCAGATGTGTAACTTGACGCATCCGACTCATGCGACAATAATTTGAACCACCTCCAAGAAGAAGGTCTCGCTTAGGCTCATGATCCACGTGTTGAAGCAAAAGCACAAGCGCCAACCATCCGGGTTTTGAAGTTCACGTGTTGCTATAGCGAGTAGGTCGCTTGAATGTCAAGGCTCTGAGATCGTGTAGACCAAGACATACGCGAAGTCTGCGACCGCCGTGTTGGAGGGCAAGTTGATGGTGGTCCTCGGCAAGAGAAACAGTGCTCTGGCCAGTAAGCAGTAAGTTGAAATTTCCCAAAGTAGCTAAGCTGGTAGAGATCCGGTTGCTTTGCCTCGAAATAGCAGGGCCTCCGAAATCCACTTTTGAGAAACCTCCACCTGGGAAACCGCCCACCCGGAGAAACCGAAGGATCGAACAGCAGTGGATTCTCATGGGAAGAAACGGCGTTCCCAACCCACTGGAGGTCGGGACAGAGGAGGAACCCCGCACAAATGTGCCAAATGGGCGATGTTGGACCCCGAAAAGTTGTGTGGCTCCCGTGAAACCCAACCCATTTCACTTCCTGAGTGGCAACAACCAGTGCTGTTTACCACTAGAATGGTCTTCCCACAAGTCAAGTCCAGGAACTCAGAGATGCTTCACTTGCAAGGGAAGCGTGCGCGCTGCCAACAGGCACAGCGCCTGGAAACACGACTGTGTATTCGACAGCAATTGCCGTATCGTGGTGGAAAACGACAGCGACATCGAAGTAGAGCGAAAGTGAGCCAAAAAAACTGTACCCCACAATAAATCACACAAAAAAAAAAAAACGAAGTACGCCGAAAATACCCAACACTAAGCCAAACAAACAGTACCCTCCACAAAAACACCTACCCACCCATGCTGTCTCCCTCCGAGCTGCTCATTCCAGGCAGCCTCTCCGACCTGCCAGCGCCTCAATGATTTCTTGATCCGATCGCACAGGGGCGGCTTTCCGTTTTTGGGAGACCCCCGCCCAGTATGGCGGGGTTTCCTTCTGGCTTCCATTTAAACTTCAACCCCAAAACGGGTGCCCTCGAACACAGACACAGCCACATGGTTGCGCATGGCTCTCTGTGGAGGATACCTTTCTCGGGTTGGTGCAAAGGGAAACCGAAGGGAAACCCGCATTTGGTCTCCCGTGTGTGGGAGTGTGTTCTTTAAGCGTGCCCTTTATGTTGGGTGGTAAAGAAAACTTAAAGGGACAACCGAAATCCATTTTGGGGGCTATTATACCTGCACTGGATTCCAGGATCCCTTTAGGGCAGAAGGGGCAAAACGATGAGTTACTCCCCTGCAGGCATGAACCCCAAACAAAACATGATAGGAGGCATCTCCTTTTAAGACATGGACCCCGGAGTTCCATGTCAATCGGCAGGAAAGCACTGGGTCTATCAAAGTAAAATCCTCAAAGCAACCCTTTTCAAAATCGCGGCTTGTTGGAAACCCCCCCCCAACAAAAAACCAAACAAAATGAATAAAAACAAATCGAGGACCCTTCCAAGTGTACACCACATAGGACCCAAAAGTATGTCTGGCAAACACGAACGCTTGAGCCGAGAGGTGCGACCGGTCACAGTCTGAGGGCCCTGGCCCAGTACCCACCGTGTCTTGTGCCAGGTACACGGCGAAGCCCGCCACCTCGTCCATGGCCGCTGGAAGGGACCAGTAGATGGGTCCTTGAGACATGGCATCTTTGCAGCCCTGGTTTCGGGTCAATGCCATATGTGTGGTTCTTCTCATGCGTTTTTGCTTTCTTTCTTTTACCTCCTTTGCCTTTGCCACATGTTGCCACCCGTCTGTTGGCGAGTCGCAAATCGCCATGCGTATACAAGGCGATGTGCAGGCTACTCAATTCGGACCCTGCTTTCCTAATGGCCGAGCAACGAGCCCTGAACACTGGCAGGGCACTTGGTGCCCACTCGATTTCCCGTGAGTAATCGACGGATCACTCAAGGAAGTTGGACCATACCATGATTTGTGCGCCATGGTCATGGATCCATGGTGTAAGTCTAAAATCCTCGATTAGCTGTCCATGACCATCCACTGGCCCCAACAAAACCACACGCCACACCTTGGCGCACGTGCACATAGGCATTAATTTGCCTGTGAGCACTTTTTATTGAACGTCATTTGCAATGGGGATTTCTTCCCCGGCAACTTCCGGGGCTATTCGGGCATTCCTCATTTCTGCCTGCCCACCATGATCGAGGATTCAGTATTCACATGCAACAAAAACAATCATTGATTGGCTAAACAAAAGAAGCAGAACCCAGGCATGTGTCGCCTTTCCTGACATGACTTAATTTGGTTTTGACGAACCCCGTAGCCTCATTCAACTTATTCCCCCCCCCCCCCCCGAGTCGCTGTTCCGATGCCCGGGGTCCTCCGAGCTCCTCGGCATCGGCATCTTGGTCGCGGAAGGACACAGCGGTGACGCTGGCGGCGGTGTCGACGATCTCCACCTCGGGGGGGTTGGAGCTCGGGGGTTTGGACGGGGAAGGAAGGCGCGGTCTGCGTGTGTGAGTCACAATCCAAACCCGGTATTTAAATGGTTGACCCAGAACCGTGTAGAAAATTGAGAAGGCGGCCGCAGCTGTTTCTAGCTGGGATTGTCCCTTACTAACCTTCAGTTACCCGGGTTTTGATTGTGGCTCGTGTGCATTTGTTGCTTTTGTTGCTTTCCAGGGGGAATGGGTTAAGGGTTTGATGGCGAGTATTGACTGTTTCGCATGTACAGTCAACGTCAGTCAACAAGTTTATAGATAATTTAGCAACCAGCAGACCATATCAATGCAGCTCAATGACCAAAACGGCATGGCTTGGCAACGGTACACGTGCGTTTCTCAGCACAACGAACGCCGCCAGGCAGCCAAGGCTCCCTTCCTGTTTCCCTTTTGAGGTGCTCAAAGATGGAAGTGCCCTTTGAAGCTCCACTCAATTAACCATTTCCAGTTGAGCGACCCGTGTAGAAAAGGGGACCCGTGAGATCGATTTCCGTTTTGCGGAAGTTACCAAACTCCACAAAGGGCTTGAATTATTGGAATCCAGCGAGCAATAGGGATGCCGACGCTGGTAACTGTGGGCCCTTGTAGAACCCACCCCAGGTAGTCAGCCCTTCCTTAACCATTCTAGACTAGGTCCTGTAGAGAGGTTAGAATAAGGGTACCGATTCTTTTTCTGTAATCTGTTTTAGTAGGGGAACCCTCCCCAAAAAGGGGAGAGAAGAGCACTAGGGGGGGACCTAGTAGAAAAGCGGCCCCGAGTTTGATACCAAAGGCCCGCACCACTCGCGCCAAAATTGAGACCCAGGCCGTGTAGGGCGTGGTGGATTCCACAAGACTGGACTCAGCGAAGACCATGATGTGGCTGAACCTCAGCTGCGCGGCACCGAACCAATGCCTGTGGCAAAAATCCTGCGATGCTTGGTTGTTTTGTTGTTCTATTTTATCTTCAACATGGATTTTTTTGTTTCAATATATATATATATATGTATGTGTTGTGGTGGTGCCTTATGTTGGTGGCGTTCTGTGAGCTCTCGCTTGTGTGCATGTGTTCTTGTGACATCTGTTCATGCTGCCGCCGGGCTGCTCCGTCCCCATGTCTCATGACCATCTATGGGAGACCTAACTCCACGAGTTTTACCCTGCAAGGCCCAAAAACCGGGTTGAGATGAATCCAGTTTTATTTTGGGCAAGGCGGGCGTGTTCATTTTTGAAGCTGGGTACCCTTGTGTAGGTCGGCAAGAATAGAACACCAACTCAAAACCACCATTTTCGGGGTAGCCCTACTTTGACATATGGCTCTCTCTCAAAATAGGGGTCATGGCTTCCCTGTAATACTAACCCAAAAAGGGGTCCACAACCTGATAAAAAAGTTTCAGACACCCTAATGTCCAGGATTGGTCATCCCAAATCCCGCTTTTTGGGGGGCACACATCTCTGGGACCTTCCCCCGTTGAAATAAAAAAAACTTCGGGGCCCCGGCTCCGGTCCATGTCGCGTCGATTTCGCTCGGTTTCCGGGCGCGGCTTTGGAGGTCTCCGGAGGCATCTGGAAAGTGGTCGCCTCTGCGCCCCAGGCGTAGCCCAGCAGAGACCTGGGATTGGGAAAACCGGGATCGATCACATAGTCCTTTTAGGTTGGAACTTAGATGGGTTTGGTAGATGATTAAACCACCAGGTAAACCAGGAATCGATCTATGTTTCTAGCAAAACAACCAAAAAGGACACCTATGATCCATCCGCGTCGCTGCTGCGAGAGAGGTGGGGAATCTGGGAATGAACCCAGGCCCCGGGGTTTAAGGTCCGGTGTATGAGGGTCATTAATTGGTGGTTTGGAGCCCGGTGCTTTGGATTGGTCCAGGGTAGAGCCCCCATTTACCCTCAAGAACCAGGGCCAGGGACCCGTTCACCAAGTTCCAACTAAGGGTTTCCCTGATGTGAACCGCAGGTGTATCCTCCAAAAAAAGAAGTTCAATCGAATCTCAGAGTTGCAAGTCAACCCACCTACAAAAGCTTCAGTCCAGTCGGCAAGATTGTTGTTTCCACGTATCCGTCGGGGCAAGGGATTGCAAAGCAGGACACAACCCAGTTCAAATAGCAAACTGGAAGGAGATGTTCAATCCAGTTTCAACGCCATTTCCCTTTGCAAGGATCTGACTTGGATGCTCAACCCAGGTCAGGGCAATAGATTGTGACTCCATGATTGTAAGGGATCTAACCCCCGGTTGTAACCTACCATCCAAGTACCCTTTTGAGCCTTTGAGTTGGTTTCTTCGGGCAATTCAAAGGGAGATTGGGTATGTCTCAAAATAGGGATTTGGACACACTTATCTCGAGAGGCTTCACTAGCCGAGATGAAAAACGCAGTCAGTAAAAATGCTTGAATGCAAACGCAAATCAACAGGTCACAACATCGACACCGAACAGGAAGCAACAGCGACAAACAGAAACCGCAAAAGGAATCAGGAAAGAGGGTCAGGAAATAGGCAGGTACGCCGGATTGATCAGATCCGGTATCCACCGAAATGCCGTAGCTTCATTGGACTGGATAGGCAAATCGGCTCCAGTCCCCCTGCAATGTGGAATTTCCGTCCGTGCTCCAGGACGCTTCACACACACGGAGCCCCAACTGGGGCGACATCACTTGTGCAAGGCCCATTGAGTCTTGCAAGCATCAATTGTGCGAGAAAGTCTTGTGGCGATGACTGACCACACATACTTGGCTTTGGAATTGGTCTTAAGGGAACGGAGGAGTTCAATCTCTCCCTCAGTCCAAGGCTGCGAGGCTTCAGGTTCGGCCTCAGTAGAGGCATCAGTCCTGGTCGATGTGGTAGCTTCGCTTGGTCCACGAGCAGGTTTTGGATGCCGTAGATCGTGAGGAGGCCAAATCACGTGCGCGGCGAGCTCGTTTTTCGCCGGGAGAAGACGGAGGAGGGGTGGGCGGAGCCCAATGATCAGGGAATTGTTCGTCATGATCAGTGGGAAGGTGTTCATCTGGAGCATCAGGAGGTGGCTCAAAGAGGTCCTCGAGGGGGGCCAGGAGGGGTGTTGGTGGTGAGTTGGTCAGGTCCTCAATGGCGGGGTTGAGCGTGGCCTCCGGTGCCAAATCAGGTTCGGCAGGCGGACTCTCAGGGAACTCGCGGATGGTGGCGATGCCTTGTTGGGCAATGCCAAGGATGAGTTCGAAGTCTTGGAGCAGCTGGCGTGCTGTGTTGGTATCCATGCTCGTAACGGATTTTGGTCAAACAGTCAAACAGCTGCGGCGCGAAAATCAGGTCAAATCTGTCAGGATGCAAAGGCAGAGAAGAAAACCAGTGTGGTTCCGCAAAGGACGGTTTTTCTTCTCTTTGTAAGGTGAAACCGTGTTGGAGGTGCAACCTCTTCAACATTGCAAGACCCTGACCTCGCTGAAACTCAGGAAAGGAAACTCGGTTGATCAGCGTGCGTCCGGAATAACATCCAGATTCCTTATGCATCAGTGGTGCGGCTGACTTGACGGAGAGCATGTTGTGCTTCTCATGCGAGGGGATGAAGGAGATGGTGCTGCTTGTGAGGTTCAGTCGGAACCCCAAGAAGTCCAGGGCGGCTTCTGTGTCCAGGAAGATGTCTCCTCCATAGAAGTGTTCGTCGCACAGTATGTTGGCTGCCGGAGTCGAGAGCCACCTGGGGGTTGCGATCACGAGTCTGTTGTCCACGTAGCGGAGTAGGAGAGTATCTTCAACGGAGCGAAGTCCCGATGTGATGTGAGTGTTGGTCCAACATTGTTCGGCGACCGCGATCACCATCAAACAGAGAGCTGGGGACGCGGGGGATCCCATCGGTGCCCCACGTGTTTGCCTGAATGAACGAAGGCCGACAGAGAAGATCTGCATGTCAAGGGTGGCCTGAATGATCTCGGGGATGTCGTCGAGCCACAGGGTGCGTTGTGTGGGTTTGTGTCGGCGACGGCGTCCGTTGTAGACGCGGGTGATGGCAGAGGTGTCAAGTGTGTCCACTGTGAGGTGTGTGGTAGAGGAGTGTGGTTGTCGTTGTCGGTACCAGGTTAGCAGTAGTCGCCAGGCGAGGAAGGGTGCAAGCATCGGTCTGGAGGGGCCAGGTGGAATGAGGCCCCGGAATCGTAAACTGGATCGAATGGCGGAAAGGCATGCCTGGTGGTGTGGTTCAGGCAGGTGTGTGGCTATGCGATGAAGGACATAGAGAGCGGCGGGTGGGAAGTCTCTGCTCCGTATGTAACGGATGGCATCAAATCGTCGTAGAGTGTTGCTGCCAAGATCGCCCAAAAATCGCCACAAATCCAGGCGGTTGTCCACGCGTTTGGCCAGGAAGGCCTGTTGTAGGGCGATGGGTAGTCGTAGTCGGCGGCGTTTTCGCCAGATGGTGGCGAAGCCCATGTGCCGGGATTGGGAGAAGTCCAATTGGCGTATGAAGCCCGTGCGTGGCCGGAAATGTTTCTCGATGAAGCCAAAATTGAGAGACGGTTGCAGTTCCTGGATGTAGAACTGTTCAGTGGCAAATAGGTCCGTTGCCGGAACGACAGTGTGAATGGGCACCGAGGTGTAGTGGTGGAAAAAGTCAAAATGTGCCCACCACCGGACTGCCAGTTCGGCATTGACCAGATGATGTCGCTGAACTTGGAGTAGTTTGCGAAGTTGGCTGCGGCCCCGTGCCATGAGGGAGGCGCGAGTGGCTCCGAGGTAGAAAAAGGCCTGCCACTTTGGATGGCTGGTGAATCTCAGATAAACCGCTGAAGGGACAAGCTGAGAAGAGAAATCGGAAGCAGGGTTGTCCAGGCCAAGTCGAGTAAGCAGGGCTTTCAGTCTGCCGGAACCACAGGAGAGATGGCAGACGTCAAGTAGCTGAAGCTGTGCGAGTAGCCAGGAGCAAGAATGACGTGCGGTGACGTCATCGGTTGGGAAGAACCGAAGAGTGAAACGGAGGACAGTGAGAAGTTGGCAGCAGTGGTGTTGCCAAAATTTGTGCTGCCTGGCTGTGCGTCGTTGTCGGTGTGCTGTTGAGAGTCACTGGTAGAAGTGACTCGCAGCGGCCAGGATGCGGCCCAAGGCCGATGACCCCAGTTTTGATAGGGTTCGCACCGGGATGCCCCATAGCACAGCGGCTCGTTCGAGTTGGGCTCTGGTGTCGGAGTCCAGTGTGGTTGCCCATTTTGCGCAGTCGTTGGACCAGCTTTTTAGGACTTGCTTGCTCTCTTTGCTGGTTTTCTGAGAGGTGATCCATCGCTGGACTTTGGTGTCGGAAATGTCGGGTGGGAAGTTGCTGGTGAGCCATTGGCAAACGTGGGGAGGTGGTTGGAGCAAGTCGCGGGGCTCCTTCCAAGTGGGTGGGGAGGGGAGGGGGGGAGGGGTCGGGGTGCCGCCGTGGGTGGAGGGGGCTGGAGGGTTGCCGCCGTGGGTGGGGGGAGCCGGGGGGGGTTGGGAGTCGTCTGCAATGCGAGTGGGCAGGGGTAGAGCGGGGGATCCGTCCTGCGGTGATGTGTCAGGTGTAGTCAACCGTGGTCGCTTCATGCCGAAGTCCAGGAGGGAGGCCTGAGATGGATTGGCTGGGCGTTTGTTGGATGAGGTGGGTGTGGGGGGGAGAGGGGGGGATGAAGCCTGCTGGGCGAGTTGGTTGTGTGCGTCAGCAAGCTGTTGCTGAAGCTGGAGTATGGTGGCCGCGGAGGCCGGGTCGGCCGTAGTGGTGGGTCGGAGGGAGATGAGGAAGTCGAAGATCTTGCTGGTGAGTAGCTTCATGGCTGCTGGTTTGGTGGTCGAGGCGCCCTCCTGCGTGGCTACATGGAGGGCGAGGGCGTCCAGGTCGAGGTGCCGTTGTCGGATTTGGCTGAGTAGTCCAGCAGCAAACACTGATTCCGGCATCGACTTTGCGACAACGATGCGGACTTCGCCTCCGTGGGCGAGGTGACGCAACCACCAACTGTTCCACTGTTCGTGCATGAAGTGGAGGAGGGGGACGCGAGCGATGTCTTGTCCCTCGATGCCCATTTGCCGAGTAAACGCGGTGTGCGTTATGACCTTGGGCAGGTCGTACCCCGCGACGCGGGTGGTGTCGTAGTGATCGTCGCCAGGGTTGAACTCGGTTGGTGTTGGGACTGAGTGGATGGGTCGAAGGGCCGGGGGAGGTTTGGATTGCGAGGCGGTGGAGGGGGAGGGGGAAGGGGGAGGGCGGGAGAAGGGGCCGGGGGGAGGGGGGGGAAAGGGGTTGCCGCCGGGAGGGGGGGGGAGAGAGCCGCCAAAGGAGGGTGGACGAGGGCCGGGGTGTGGTGGGTAACGGGGAATAGGTTGGCCGTAGGTCTGACAGGGAGTCGGATGTGTAGCTGGCGGTGCCGATGCCGTGGAAGAGCATCCGTAGGAAGGCCCGGACAGGGCCCCGCACGGGTTCCCGGCCATGTTGTTGCCGTACACGATGCCATGATGATGGGATGCCGTGGGCGAAGGCTGCGGTGGTAAGTTTTGCCTTTGGAGCGCCGTAACCAAACCTCGAGGGGGTTGGAAAGCCATGAGAAAACACGGGGGAAAAGGAAATGTTCGAACCAAAAGCTGGTGAGCGGAATCAAGCGGGTAAGGTCACAAGGCGAGAGAACGGTCGCAGAAAGGCAGAACAGCAAAGCAAAGAAAAAAGGCGATCAAACAGTGCACCAATTCTTTTCCTGGTTGGGTGGAAGATGGTACACTTGCGCCCCGCTAAGCCGGGCGCTGCAGCGCGATGCCTCTCAGCATCGCAAACTTGGAGTGAAGGCACCACTTTTTGCCTCGGCGGCATGCGAAGTGGCGCCGCACGTTGTGTTGATCCTCGTGGCTTCCCCCGGATTCGAGGATTTTGTGCTGATTGATGGAGCGTAGTTCCCCAAAAGCGATGGCGCCGAGTTGAGACTTTCCGATTGTAAAGTTCTGCAAGAGCTGGCCGAGCGTGTCGGGCGTGCATGCCGTGGGGGTGGCCTGAGCGTAGCATCCAAAGCTCGGGTAGTCATGGTTCTCGGGCCTCCAAGCAGCGGGTCGGATCATGTTCTCATGGCACATGCGGCGCACTCGATCCGGGGTGGTGCCGTGCACATACATGACAGCGTGATGGGAGGCCGTGCCGGATCCAGCTTCCGGGTCTCCGCCAGCAACTGGCCAAGGATGAGGTCGGGGAAACCAAGTGGTTGCGAACACCATGCCGTGTGATTCCCGTCCCAAGAGGTGGTAGAAGCTGGGATCGAACGGTATGGGATCATCCGTGTCCATGGTTCGCAGTTCCCAGCATTCCGCGAGGAGATCGGCATGTGAAGGTGGCAAAGCAGGGTCCAGGTCCATCAAAATGGCCTTAGTCTGTTCCACCCTGGAGATGTCCAAGGCTGGAAGCGGGTCCAGCTCCCCCAACTCCCTAGGCGTGGGAACTCGCAGCGGGTCAGTCTTGGCCGTGTCCATGACGTTTCTCCATAGATCAAGCCACCGGTTGTCGGAAGTGGTGGTGGCATTGATGTCCGCCTCCGATGGAGGGGGATCCAAATCACCGGTGTTGTCGAAGGGGGGTTGGGGAGGGTGAGGAGTAGCCGGCGTGGGTCGGGGAGGGGGAGGGGGAGTGGAAGTGAAGGCCGCCGCAGGTGCTGGGTGAGGGGGCAAGCTAGTGTTGTGGTGGCCGGTGCGGGAAGTGGGGTGGGGTTGCTGCCCATGGTGCTGCAGTGACCAGGACGATCGTTTGCCCTGGTTGTTTCGGTGGCCGGTGTGGCTGGCGCCATGGAGGTGCATGTCCCAGCGGTTTTTGCTCTGTGGTGGGTACCCCCACGATTGGTTCCGCCAGTGTGAGGAGGACCATTGAGACTTGTTGGAATCCTTCCCGGAAGTGCGCCAGGAGGTGGAATCATGAGTAGTGTGAGTGGGTCGGTGCGAAGTCGTGGCTCTGGGTGCAGGGGAGTGTCGATGGTGGGACCTGTGTCGGGGGGAGCGGGAGCGGAGGGAGACAGTGGAGTGGTGTGCACGTCGGGAGTGGTGGAAGTGTCGGGAAGGGGAACGTGACCTGCTGTAGCTGCGGGATCGTCGGGTGTCGTGTCGTCGGTGCGACTTGTTGTGCCTGCGATGGTGGCTGGTGTGGGAGTGGGAGTGTCGGTGCTGTCTGTGGCGGGAACGGGATCTGCGAGAGTGGGGATGGTGCCGAGTGTCCGGGGGAGGGTGGTTGGTTGAGGAGGTAGCGGCAGGAGCCGCAGCGGCAGCTTCGGGCGCGCGCGCCGGCTGAGGCTCGGGCGTGAAGATGGCATGCTGCTCTGAGTCATGAAAGGCATGATGGTGCCAGGTGCCAAGTTGCCGTAATTGGGAGGGCCACCGTAGGGCATCATGGCCATCGGGTTGCCAAAGTTCGAGAGGCCGCCGTAGGGCATCATGGGGAAAGGTGTGAAGGATGCCGTCTGCGAGTTGGGTGACGGTACAAGGTTCATGGGCTGCGTCATCTGGGATGACAGCTGCAAGTTCGGTCCACAATTGCCTGGTGAGCCGGACGCGGTGCCGGTCGCAATGCTATGCAGGAGCGAATGCATCATGTCATAGAGCTGGTGTCCAGCCATCTCGCAAGGGAGAGAGAAGGTTGGAAAGGGGTGAAAACAAAACCACAACTGCGGCAAAAATGCGTCAATGGTGCAAATGCATGCGAGCCAACTTCAACCTGCGAATCGAAACCAAACAGAGGGAATTCCACCAGGGGACCGCCAAAACCCCGCGGCAACGGCAAAAGTTTCCACAGAAATGCATGCGAGCACAAAGGGGTTCTCAGAGGTGCCTGTCAAGTGGCCTCATGAAAGTGCCTCATGTGGCTATGCCGATGAATCTGAACTGAACTCATCCGAGACGAAAGCTTCCATAAACGCCACGAATTTGGTGTATGACCAACTCGTCACTGGCGCATGAAGCTTAGGAACCTGAAACCTCGTGGGTGCAGCCTTGCTTCAAAGGCAGGCAGTGCAGGCAGTGCAACGCGCATGAAACCAGCAGAGCACCATTTGGGTGCGGAATACCTTAAGACCTCAAGCTGCAGCCTTGATCGTGGTCAATCGCGCTGAACTGAACTGCAGCTTGAATTTGAACACTTGAACGGTCTTCCCCTCGCAGGGGGCTCCCGCATGTGGCGAGTCCAGCCCACAGCGCCATGTCGGACAGGCCGTGGGTAAACACACTTATCTCGAGAGGCTTCACTAGCCGAGATGAAAAACGCAGTCAGTAAAAATGCTTGAATGCAAATGCAAATCAACAGGTCACAACATCGACACCGAACAGGAAGCAACAGCGACAAACAGAAACCGCAAAAGGAATCAGGAAAGAGGGTCAGGAAATAGGCAGGTACGCCGGATTGATCAGATCCGGTATCCACCGAAATGCCGTAGCTTCATTGGACTGGATAGGCAAATCGGCTCCAGTCCCCCTGCAATGTGGAATTTCCGTCCGTGCTCCAGGACGCTTCACACACACACACACACACACACACACACACACACACACACACACACACACACACACACACACACACACACACACACACACACACACACACACACACACACACACACACACACACACACACACACACACACACACACACACACACACACACACACACACACACACACACACACACACACACACACACACACACACACACACACACACACACACACACACACACACACACACACACACACACACACACACACACACACACACACACACACACACACACACACACACACACACACGCACACACTGTTGTGTTCCTTTTGGCTTCCTCAAAGAAAAGGAAAAAACGTGCACCCTCAAACATACTCCCAAATGGAGACACCAGGATGGGTGTCTTCTCTTGAAAAATGCCGCTCGCTTGGGGTTGAAAGGAAGCCCTTTGGCAAAAACCGGGCCCATTTGGAGGGCTCCCCGTGGGAGCACGGAATTAGGAAGATGTCCCTTTGGCTTGCCTGTAAGAGAAGCACAAACGAGTAGCTTCAACGAAAGGGAATACGCATGTAAGGCGTGGCAAGAACAACTTGGAAAAAGGAATCTCCATTGGCTGTTAGATGGATTCTCTACTGGAGCAGGACCTCTGGTGTTTTTGCCCCGGCCTGTTGGTGCCTGTCTCATCCTCGGCCAGGAAAACGCCATATCCTTGGCCAATACATGCAGGATGAACGTCTGTCTCTACTGTACAACACGCGGCGGGATTGCCATTCTTTAGAGGGTACCCCTTTCGGGCTTGTTTAGAAGGGAAGCCAAAAAGGAAACCAGCCAAATAAAACACAGGTTCAACGCAGCTGTGTTCATTGGTGCCAGCAAAATATGTCAATGGCCCACTGGCAACTCATGAGCACGACACGTCACTCGCAGGCGTCATTGAAAACTCTGAAACCTTGCTTCCGGCGTCATGCATACACGCCCCACAACTGAGTTAAGTCTGATATGTGGCGAAGTACTTGACTCAACCAACTGCCCCTTCAAGAGGTTCAATCACTAACACAAGAGACTGTTGAAGAGGAATGCTTGCGAGTGCCCCGCTTCCCATCTTCTTCTTAGCTCGGGGCCTTTGGCAGTCTGTTGAACAAGGAGCTCTCAGCTGGATGTTAATACCAAACTTCCGGGGCAGTATGTGGGTATGTGTCAAAATAAGCTGACTCCTAAAAATGTGGTTTAAACCAAGATGTAAATGGTACTCTCAACTCAGCAACGCACACACTTGTTCGAGGGTATCCATTTATCGAGGTTCCCTCACTTCCTGAGTGAAGTGGCCAACCAAGTCCAAACTGTGTGAGTGACATGCTGTAGGTGGGAATTCGTGTCCACAAAACACGTAGCCACACTGGTTGCCTACAACCCGTTGAAAACACCTGCCTGGGTCTGGTTCACGGTGTACAGGTGCGCCCAAAGCGCTACTGTCGGAAGGGTCGCTTGGGGCAGCTGGATGGAAGCGGATGGAAGGCTTTTAAGATGACCATCCCTACAGATCCCAAGCAGTAATCTTAACTTCGGATAAAAGCCCGGAGGACCATTCTAATCAAGGCTGGTTCCCCTGTTGAAAAAGATAATTCATAGGGGTCTCTGGACTCGTCCGAAGTTGAGGGGTACCTCGATTGCCTCCTTTTTGGACCTCCAAGAATGGCAGTTTCAAGGAACCCTCCTGGAATTTCCTATTGGCTCCCTACTGACAACCCCGGAATAATAAAACATGTCCTATCAATAGGGGGGTCGCCAACAATAGTGATCCGGATTCCAAGGCAACAAAATCTGTCAATTAAATCTAAGTCAAAATTGGAACCACCAGGGCCCTTCCAGGTTCTAGTCGCTTCCATTTACCAGGGTAACCCATGTTGGCCTATCTTTGACCCACACCCAACTGGTTGTCTGAACGACTCATCCATTCGCTTGATCCTCATCCGAGGCTCGTGTCACCTCTGCCACGTCCAGGGCCACGCGCCAGGTTACGGGGCCGCCCAGCTCGCCAGCGTCCAGGTCCTCGCAGCCGAAGGTTTTGGCTTCGGAGGGAGTCGGAAGGTTTTGGATATAACATGTTGTGTGGTTACCGTACATGTATTATCAAGTATATATATACAGATATGGGGTGTTTGAATAGAAAGAAATTAACTATTGTGTTTTTGGAGATAGTGTGAAATTATAGTATTGAATGTATTATATATATGTGAGCTAATAACACCATTATGCTACCTTGTTTCCTGGCAGCACTTTTCTGTGCTCCCTACCAATACCGCTTTCCGGCATGAACAATAGTTGTCTGTGGATGAGTTAGCTGTGAGTGGTTCTCAGTCGGGACTCACCCAGCTCAAATTGGCGCAACTCCTCCACTTGTTTCCGATGATATGGCCAAAGTACGTCAAGTGTGTATGGGGACTCAGACTCTCAGAGCAGCTGGATCAGCCGGGTGATTCCTCAGGACCTCAAAAAGGAAGCCAGCCGAAAGCCTGTAGTTTACCATGGTTCGTGGTAGCTGGTGCGAACCCTGCCGCCTTGAGATGAGTGAGAGTGTCCTGCCGCTGGGGTTTGGGTTATATAGCTTCGGGTGGGTTAAGGGTGGAGGTAGGCTTGCTTTAAGGCTGGTTTAGGGTGGGCTCAGGGTCAGTTTAAGGTTGCCGCGGCTGGCAATTGTTGAAGGGAAACAGCATGTTGAGCCAAGGCAAATCTAACACATACATTACACGCTCAGGGGATCTGTGCTTGGCAAGGGGCAACCCTAGTTGATGACATGGAATTCTGGGACAGTTCTTGACGCCACCTGTGCTAGGCTCACGTACAACCGGTGCGGGAACCAACCAATTGGCTTGGACATGACCTAAGCTCAGACCATGGCTTGGGGCACACGCAAATGACCCATTTATTCCTCGAAGAACAATGGCAAAAAACCTGTATGCCTTTTTGCTTAAAGGCTTTCAGCTCGGCCTTGCCCACTTGCAGTGGCTTCAACGGGGTCAACATCTCTAATCCCGACAGCAACCTCTAAATAGAGGTTTTGGCTCCCGGTTTGCATGCCGGTTTCAACAAGTCTGCTAGTTGTACCCGACTGTCGCCAATCCAAAGCCCTCCGAACCCCTCCAAGACCCTCCCACCCTCCAAGCTTCCAAAACCTTCCAAATCCCTCCAACCCAACACCCTCGAAAACCTTCCAAACCAGCCTTACAGCGCTTTTGGGGGGGGGGCCTTCAGAACCGAGCACAACCATTCTCTTCCGACGGCCCAAAACCAGCCGGCCACTCGAGGCCTGATCCACAAAGGTCACATTGGAGACCAGCGCGTCTGCATCCTGGAGACCAAAAACCCACTCCTTTTTGCTTGAACAACCTTTGGGTGAAGCTTTTGCAAGGGGACTACAGTATGATTTCTGTCAGCTCTGCTTGGAGATTTCATACGGGAAGCACCCGGACTCTGGGCTATACCTGGACCTGAACGGTTGTCAAAAGTTCCTGGCACTTTTCTCCAATGTTCTGATCGACAGTATGTCGTGGTGTCAGTGCATCGCGCGCCAACTTGAAAGAGGCTGCGAATCAATGTCTGAATCTTTTGCCTCGAACAAGAAACAAAGCAAGACCTCTTGATACCTCTTGCGCGTCTGTGAGAAACCCAAATAATGAGAGGCTTTCTGGCCAAAATGTTCCAGCTGTGCTGTGTACAATTTCTGGGTGAATACTTCACTTCAACCTGAAATAAGGTTGGGGCTATTCCCCACATACACCACCATTTGGGGTGAATTCGTGTGAGGTCGGTACAATTCACCCAGTTTGCTCTCCCGTCCCGTTTTCAGTTTCCGAGTCCTCGAGCTTCGAGGCTGCAGGGGTGGTCATCTCCGCCAGCGCGGACCTTCAACATGCGCGTTCCGTGCGACAAAAGTTGGGGAACCAGATGTCTGCTACTCCAAAAACCTGCCAAATATGAGGCTCTGACCAGGTGCCGCGTTAGTACGCGGCAGTTGTTGCAGGGGTTGGAGTAACCAGGTTTGCTTAGATGACCAAGGGAAACCCCCATCTTATACTGAGAGTTACCAATAGTGGTCAAACCCCCTTCCAAACACAAACATGGAAACCCGAAGGGGCTCCCCGTTAGAGGAACACGGCTTTGTAGGGTGTCCCTTTTTGAACTCCTTTTTTGTTTTTGGGAGATCTCTAGCGAAATGCCAACTTGGCACTAATCTGAAGAGCAGCTCTACGTAATCAGCGGCGCATGGTTCAGTATCACGGGCATGTCTTCCTATCGAAAGCAAAGTAACCACTTGTTGCACCTGAGCTGAAATATTTGGGAGCTATTCTTCAAAACCAAAAAAGAGGCGCCAAAGAAGGACCTCACATGAGCCATGGTCAAGCCTCCGTGTGTACACCATGGTCATGGTTGTCTTAACAGGCATGATTGGCTAAGGGGTTCATGACCATCCCTACTAAACCAAAGCAAGCAGATCTTTTCACCATGGCACACATGCCCCCCCTGCACGAAAAAAACCATTCCACATGCTCCCCCCCCCCCCACATGCCCCCCCTTCACCATGCCCCCCCCTGCCCCCCCCATTTTCGGAGTCTGAAACCTTATAGCTACTCCCAAATGGGTGCGGGTCAAAAATAGGTACCCACAATGGAACCATAGCCCTGGTAAGTGGAAACATGGACTAAAACCTGCGGTCCCCTGATAATTTAAGTTTGACCCATACCGAAATGAGTTTGCATAAAGCTATGGCCCGCCTGCTGTACACCAAAACGTAGTCGTGCCGACCCTTGGCGATCTCAGGCGGGATGTCCTGGAGGTGACAGCAACGGGGCACCCTTCGTAGAAAGCGCTTGCAAGTTGTTGATTTGGAGCATTCGCCAAAAACGACCACCCGGCATGCAACAAAAAAAACACGATGTGACAACGACAACCCTACAGGCTGTGTTCCGTTCAAGACCTTTCAGCTTGAATTCCAGTTCGTAGCCAGCCAAAGAGCCATGCAAATGGCGGAACGGGGGCACAGGCATTTTCACGGATGCAGGAGAACGCGGAGCTTCATGTGTATAACATATTCCCCAGTAGAAAGCGAGTACAAGTTGCTGGGAATGCACATGCGTGTCGGGGTTCAGCCATGCTCAGGCCGTTAGTTGCCAAGAATTGGGAAAACAGCCAGGACTGCGCCCTATGCAACCAGCAGTGCGGGAGGCAGCATACAAAAGGGAGTTTGGTAAACGTGTCAAACACCCGCTGAGCAGCTGGATTGGTTCGGAAGAAGGCCGAATCCAGAGCGGGATGTCGCCAAATCCGACTGACTCAACATAGAAACACTGTTTGAAAACCAAAAACTAGAATGACCTCCATGTTCTTCGGTCCCCAGAGAAAATATTTATTTAGCTGTGCTAGATTCAAAACCAACCGGGGAACATACTGAATATTATTCAGCACATGGACGATGAATCAATCAAAAACACACTGAAGTCCAACCCTCGTCCTTCCTGGTGGCATGATGTCATCACCTCAACATCTGAAGCAAACTTGCTTAGACGAGAAGTTCAAAAAATGACCCATCCCCTTTGGGTGTCCTCTTGGGAATTTCAACAATTGGGTGATTTGTGTAGGCACAACCGCTCAACCTGAACCCCTACAATTGCCATCGGAATCCTTGAGGGGTTGATGACTGTCGCCACCCGAAGCAAAGGGATGGCCCAGAAGGCATCTCTCCCGCTCCCGTCCAGGCGGTTGGTGCCAACCGCCACCTCCCCCAGGAAGGAGCGGCCGAAGCCATCCGCGCCCTGGCTTCGGCATGTCGGATTGACACGGGCTTGCCGCGAAGCGAAACGTTGGTCCTCCATTTCTCGCCTCTGATTGTCAACCTGAGCCTGGAAAGTGTGACTTGACCAGCTTCCATGCAATGAATACATGCTCAGAACAGTGGTTATGTATGGTTCTTCCTTCGCCTGCTCGTCTGGAATTCTGTGAAACTGGACTGCTCAAATTAGAGGGCTGGGCAATCCAATCCTCAATCCTAGGTGAAGAACCACTACAAAGGGGGCCTCTCTCTTAAACCGGAGAAAGGATCCAGGATTGCCTTCCTATGCTCCTGCGGAGTCAAGCGCGAGTGCACTCTATCCATGCGAATGGGGGCACTCAACTGTCAAAGTTGGCATTTTGGGGGCCTTCTGGCCTTCAAACTAGACATTCCATGTTGTCACATGGGGAGCAACTAACGCCAACAGGTGCCGCAATGCGTCGCAAAGGGTCTGTGGCTTTTGAAGCGTACAGCTAAAGCGTGTCCGCTTTGAAGTGTGATTCCGGTCAGACTCTGCCAGCCGTTGTCTAACTCAAAGCGAATTGTCTAGCCGCATTTGCGCATGACAGTACTTCTTCTAAAATCAGACCCAATGATGTGGGCCCTGGGCAAATTTGGCTTGTCAGTATTCCGAAGATCTCAAAGCACCCAATGGACGTTCAAAGCAACAGCTTCAGTACCTGGAACCACGCGATCTTCAAAGATAGACCCTTTGACAAGGATTGCAAGTCTGCCCTATCAGGCCTGCCTCAATTTCTCTAGAGGAAAAGAAACCCGTCCAAGTCGCAGTTTCAGAGGCAGCTTCATAGCTCAGTCTCTCACCCTCTCTGCGAGCGTAGCTGTTGACTGTACGAGACAGATGTGTGGTGAGTGGGGGGCAGGATCCAAAGCAAAGGAGAACAAACTTGGCACTTGGTTCTTCCCAGCAGCTGAAAAGCCCAGCGGGCATGAAACCTACCCTCTTTCCAATCAAAGTGGACGCTTGGGATTGTTTCAGGAGTGTAGTCTTAAACCCTTTCCTCAGCCATTGGGAAGAAGGTAACCTTGGATGCAAACAAGTCTTCTAGCGGATTGACAACAGCTGGCAACGTCGTCTTCCGAAACGCCTCGGCAAAGAAGACGCTGTAGCTGAGCACCAACGCGCCGTCATTTGGAGGATCCCAAGACGCGACTCCTCAAAGGATCAAGCTCGAATGTAAACTTGGTTTCAACCAGACTCTGGGCTTAAAGGAGAACAGCGAAGTTGTCCCAACAATTTGTGCTTAAACATGAAACTCAAAGAGAAAAACAAGTGGCCCAACCCTGATGTACAGCACGTCTTGCCATGGGGACAAGCGGTCTCGCCATCAGGGGCTCGTTCATGAACACCATGTAATTCACATGCTCCAACTGCCAACGGAATGTGTGCATCAGCCACGGACAGGAACTTTGATGGCTTCAACCGCGAGCCACGTCGCAGTGCTGGCAGCCAACAAAACTAGATGTGAATTGCACCCGAGATGACAGGGGGTAAAATCCAGGGCATCTCCCTTTGGCATTTGGACCTTTCTGTGAAACACCACCCTCCTTGAGCATTGGAAGGCTCGAGTGGTACGCAAACCGCAGAAGGCGTGATGGTGGGTTCTAAGCAGCTCCCGCTGCCTTTCTGCAATGCTCGCGCGTGCAAGTGTTGACAAGCCGTCCACCCCTGGATGGCCAACTTCACATAAGTTCAACATCGAAAAAATTGGGAAAGGATGGCATGCCTAGCTCGACCAAGACATCTCTCCTCCAAGCTCGCCCAAATCAAGGTCTCGGCCGATGTAGCTGAGGTTTGCCACGATTCCTCAGAGCATCCCTTTCTGTCTCCACACATCTTGTTGAGCAGTCTAAACTGGGCCGAAGGGGCCGTGCCAGTCTGCAAATTCGAACGCAACCCTAAAAGGGTCCCCCAACCGGAGCTACCTCTGAAGCAAGTTTGATTTGGGGTCCATGTGCTTGGCAGGGATGTCATGTGCATGACTCCGCACAGTGACGCTCGCAGCATCGTCCAGCAACGCTCAGAAAATAAGCTGCAACATGGCCGCGCTTCGCCCATATGCCCCCACGGAGGTCTGGGGGCTTTAAACATTTGTTGCATTTGGGTTCCCTCCGGGAAACACAAGTCCAAAGAAAGCGCTCCCCCAAGCTGAGACGCTCCCCCAAGCTGAGACATGGCGATACCGCAAAGCGCCGAGGTGCCGTCCGTGTCGTGAAAGGCGTAAGAGACAGGAGTCGTTTGCTCTGTGAAGCTCGACCTATGCGGGTCAACGCTCTGTGTACTGAGGAGTCTCTCGGCGAAACATGGGCTCAATAGAAAGATCTCCCTCAAAATGAGAGTGCCAAGACTTGTTGGACATTCACATGCGCATACATGTGTATACATATTCTTTGTGTATGTATATATTGCCTAGAACCAAGCAGGTACGATGTGTACAATATACACATGCATTGGCACAGAACGCAAGAGGCCTCAAGATTAGACAAGATGATCCGAGATGTGCGTGCTTTTTGAGGCCAACCCTTTCTGGAGTTTTTCACAGGGAAACCAAAAGTAAAACCGCGATCTTGGGGGTCTCCCTATGTCGGCCCATATATCGCTCGGAGGTGCTGGGTGTAGATCAGGAACTGCGTGCCCTTGCAGTCCAGATCGCAGCCCGCCTTATCCAGGCTGCACTGCGAACCCGGAGGAAAAGGCATCCCATTTGGGGCCACCAGTCTTGGTGGGGAACCTTCCGAAGCAAGCATGGAGTGGCACCAGCAGATTTATGATCGGAATCATGTAAAATAGGATTCCATCCCATTTGAGTCGGCCAGGGACCTTGAAACGCTAAGCTCAGTTGCCCAAATCACATTGAAAAGGCTATCGTTTGGGGTTAAAAATGGACGAAAAGAGGAGGAAAAAAAGTCAAAAGGTCGTTTCGATTTGGGCAAGTCAGTCAAATCAGCTATCTGCAGTTCGTTGAATGCACCGAACATCAACAACAATAGGGTACACCGAAACGTGAAAGCAGCCTTTGGCCAAAACCCACTGCGAGTGTGCGGATGTTTCAGATTCTGCACCTCCCAAATGATTGTTTGCTTTTTTGCTCCGTGGTGTCCCAACAGGTCCAACCAATTCAGGAAACCTGCATGTGAGCAGTGCCCATATACATCTGCAAATTCCACAAGATTTTCATAGCTGAGCTCGTCTTACCCCTGAATTGGCGAGCTCAACATTTTGGGGGCAAATATACACGGCAAATATAATATATATATATATATGTATATATGTATATGTATATGTATCTATAAATATATATATATATATGTATGTATGTATACATATATGTGTATATATATATACATATATATATATATATAAAGGTTCTTGCCCTCAGGCAATGCGAAACATGCTTGCCTATCGGGCACGGGGCCGATTCGCATCTAAGTTGCGTAGTTCTCATTCAAGATCGTTGCTGTTTTTGCCAACCCTCAACTATGGAATCATAAAACTTGGCTTCAGATCAATCCTTATAGATCCTTATCGGTGAGTCTCCTCGTGCTTGCAGGAATTTATTAGTGAGTCCCCAACGTCCCTCTCAATCTAAACAAATCTGGATATTCTGAACCTGGCAAGGCGCCCGGTACGTATCCACCGGCACGGTGGCATTGTAGGTGCCTCGCTCCAGCACGGACAACTCCACACGGCCACCTGACGGCAAGAGAGGGACCTAGGAAGCCACTATACGGCGTTGCCCCCACATACTGCAAGGTAAGCTCGCAAAAACCTTTTGGGCAATACTTGGTGTTCAACTTTGAAGCAAACCAACCAAGCGCACTGGCAAACTGCGCGGGACCTTCTGGAACAAAAACAAACAAACTCAAACGGGGCTGCTTGCAAATTAGCCACATCGAACTTCAACTTTTGGACTCCCTCCACCATGCTATGATCTTCATTGTGAGGTACCCCCGTTGTGGAACGCGTTGGGTTCGCCACTGCTTCCGTGGAAAGTGTGCTGGAATGGGATGTCTTCGTGATGATTTACATTGGTGTGCACGTCACCAACACTAGTCCATTTCGTTGCATGACGTTTTGACAAAGAGCCGCATGTTTGGTGAGATGCTACCGCGTTCTCCTTTGTACATGCTACAGATTTCGTGACTTGCCCCGAACACGAGCACCTCACCCAAACCAACAGGGCACTTCCCATCTTGCTCCGAGCTTCGCATCGGGTTGGCTGAGGTTCAAAGGAAGAGGCCGAGAAAAACCGCCTCAAATGCCGATGTTGTCATGTCGTCACAGGCGTGCCTTCAGGCGCCACACCTCTTGTTCAGGTAAACCTGTGAGTATTTCCAACCCACAAACCACCCAATCTGATCACCTTCAACCCCTGTGTGAGAGCTTCTCCCTTGACGCTATTTGGGTGAGCTTTTGTTGGGGTACCCTTTTCACCCTTGGTTTCCGAGGCACACGAGGAAGACCACCCGTCAAGGGGGTCCAAATCCCTCTTTCAACCCACTGACCGACTGCCTTCGGTGGAAAAGTTGCTGGCGTCGATGACGCTCCCTCCCGCGCTCGTATCCGAGAGGTAGAGCACGTACTGCAAGACCTGGCGCATGCATGCTGTGTGGCACAAAGTGCCAGAGCGCCGGTGGCTTTCCAAGGCAAAAGGGCTCCTGCGTTTCGGCAAGCTATGTCGTATCATTTTGCTTGCGTCCCCCTCCTACGCATACCTTACAACGCATGTTCTGGCTTGCGCCACACATGTCGTGGAGGAGTCGCTTATGCCACCTGCTTTGCGCCAGCTTACATGCAGGTTTTGGACGGCACTACAAATACACTCCTAGAAGCCCAAGAACCACGATTGCTCAGTACTCGGAAAACACAAAGACGGGGGCTGGGAAGAGTCCCCAGCAATCTTGTTTCTTGGTCCCGGGAGCTTTCAGGCGCGTACCAATGCGCCTGAAGGATAGAAGCTCTGGCTCGAACGCTGCACGGGTCACATTGCATCGCTTCACGGCATTTGGGATGTAGGGCACTAGTGCTCCTTTCGAGGCTTTGAGGGGTCAATGGCAATTCAATGGCACGTGTTCACCACCTGTCAAAGGACCTGTGCCAGATCTGATCTGCGCAGAAGATCTCTCAGCCGGGACCTTTCCGCAGAAGCAGGTCTTCAGGAGATTATTGAAAGGTCTCCGGACCAGGCCCCCTGAGGGTTGCCGCTAGACCTGCAAGAGTCCTTCTAGAACCGGTCTGCAAAACCTCTGCACGACGACCTTTGCACAAGCTATCTTTAAAAAACCGTACGAAATTTGAACATGTTCTGATTTTAAGGATCCCGGATGGATTCTAACGAGGATCCCTGAAACAACCTGCGAGTCCTTTCAGAGGCTCTCACACTGCTCATTGCACTCGGATGGGCTGTTCAACAATGAGGTGTTGGCCAGTCCGATGTTCCACCTATTGCAAAACGACAAAAGGCCAGGATTCAGGATTGCCTTTGAACAGCCCAGGGACACAACTCTTCTGTCACCCATTTCAAATACTGCAAGGATTCCTGAGTCTGCGGCGCACTAGTTTTGGAGAGCAAAGGCAAAAGGCTGACCACCTCAGTTCTTGACTCCCAACCCAAAACAGTATGTTTGATTCTAAGCCATGTTTCTGGGCAAATCATGATAATCATGATAATTCACGTTGACGTTGCAACCCCCCGGAATGTGACGTCGCTTCTTTATTTCGCCCAGAATGTGAAGCGAACCAGAATGCAAAGCAAACAAACCAAAAGGAATCCCACAGCTACGCCTTTCACGCGAGAGCTTCCCACCCCCCCACCCCCCAGGCCAGCAATGCGCATTCGCGCCTTAGATTCCTCCGGGGGGTCCCAGGTGACGACCCCACCGAGATCCCCAAAGTCCAGGTCGAAGTCAGTGAAGGACACGTTGGCCACTGAGGCCGACCTTGGAGACAGTCAGTCAATTCTGTTGCCAACCTGAACACCTCTGATTTTGGGGTCAACACGAAGGACATCTATAGGGAATCGCCTGGAAAATTGTGTGTCTTCTTAACTCTCTTTGGGTCGGTGTCGATGCTCTTTGAGATCCTCGTTTTCCAAGATTTATCCGCTAGACCAGAAAATGCCTGGTGCTTCGGCCATGGGTAACTCGACCCCGCAAACGGCTTATTAAGAGCTTGCCATTCATGTCATGGGTATAATGGCATGGGCAAGCTGCCAATTGGACTTGTCGCATCTGGCAGTTGGTTGTTGATCCTCCCACCATGGGAGTAGGCAGGCTCCACTTCCGAAAGAAGGCTGGTCTTCCCAAACGTGGGCTTGCGCACCAAGCCACAGAGAAACGGACTTCCTGTTTATGCGAACGCAAATCCATTTTTGGTGGCTTGGCAGTGTCCGTTTCTTCATCTGCAATGCGGCCAAGAGTCGCATCGTTCAGCGTCAAGGTGTTGGGCACGCTTTGCTCCACCAAGGAGGACACCGTCACCACTTCCAAGACCCCATAATGCCTCGGTCACATTGGGACTTTCCAGCTGACTCTTCGAGCGGAAGGATGGCTGTGGGAACACAAACTTTGCCAAACCAGCGTCGACTAGTCACTAGTCAAATGGGTTTGTCTCAAAAGAGGGGTACCCCCAAAACGGTGTTTTCCTTTGGGTTTACTTTTGCACCGACCCTCAAGAAAAACACAGCCCCATAGAATCACATCTTGTTCCGCATGCTGTCCAAGGCCAGGTGCAAGTCATCACTGTTGTCTAAGTCTTGTGACAGTGGCGTTGTGTGCAAGCGTGCTGTGAGCAAGCAAGTGGCGTGGTAGAGTCTGGGCCAACTTATGTTGCTCCACACTACCACCATGCACTTCCAAATTTTCAAACACATTCCTTGCAAAAGGCAAGGAATGGTTGCCAGTTAGGTCCGGACATTGTTACTTCCAATACGGCCTGGGCGGCATGTTTGTCGGCCAATGCGTAGTGCGCGGTTGGGGAACAGGCATGGCTTCTCTTGCGCATGTGATTTTGGCAGCACAGCTGACGCATCGCAACCATGTTTGTTTAATAGAGAGATGCCATCTGTTCTCTAGATTGCCTGCCAATAGGTGGCCTCCTCTGAAAAGCTGCAGCATGCGTGGTACCAGGTGGTCAGAAGAGGAGGTGGCGTCATGATCAGCGACGACAGGTAGCAAAATAATTCGCCTTTTGGAGCACAGCCGTCTTGCACCTCCGCTACACCGATGACATCAGACTTATAAGCTATGCGTATTGTCACAGATGTTGAATGTTTGCTCAACACTCATTCCTTGTGTTTGACTTTTCGGATATTGGCACAAGAGCACCCTTACCTGACTAGATATGAAGATATCCCTGGAGCAACTGTCGGCTTGCATTCAAAACCGTTACTCTGTTACTGCCGGCGCCTCCGTGGCATGGCCACGCATCCTATACCAGGAACCTTCCGTTGGGAAGTTCCGCCCTGGTCAGCAAACATTACCAAACCAGAAAAGCAAAGCTGGCAAACATGTTTCATTGCCATTCTAGCAGAGCTAAGGGAAGCACACTGGGGCCGCGCCAAGATCCGCTGAGTGCTGCGCATGCTTTTCCTGCCTGCGAGGCCCTGTGTCAACGCGAGTCGGCGTAGCAATCTTGGCTCAGTGCAAGAGCTGCAGCTCTTAGGTTGGAATGTTGGGAAGAGAGCGCCAGCATAGCGGCTCGGCGTTAGCAGCAATGCAAGTTAAGCTTAAGTTTGTATGGAGAAGATTCTTAGCGCACGTGAGAGAGGCTCGGTAATAACTTGATTCTTCTGTTTTGGTGGGGAGACGGCGCAGATGAGCCCAGTGAGCACGAGCATGGGCGATGCGCCTACACTACTCACCTATTCCAAGCCTACTCGCCCCCTCGCGGATGGCTCTGTGCAACAGACTCTGTGCAAATGGCTCCGTGCAAGTTGCTCTGCACAAGTTAGCTTTGCGCGAATAGCTCTCTGCAAGTGAATCTGTGCAAGTTGCTCTGCGCGAGTCAGCCCAAGGCCTCCAGCGCGGAAGAACACTTTGCGATGCTTTCGGGAAAACCAAAAGGACGCAATGCAAGTCTCGCCCAAGTTTCGGGCATCTGCAATCCAAAAACAGAGGCCATCCCGTACCACTGATCTGGGAACATCTCCCAGACACATCCTCTCTGCCCTGTTGCATGGGGAAGTTGTACAGCTCCGCGGTGTTGGTGCCCACTGGAATATCACTGCTGTACCTGGACCCCGCACATTTTTTTTGGGGGGGGGGTGGAAGTTGATGTTCCTGGGGTTCCATGTTGGTGGACAGGAGGACCTTATGTACAAACATGGGTCATGTCCAATATAGTCTCATTTTTGGGGCCATGGCCACATGAAGTGGCGAAGGCTGATTATAGCCCTATATTCCCCGTAAACCAGGTAGGGAATGGCCAAAACGGGTTTTAGACGCCGCTCATTCAAGTGTCTGCACCTGAAAGAACCCCGAAAATAGAGGGCTTCGCTTTGGTGCTCCTCAAACAGGGACACCCATGTTGCCCTTCACTCAGGGTGCGCCGAATGTAACCTTGCGCTTGCAAGTCAGGTCAGCTTCCTTCCAATTGACGGCTTTGGATTGGTGGGTTGGTCGTTAGGGGTGGTTTCCCATCTACCCTCTGCACTACAAGAACCAAAGGTTCACATTCCCAAACCACCAATCCAAACTACAAATTCAGCATCTGCAACCCGGAAGTAATGAACCCAGCAGAAACGGCCCATCGTGGGCGAAGCTCGGAACACGGCCTGGGCCAACCTAAACAAACTCTATTTAGGTGGCTCCCAAAACTTCTCCCGAAACGGCAACTGCTTTCCCTTTGGATACCAACTCAAAGGAGCTCTGACATCCATGGGTAACTTCCATGATGTTTGGTTTCCCTTCAGGGGCCCAGGATTTGGCCCAGGCTGTTGGCACTTTGGAACCCATGCAGCCGCGCAGCTGCGTCTTGGTCCCTGCGGAGTTGCCATACATGCCTCGATGGTGCGAGGAACAAGTGAACAAGTCATCCCCCCCCTCCGGCCCCCTTCTTAACAGTGCCCAGATGTAATCACGTCAATTTAATGCCGGCAAAAACAAGAGTTGCGGATGTGTGCTCAGTCCGGGAACCAAGAGAACATACCACTGCGCACACTTCTGAAGGCCCTCGGACTGCACTCGAAAAGAACTCTGGTGTATTCATCCATTTTACCAGAAAACACTGGTCAAGCTCAACTTTGACCCAAGACATGGCAAAACATGCACTGATTCCACAAGGAAGCTTCCAACCTTGCGATGGGATGTAAACAATTCCTGGCGCCCAGTGACAGGCAACTAGCTGAACACTGACAGATCTAAAATCTGAGCACGAGAAGCAACTTCTGACTAAGAAGTGAACTTCAATTGTTCGGCACACCTGTGTACTGCTTATTTCAATAGCATCAGTTGCTACCCCTGGGCAATCACACAAGATAAATGTGGATGTTGAACCGGATCTTACTTTTTCAAATCTGTTGCTCAAGCCCGGATAAATATACTGCCAATGGGGAAAGGCTGCATCGTTCCAGCCAAAACGATGGACTACGGCACGCAATCATCACCTGAGCACGCATAGGGGCTAGTGTCCCATCCAGCGCATGGGTGTTCAACATTGGACATGTGCGAACCCGAACAAATAACGCCAAACATCTGGTGTTTCTTGCCTCTGCGAACCATCTTCTAGGAGGTGTGCCCCCCCAAACCTTGTGTGTTAACCTTTTGCCCAGCTCTTTTCGCGGTCTCTGCAGATGTCTGCTTCCAAGATGCGATAAAGCTGCACATGCGTAGCATTCTCGGGTGGAGTCCACGTGACGATGCCGCCGATCTCCCCCGCGTCCAAGTCAACTCGGCCGAAGCAACGTTTGATGGCAAAAATAGAGGAATGATTCGCTCTCGACGCACAAACGCGGCAACCCGAACATCTGCAGGCTCCGCTTCAGAAGTGTATTTGTCAGGGAACCAAAGCTCAAAGCAATGTTGATGCCCGCTTCACGGTGTACAAACACTGCTCTCACGGAATCGTCCTTCCCACGGAAGTCTCTGCTTTTTGTTGCTTCTCTGGAGCACGCTTGGTCGAACATTCATCAGTGTGGCATCACGCTTGACATAGTTGATGCTCTCGAGTTGGGCGCGGCAACAATGTTGGGAGGCCCGTACTATGTCCTTACAAACACTCCTGCTAGCTCCTGCGCTCCCTGTTTAGAAGCAAATTTGGATACCCCCAGCTCCTTGGCTCCCCTTCAACCAACAGCTAGCAGCTAGCCTTTTGAATCCTAGCGGCCCAACAAATCCAAACAAGAACCGGAACCACTGGCAGTCGAGTCGCCATCATCGCAGGCAACGTTGGAGACGCTGGCACTTTCGTCATCGATCGGAATAGTTTGGGGTGTGGTCTGCTCATAGAAGCTGGAGGCCTCAATGGTAAAGCTGCAAGCTGGACAATGCCGCTACCCCGTGGCTGCAAAGCCGGCAAGCATGAAGCAGCTGTCATCTGCCCTCTGCCCTTGGGGCGGCCTTTAAAGGCAGATCCTTGCTCCAACCCGATTTGTTGTCATAAAGTCCAACTGGACTTAAGTTCAAAAATCAGTTTGGAACACATGAGCAGCGCTCAAAGGTTGGCTTTGCTGCTACTCAAATGTCAAATGCGTATGGAGGTTACCAATCCCTCCATTCTAAAGCGGAACCTTGTTCACACGCATGACGGTGCCGTGCAGTGCATCAGCATTCATCCAAGGTGCTGCATAGAGCAGGAAATGGGTAAATGTACCTCACTTGCCCAACGGACCTGGAAATCAATTGTCAACAAACCTTTGACTACAACATGCACAAACATTGGAAAACCAAAAAAGGTCAAAAGGTTGGCTTTGGACCACCGAGATGCTCTTCGGCTTATCCACTCCCCAGTAGAAGCTGGTGGTGCCCGGCCACAACTTTCGCAGCAGCACTCGGTTCCTAGGCATAGAGACGCAGCCGCAAGCGCAGGTTCATACAGATATGACTTTTTTAGTTTTAGCGGGGGACACCCTAAAAATGGTCGGTGAACATAAATTGAAATGTGAATAACGTTCACCAAAAGATCCCTGGCTTCATAACCCTCTTTAAGACTGTGCCTATGGCGGGCCAAAATGTATCTGAATTCCCAGCATTCAGCGATAAACCAGGGGTTGGTACCACGGGCTTCAATCACGGCGAGACGAGAACCATCAAACATCACATCCTGTGATTGCACGGGGCATATTGGAAGCGGCTGCCACATGTCAACATAGACATGTGGCTCTGCGTGCGTGCGGGTGCGCGTGCACGTCTGCGTGTGCGTACGTGCGTGCATGCGTGTGAACACACAATCCCAAACGCTTATCAAAGCAACAAAAGGGCGAATGTCCAGCTACTAGTTAGTGTAAAATGCAAATTGGCAACAAACAGACAGGCAGTGAGGCGCACAAAGGCATGGTACAGAGCCTCAAAGGCACAGAAATATACATGCACACACGTACAAACACAAATGAACAAAAATGCAACAGGTGCTGAATCAGCCTGTGCGCGCAAAGTCAAAGGCTGTCGACAGGGATCTGCAGCGAACCAGTTTGAATGCATCAAGATCTCTATTCAACATGTCATGTTGGTACACCCCAAGTTCCTATGGTAACGTTGGGTGCTTCACATGTTCCTGTTACGATACAGCAAATCACAAATATTGAAACCTGCACATGTGAGCCACAGCCAGTGTGGTCTGTTCCCCGAACTACTGTGGCTTCTCAAAATCGGGCGGGGACCCGTAGAGATGGAGTTCGGCTTTCCGCTTGGCTTCCTTTCTGGAACCGAAAGGGGCTTGCCGCTGCGAGGTGCCCAGACTTGAGAAAACGCGCCCAGGTCCAAAAGTGCCAAGACTGAAACGGGGTATGCCAATAGGCGGAACTTGGGAGGGGTTCCTAATGGTTTCCCCGGCGAAAAGAGTACCCTTGAACGACACCCACTGTGGACCCTTCGTACCAAAGCGACCCAGAAGGCCACTCCGTTTCACAGACACGGCCACTCCGTCCGAGATACGACTCGCTTGGCACTTCCACGGTACCGTTCCTCAGCTAGCTGCATTTTGGGCAAAGCGCCCCTTTTCTACGGGCCCAAACTTCACTATTTGGTTTGAATTCTAATGGGTGCCGGCCCTTTGGTGCACCCGCTTTGGAGGTGGCACCTTCAACACACCTCCCAAGCATCTGGACCCCCAAAAGTATCCCAGTGTTAGGGTATGCTTAGGGCTGATGGATTTATGAATTCCATGAAGGAACCTTTGGCTTCAGTAAAGACGGTCAAACAGTGGAAAATTGCTTGCCCTCTTCCCATCCTTTCATATGGGATCAAGTACGCTATGGACAAGTTCACCTAGCCCCCGCCCCCGCCGCCCAAAGCAAGACTAAGTAAAGACTAGAAGCCAAGACTATGAGGTGAACCAAGGCCGGGCTAAACCAAATGAGGCTTAAAACCAGGCGTGGGCAGCCTCTGGTTCCTGATGATCATGTGGGGTAGGCGTGCCGAGGTCACGCTTTGTTGCGGTAGATGGCGAATATTGTTAAATAATCCTCCAAACAGCTCGGGGACATCGCAAGCCTGGATGACACCGTTAGATTCATGGACTCTTGTAGCCCAGGCTACAGTTTGCCTCAAAACCACCCCCCTCGGTGTTTCATAACCAAAAGCTTCAGGGCAAACATGGTATCGCGATGTGTAAATCAAGGCAGTTGGTCAACCTGGAAAACATGGCTGCGGCCAAATGCGGCTTGGCCTCCCGTCGTCGTAGCCTGGCAGCTTGACTCAAGGACCTCTTCTTGAGGGGCCTTTCAGACTGCATGTCGGCATGTCTTTCTGGCCAGGTGGCTGGTTTACAACCAGCGGCTACAGTGCTCAACTTTCCCCTCTCATATATGACAAAACAAGAATTCACAAGCCTTATTTTCTATTGTTTCTGGGTCGGGCATCAGGAACAAAGCAAAGGACTGAAGCGCGCACTTTGTGGCAATTCGTCCACCCTCACTCCTTGATGGTGATACCTATGTATATATATATATATACACATGCAATATGTATAGTTGTCAAACACGTTTGGGCTTATCTTTGCAAGTTGCCAGGTGTGCCGCAAATGCCTGGGATGAATTCCCTGATCCCAATCCGGTCTCTGGTCTCACAATGAATGCAGTCCAAGGAGCCAGCATAGTAGAGGTAATAGCTCAACACCTGAATGCACCGACTCTGCACATGGTGAAATTCACGAGCTCAGCCGGTGTGCATGTGCCATTAAAACGTGGGCGCGTAACAAACTGGGCCGGTGGGGTGGGCGACCTTGAATGGAAACTGAACTAAACCAACCATGCGACAATGACGGTGATTGATTCAGATCTAATTATGCTCTCCAGCTTTCGATCAAATGGCTTTCGCAGAGCGGCTGGTGATTCGGTGAGCCACACCTTTCTTTTCGAACCGCTAAACGTAGTTTCATTTGTTTGGCGAGTGTGCCCCGGTTTTCGCCTTTGTTACTGTGATGCCGACGAAGATTGACGGTTTCTCATGTGATGACCAAGCCAGTACCAATCGAGAATCAACGGAAAAACTGCGCATCAGAAAAACAAGCATAAGAATAGGGCAAGCCTCTCAAATCCGAGCAGGAAAACAAACTCACAAACTCACAAACACTAGACACAAGCCGCACCAAACATCCACTGAACAACCCTAAAGCTTAGCTTCCGGGTTGACTTCCCATTTACCCTTTCCAAACAAAAACCTCAGTTCCCCTCCCAACCTAAAAACACCTTCCCTGCAAAGCGCCGATCTCCGGCTCTATCCCCATCCGTTGCGACGGATCGGACGGATGGATCGATCGCCTGGGTGAGGTCCGCGGGTTCGAGGAACTCGAAGGTGCCCCCGAGCTCCGCGGAGTCCAGGTCCAGGTCCTGGAAGCTCAGCCCCGACGCCTCGGGAGGGGCGAAGGCCGCCGCCAGCCGCCGAAGGCCGAAGCCGAAGCCGTCAGAGACGGGGAAGAGGGGCGAGAGGGGGGCGACCCCGAAGCACAACTAATTATATTTAAAGAAAAAACGGGGAAAAGACCTGAGCTTCGCGGTGCCTGAGATAAATATGACTTGTGTTAATGTTTGTCAAACAAAGAAACTCTTTTCAGGGTTTCGGATCCGATCACAACGCTGGGGGACCAAGGCACTCTCATGAGAAAGACACCTGAAACCGGTGGCGGATTCGGACAAGCGGCGGAAGACGCCGCATCTGAGATCTCTACGTAAGCCGGCCACGACTGCTCCGCCAGCGCAGAGTATGTCACCACCTGCGCACCGCACAGAATGCTGAAGCTGCCAAACAAAGTGAGTCTTGAGTCTTTTCCTGGGCAACTCTCCTGATTGTCGCAAAAGAACGGAACAGCGCTGCATTTAGCGACACATTGCATGGAGACTGGCCCCAGACTTGTCAATAGTGTGCTGAGCAAACAAGTTGCTGATGGTCCAAGCTTCCCAAAACCATGCGCATCTCACGCCTGCAGGTAGGTGTAGGTGGCATTGGCCGTCCCATTCACCTGAGGTGCCAAGGACTTACGAATGCTGAGCTTTTGAAAATAGGAAATGCAACCCCCTCAATGTTGGCTGCTCCTTTGGTTCTTGCCCCCCCCCCCCCCCCAACAACAAAATTAGCAAAGTAAAATAACCATAAATCATCTTTAAAACGACCCCAAATAAGAACCACAAAAAACACTCACCCTTCTCGCACTCCGGTGTAAAAGGAAAATCCACCTGTCGCCGTCTCACACCTTTCAAGCGGATAGCCTGTGCACACTTGGCCGTTTGAGTGCTGCTCAACCCACGGGACTCCTCTACACACTTTCTGAGTGGATGGGTCAAGCAAGTCCCAACTTTGTGTTTGCCCCTAAAATTAGGCTGTTTACCCCTTCAATGGGACAAATCCAACCCCGAGGATCGGACAAACTCATATAGTTGCTCTCCTGAAAACATAATGATATGCCGCATCTTTGGGACACACCCCATGATGAAAAGAAGTGCAGACTGTTTGTGTACCAAACTAAAATGGTCTGGCCGACAAGCTTCAGATCAGTTGTTGATACAACTACAATGGTCTTTTCCCAAACTTCGAAGCCCAGCAACAGGGGAACCCAAACCAAAGGCCATGCGCAAAAGAGGGGGCACTCCTTTGATATGTCCGTAGTTGACTTTGAGGGGAACCCCCTCGGAGAAAAAAAAAACGTGAAAAGAGGAAGCAGCCTGGGTGTCTGGGAAACTTGAAGGGGCCCTGTTTTGGTTGACCCCCAGCCTGCTTGTTTGGACCCATAAACCAAAAGATAAAATGGAGGTTTCCCTCCGAACCTTTTTTTGCGGGCTTTCTCCATGGACTTACAGAACCTACATCACTGATTGGTAAAAAAAAACAGGTTCGTGGTGGGCAAAACAGGGCCCCCCGGAAACTTGGGAGGTGAATCGGCGCCTTCGCCGTGTCTTCCAGGACCACCTGCTGCATCGCAGCTGTCCCCAGGTCCGCGATGAGGCTGCGCTCGGAGCCTGCGAAGCGGGGGGAATCGACAACAAAGGCCTGGGCATTGCAGATATACGGCCATACTGTAGACATTCTCAGGGACCATGACCCACAGGAGTCCTGACCATGGCCCATGAGATAGTTGCCGACAAACTGTGTCCTCTACAAATGGTTCCGCAGAGAGGGCCACGGGTTACAATCCAAATCGTACCCCCAGTGAACATCCCAATTCCACTAAAATCGGCTCTAACACGGGTGGTGAATTCACCTACCAACCACAATGGGATCCCATTGATTTTGACCCACAGCCATATGGAATTGTCTCAAACTAAGAAACCTCCGAATGGTTGGTTTCCTTTTGGTTTCCCTTGCCAACCCTAAACGGTACCAACTCAAAAAACAACACTGAGTCGTGAGACAAAACGATCTCAAACCTCAAGCTTCATCCAAAGGAAGTGCTTGGCCGCGAAAAATGCGGGAAGTGTCCAAATTTCGATTTCAGAAATGGCGCGCGGAAGTGCAAGGACGGTAATACACACATTTGACGGGGGTGCTGAGCCGCTTGCATTTTCCGGTGCCGCCGCTGCCTGTGCCCGTGCTGGCGCTCAAGTAGACCCGCATGCCCAGCATTTGGCTCAGGCTGGCAGGTGTGGTCCAGGTGGCCCGACCGCCCACCTGACACTTCGCAAGTGGCGCATGGGGTGGGCCCTCCGCAGCTGGGGAACATGCACTTAAACTCGCTTCCTGAGTTGAGTGGCCAGAAAATGTCCGAACTTTTCTGTTCACCACTAAACTGGTCTTCCCACAAAGTGTTTAAAGTTCGGGGACCTGCGTTGATTTTCATTGAAAGCACCTGGAAAGCCACCGTTTTGGGAGCCTCCCCATTTCGACACGTCAACGGAATCCCGTTGGCGGCAATCCAAAAGTCTCCCAACGCCGAAACGTCAACAACGTCCACGACGCTGTGTCCTTTTGACCTGCTTCCACAAACATTCAGTTGCTTGGTCCTGACTTGGATGGCAAAGGTAAGTGTATATATATTTATAACTAAATGGTTGGGCAAAAATACCAGATTCTCCGTCCATGTTTACCTCCCTTTGGGGTGAAATTCAATATGCAGCGTACGCTCCGTCTCAAACTGTTTGACACCTCGGCTCAAAGTTACATCCCACCTCGTCCTGGTCCAAGTCCTGGCACCGAAACCGGAGAGACATTGGTAAGATCCCAAGCAACCGCCACGCACTTCAATCTGTCCATCAAATGGCTGTGGGGTCAAAATTAAGCCACCCAGAAACCCCAAATGTTGGTCCATGTTTCCATTTACCAAGGAAGCCATTTGGGGTACCTATTTTGACCCACTGCCAAATCAGCTCCAATGATTAAAGACTCTGACAAAAGATGCGTGGCTCGTGCTTGACTACCTTTCATAGGTGTTCGAGCTGCCAATGCAACAAAATCCCAAGAAAGAGCGCGTAAGGTGCAATTTGGCAGCCCTCAGAAGATGCTATGACGCAGGTTGGTGGCAATCTGCTTCTAACTGCGAGTAAAACCGGGTCATTCTTGTTTAAAACATGGAACACATGCTTGTTGGCACAGCGCCTCGAAAAACCTTCCCACCCTCCAACCCGAGTCCTTGTCCACGAAAGCCAGGTTTGTTACGCTTGAGTCCGAATCCACCACTGCCAGAACCACTGGAGTGCGCTGCTCCGTAGTTGCTGATAGCGAGTGGATGAGGATGTAGGTATGAGTCCTCTGATTTGCAAGAAGCGCATCCCTGACGGCCTTCAAGTCCTTGCAAAGACCCCTCAAATCGGGCCAAGTTCAAAGAAGCGTGATGAAGCGTGTCATGTTCGGCCTAAGTTGGAACAGAATGGCGCGCACTGCTTCTTGCAAGCAAAACGCAGCAGCGGTGTGTTCAACTCCACCGTGAAGGAATTGATGCCTGACAAGTCAGCGAGCCAGGGCGCCAATGGGAGCTCGTATCTGCAGAGAGACAAGCTGCGCGTCAACATGTTGAACTGGCTGCAGGGATCAACAAACCAAAAAAATAACAGCAAACAGCTGCCACGTCTTGGTCATCGCAAAGCCGACAATATAAAGGACATTCACAGCATAGTTGTCTGTCAAAACACGGCTATCGCCTCCTTTGATACTCTGTACAACCCATTGCCCGCCTTCTGATTGCTGACCCAGAAGTGACTTGCCAGTGCCAATCTCGTCCTTCGGGCAGCAAGAATCTCCGAACCCACCCAAAGCACTACACCTCTCGCCTCGTTTTCTTTACGAGTAGCTGTCCAAGAGACAGTCTTGCCAGCGTGGTGGGCCCTCACTTGGACGACTTGCTTGTAGATCTGGCTTTTCAGGGTTTATTCCAAAAAAAAGATACAGTAACAACACAGGGGCAACCACCCCTCAAAATAAAGATGACCATTGCACCAGCATACCCTCATCACCAAAACTGCAGCACAAGCAAACAACATGTGTGTATTATATGTAGATATAGATACATCAGGACAACCCAAGAATCAACTTGGGTTGGTCTCTGAGACCTCCAGCAGGTTCATCTCTTCACTGTGGAAGCGCGGTCATGCTCCTATGGTTCAAGTGAGTTGGGTTCAAAGCCCAAAGCCCCACGTGATCGTAGCCTGGATTTGTCAGGTTGTCTTCCAGGAAACAGAGAGTTGCGGTGACAAGGTCGACGCTTTCTTCGATAGGATGAAACACATCTTTGGGACACCTTGGGCATGGTGGGGATGTCGCCGAAGTTTTGATCTGGCCGTGTTTGTTCCAAGGATCACGAGACCACGGGGCCCGAGAGTTCGCGGCCTCAGGACTGCTCTCCAAACAGGTCATGAGGGCTACCAAAGACCCTAACGGAAACGTGGAGCATTTGGGGCAAGCGAGAAAGGAAGAGTCTGAACATTTGTAGGGCGAAAAAAAAGGGGGAAGACGTGTCACACAGGAAAAGTGGGCCATTCCCATGCCCAATTTCCGCAAGTCGGGACAAGGGATATCACAGAACGTGGACACCTACATCCACGGCTTCCACTCCCCAAACCGCGAGCAGTACTTACCCTGCCCCAAACGCGGAGCCGCGTTCGAGGCAAAACACCCTGCACCCTCCTCCCCCCCTCAAAAAAGGAGCCTAAAACCTGCCACCAGTAACGTTTCCAAGTACACTTGCCCTGTCCTGGGCCAGGTAGATCTTGTAGGCTGTGACCGTCTGCGCCACCTCTGGCGCCACCCAGGTGAGCGTACCGCCCAGCTCCCCGAGGTCCAGGTCCTGCGAATCCATCGCCACGTGGAAGTTTCCCCCCGGACAGCCACGTGTGTGTTTTGGGGTTTTTGGGCTGGAAAACCAATGGGAAACCGTCCCCATGTCACATGCTTCCCACGATTTTCACACGGTGCAGGAAGGTAGAGGGAGAACTCCCTCCAGCTAGATTTGCTGGAAAGAAGATCACTAAGTGAGTCGCAATCAAAACCTGGTACTAAAATGGTCTACCCAGAACCATGTACAAGAGGGCGGTCGAAGCTATTTATGGTTGGGATGGTCCCTTACTAACCTTCATCACCCGAGTTTTGATTGTGGCTCAAGTGGAGATTCATCCCAAAGTGGCCCAAATGATGTTTAAACCAGCTGAGAAAGGGAAGCTTTGGGACCACTTGGAGGGTCCAAGCAGTTGGTTCCGCTTCAACAAACCCCTGCATTGATTGGGGAAAATGCGCCTGGGGCACAATTTGTTTAAACGCCCAGACCCATTTCGACTCCTTTGAAGGGGAATTAAAAGGAGGTGGTTTGAACACTTAGCACTCAGTCCACCTGCCCAATGGATACTGCTAATTGTCGCAGCTTTCGAGACTGGTCCATGTGCTATCTGATTGTTACTCTCGATACATAAAGGGTGGGCCACAACTGCATGGAGGTCACAAAGGGTCTGCCATGTCTGCCCATTCCAAAGTAAAGGATCCGAAAGGCGGGTTGCCGGGACTGCACCCCATGGGACCCAAGGCTTCTGGACTTGCATGTAAAGCATCTAGATTTTGTCTGTTTCTGGGAACTTCACTGTGCAACCCCAAAGGTACCCTCCAAGAGGTTCACCCAAACTCATGCCTTCTCAAATGTCCGAATGTGTCCACCTATATCTCTGGACAAACTGGCATCTCTGAGCAAATCCACTTACAGCAAAGAAACCTCTTCTTCCATTCCCTCTCACCCCGACCTCATCCACAAAGGCCGGCAGGGAGACCTTGTCGGCGGCAGGCGGATTTTGGTTGCAGGGGTTTCCCAACCTCAAAGGACACCCTTTCGGCCTCCTATCGGTATATACTCAGCTTTAGCACTCAAACTGCTGTCAGCTGTCTCTGCCAAACCTCAAAAGTCAGCAACCCCTCCGAAGTCAGCAAAACCAGTTCGCTCTCGCTCTCAACCCCTCGGCCAAAAGCACATGCCTGGTACTTGCTGGTGGCGTTGATGAAGGAAAGGCTGTTCGGTGTCGTCTGCTCAACGAAGCTGGATCGCGTGTAGACCACAAAGTGAGTGTAGTTCTCAGCAGAGAGTTCGGACATGCACGTAGGCGGCCATTTGGCAAGATACGCGGCAAAGGTGTACGTGTCAATGGTAGATGAGTACAACCAAACTCAAACCAGTGGAATCCATCTATGTTCAACCAAACCGCAAAAAACATAAACCCATCAACCTGCACAATCATGCTGGGATTAAAGAAAAGGGCTCGCCCAGCCGGCTTTGACAACACTTCAAACAAAGCCACTTGGAGTGCAGTCGCATTTCAATCCTACCTCGTGGCCTTTACAGGTATTTCTGATTTCCCAGGCAGCCCAAATTCCCTAATCGACTGGAAGCCAAACTGTCCAAGGCACCCCGTAGGCGTCGCCCTCGAGTACCTGCAAAGGCAGGTAGCTTCCACAGCTATGGGGGGGCAGTTTTCTAAAATGGTTGGTTTCCTGGTCACTAGTGTCCCTTTCAATACCACCACGGGTTCCGCTATCCATGAGAAACCTCCCTGTTCCGTGCAGAGGTATTCACCCTCCTTCCATCTGAAGCTGACGAGTAGCCTTCACCAAGAACACGTCGTGAAGGAATTTGCAGGTGCCGAATGACCCCAAACCAACCTCCACGGTTTCCCAGGCCCATTCCCCACTTTCCCACCAGCAACCAGATCATGGCGCGCGGGTCTGCAGAAAGAACCCCAACAATGGGCTTCCCTCTCTCAACCAAGGTGAAAAGGGTGCCCCGCCTCAACAAAAACGACACACGCACACACGCACACACACACACACACACACCGAACTATCGAATCTTGCCTCCAGGAAATCGGTGCCAGCCGTTGACGAGCCGAGCTGAGAGCGCCCGGTCCCGAGGCCGTCTTCTGCAATGTAGATTTCCTGTGCGGTCAGGACTGTGATTTAAAATGGTTTGGGTATGTCTCCAAATCGGGGACCCCCCCCCAACAAAAAATATGTTTGCTTTCCACTAAAGTTCCCGGCTTTTAACAACCTTAACACAGCCATGAAACAAAAACACAACACACACACACACACACACACACACACACACGTAGTTGTGGTTTCGGAGGGACCTATTTTACAACACTCCCAAGTGAAGCCATTACAAAGCTTCCGCCACCAAACTACTACCCCCTCAGGGAATTAATTGCATGACCGAGCGATTGCCCCAGTTTTCCCAGTTGCTAGTCTTCCCATTTCCTTGGGGGGCCAGTGGAAAAACAAGTGTTCCACCGATTCGCTTATTCTTCACCCATTTGCCTGCGGCTTGGGGTGAGAGACCCTCAAAAAACAACGTGCCGAGGAGCATAGGACTCCAGGCAGTGCAAATCCGATGGCGGCAGCCACACCAAGGTCCCATTCACCACCTGGGGCCAGAGCCGCAAGCCGCGCACTCTCTGGGCTTTGCCCGTGGTTGGCACAGACCGAAGCCACCCTCAAACCACTCAAAAGAAACAAAGAATTAACAACACAGTTTCCAAGAACCCCAGATTCCCCTTCGCAAATCGCTGGTGACTTGCCTGTTCTGTGGATCTAGGCAAAGGTACTAAAACATAAACCGGAAATCAGGAATCCCCAATAAAAAACAAACACACACACACACACCCACACGCACACACTTCATGAACCCGTTTTGAGCCCGGTATAACTTGCTTGAAGCATCTTTAAAGTTCGAGGATCCGATTCGTCTGAATGACAGTCAGTCAGCAACCCCAAATAGGAGTTCCCTTCTGTTGATGGCCAACATCCATTTTCGCACTAGCTGGTAGGTGTTTTATTCCAGTATTTATAGGGCTTCATCCACTAACTGGTGCAGGATGTTGTCCATGCGCAGAATGAAAAGGCACGGTGAGGTCGACAACCCGCTTTGTGCTCCTTCCAGCTTGACAAAACAAAACACATATGTCGCGCCCGATGGTCTCGCATGTTCATTCGACCGGATCAGAATTTTCCTGTTGCAACATTGGGCACAATGGTTTGGCATACTCCAAGAGGAAAGCGACACTTTTGCCGGGCGGGGGGGGGGGGGCACACATCTTGTAAGGTTGCCTTGGAAGGACAACTCTGCTTCGCATTGCTTCCTGGCAAAACCAGATTGCTGCCGCGTCTAAGTTGGGTCAGCCGAGGCGATGCTTCACAGCTGTAGCGATCAGGACCTGAAAAGTTCGCCGGGTGCTTCGCATCACTAGGGTGCGCCTTGATGTCTCTCGCCCCAACGCTCCCCGATGGCACTCCACGTGAAACTAGTGATTATTGCAAGTCCATTTATGTACCGCGAACCCACATCAAGCACATAAGGCAAGGCACGTCCATGTTGAGGTCGGTGCCCACAAAGCTGATGGTGCCGACCGTGGCATTCTCGTCCTGAAGGGATTCAGTGCAAGTTTCGAGCCCCTGTTTCGCGGCTGTTTCGGGGCAATGGGCTGGGGGCCCAAAAAAACACGGCGTCTTCTTTTGGCTTCCTTTGAAGGGAAAATTGACAACAAGGCAGCACCCATGTTTCGGAGGGGAGGGTTGGTTTCTTGTCAATTTATCTTTGAAGCCATCAGTAGGGGGGTCTCCATCCGTGTTTTCCGATACTCTCTGGTCTCGGGGTAACTTCCCCATTATTATCTGGGATCCGTCTTTCCAGAAAAAAAAAAACACAAAACAGGAAAACCGGATGGTTCTGAACATATTGTTTGAACAGAATTCGGAAAAGGAATCATGCCCAAAAAAGAATCATCTGGCCACGGGTTAAAATCCATGGCACCCCCAGTGAACATCCCAATCCTCACTAAAAAAAGACTAAAACGGGTGGTGCACCTACCAACCAAAATGGGATCCCACAAATTTTGACCCGCAGCCATCTGAGTCGAATCGGAGCGCAGGCTGGCTGCCCCCGGCCGAACTTTGGTCTCACCCTGTCCTCGATGGCTACGGTGCCGGGGGTGGTCTGCTCCGCCAGCGCGGAGGTGGAATACACCAGCCAGGTGCTGAGATTCGTCACCGCGGTGTCCTCAACTCGAAGCTTCGCGGCTCCAGCAAACCGCGAGACGGCAAGCTTCGTGGCACATGCCCACAGAAAAGGATTCGGGTGAGACCATTGGTCAAACAAACCAACGGGTGCGTGTGCGTGTGTGCGTGTGTGCGTGTGTGCGCGTGTGTGTGTGCGTGAGCGCATGCGCGCGTGGGGGTGTGCGTGTGGGTGTGGGTGTGGGTGCGGGTGTGGGTGTGTGGGTGTGTGTCACTCTTAGATGCGAATTTAGGCCTATGGTAGGTAACATGTGAGGGGAAGGAACCTCGTGTACACTAAAAATGCGCTAAGCAACCTGAATCAAGGAATACAACTGGAATGAGAAACGAACCCCCCGCGGACTTCGGACGGTCTCTAAGGGCGACCACCACGAAGTCGACAACCCTGTACCATGGACCCGCAACGGAAAGATGTTTGAACGCGTTCCACTGCCCAAACAGCGCTTCGTCCACATAACTTGAGGAAGAGATACTTCACTTGGAAGAGGATCAAGCGCCCGGCATACTCTATCATAATCTTAATGCGTGACGCCTGATGCATGGTGAAATGGTCAAGAAAGCTGCCAAGCGACGGCAGCCAGCGTGGCAGAGTCATCACCCAGCCTCAGTCCGAAAGAATGATGTCAAGCGACAGCATGCAATAGCCGTGTCGACCCAGGATGGTGTCCACACTGGGAATCTTCAAGTTGCTGGGGAACAATTCCCCGATCAGTTTGATTGATCTAGGGTTGACATTATGCTGAAGGACATCAACCATGGACCCCACCAATCTAACAACCCATCATCTAAAGAGTGCGCCACTTTGATGGAAAGTAACTCTTGCACCACCTGACATCCCCGAACGTCTGGTGTCCCAATCAAGTCGTATCACTACACAGCCGGTCCAACCCCCCCCCCCCCCAGGCTTCGCAGCATGGCTTAAACAGCTCTCAAAGGCATGTCTTGGTACCTGACATGCGGGTGAAAAAATACTGAAGGTGAGGCCCCCCCCGTGCCTTTCAAGAGCCCGAGGAGCAAAAGCTTGAACCCACGCACTCGTTTCCTCCAAGGCGCGGGTTAACCTGGTAGACTGATCGGCACCAGGTGCCTTGGATGTCCTGGGCCCACTTGGAATTCAAGAAATGCAATGATATACTTCTAGGTCCTCCAGTAGAGAGGTTGAGGGAACCCTTTTTTCTGTAGTCTATTTTTAGTAGGGGAACCCTCCCCCTAGAACGCAAAAAAGGGTAAGGGCACTACTGGGGGACCTAGACTTGGATACAAACATAGATTGAAGAAAGAAGCATCTTGTTTGAAAGCTCTCTTTTTGTTTGTTTCTTGGGCCATCCAGGCGTTTAATTTAGACTCAAAACACAACATGCACCGCCCTCGTCCTTGTCCCCCTGTGTTCTTTCGGTGCCACTCGCTGTAGCGCCATAGTCCGCGGGGCACACGCCAGCCTTAGAAAAGAGTATGCGGAACCCGTTTTTGGTGGTTCTCGTGATTCTTATTTAAGTCAAGGCGACAAGGATAATTGCCTTTAATATGTAGATAAACATATAAACATATAAACATACATGTTCACACACACAAGAAAGTCACTGTCAAGCACAGCTTCTTCCAAAAGGAACCACCCGAGAGGAGGACGAAATGGGGGGACCTTTGCAGCTCCCACAAAATGACAAACGCCCCAACAAGTGTTTGGAGGAATGTCCTTTGAAGCTCCATGTTGGTGTTGAGAGAGAAGTTCCTTGCCTCATTGCGTCCCTTCCAAGAAACTCATGTCTGCGCTGCAATTCTCTCAGACTCAATTCTGTGCCAAGCCATGGATTCGCAACCCTTCCTTTGCGAACAAAGACAGAACATACTTCGCCGGAAACCTTGCAGCTCCGAAGCTCAAATCAACAGGCGGTGCCTTTGACCAAGCCAAGCGTCATCTTTTCCTGTTTAGTGGTTCCTGCTGCATTCAAGTTGACGTATTCAACCCAAGACTTCCTTTGAGGAAGCCCTGCGAAATCCGGGAATTGCCGCCATGTAGGCTTTGCACAAGTGGACGCCCCTGGAACCCAACGCATTGCTATGGAAGCCCAGCACCCCAGACTCTTCAGGGGAGACGCGCGGAAGCGACCAAGGCCCGCACGCCATCAACCGCCAGGTACACGAGGTAATGAGTCACCTGAAAGCAAATCACTTCCCATTGGCCAGAACTCTCAACGGAATGGCGTTGGATTCGCCATGGCGCATGGAAGAGATGTACATTGCAACTTTGATATGAAGAAGGTCATGCCCATTCATGCCCTTATGCCCTTATGCCCTTGCAAGTCAGGAAGGCAAGAATCTGGGTAGTCACAAGGCACAAGATCTTGGGCAAGTCAGTCCAACTGTTCCCATTTCGAGATGGAATACGACTCTAGATGTCTGCTTTACAACATGCCGATGTGATGATGCGTTAAGGGTCTGATCTTACGGGACTGGAGGGAATGCCGGTGCACAGCCGTTTCCGCTCAAGGCATCGCAGCTTCGCCAGCTTCTTGCTCATGCTTTGCAAGTCGGCACATGGAAACCTCTATCACTAAACCAGCCAATGTGTCTCATAGAACACCGACGGTTGGTTTCGTCTTGGATTTCCTTTAACACCATCCCGCAGCTTTTCTCAATGCAGGTCTTCAAGGTGGTCCTTCATGGGCAGAAACTTTTGGACAGGACCGCCCTGCCTCTGTCGTGTCGGAGGGCGGCTGCCACGTGAGATATCCTGCCAAGGACACGTTGAAACGGCAAGCGACGTCTTGGATTCCATGGAATTTGTTCAGTCCTCCAAGCCCGCGCAACGCACTTACACGCAGGACTTGTAACTAGGTGGACCTGTTCTGTTGGAACCCTGACTCTAAAACACACAACAACAAGGAACCTGAAAACATGGTCAAAGGTAAAAAGGTCGGCTTCGGGCAAGCGAGCGTACCAAACGCCAATGATACACGTCAGAGAAGGGTGATATACTCACCTGTTGGGATGGATGAAATCTCATGGAAAGCAGCACGGAGCTGCTCCGCACCCACTCCAAAGCCTCTCTGGGCAGAGACGGAGACAAACGCTGCTTGGGAACTGGGCCATTATGAACACCATACGATTGATTCTACCTTGCCTCGCATCTTGATCGGGTTGACCATGACTGGCCCAGCAACGTCAACCACTTGCTGTGTACGCCGATATGTTGCAAGCTGCAAGAGCTGGCTTCATTGGGTTCGCTGCATGTAGCAAGAAATGGTCAGCCAGGCGGCCTGTCCCATCGCCTAAACTCCCATAGGCCCACAGGAGATGGGCATGTTATTCAAACTGGAATCCAACTGTCCTGCTTCGGGGTTTAACACACCTGTTGACCGCCAAGGACCATTGGACAAACAAATCCTTATCAACCACTGAATCCCGCTTTGTTTCACCCATCAACCCCACCGTGTTCCGTTGAGACCCGAAACAAAACCCCGGTTCATGGAGATGCGTTCCTCAAGCGTGCCCTAGCTAAGGGATTCATTTGGCTCTGCGCCAAAACAGGGAGTTGGACCAAGATGGACTTCGGTGTTGCTTTTGGCTTCCCTGCAAACCACCCCAAAAAACGGCACTCTTAAACTAAACAACCCCATTTCAGCCCTGACATGGTCAGCTTTGGGCAGCCACACAATAGCTTGAAACCTGCGGGGCCCCCGACACAACGGGCCTTGGTGTTTTGGTGATACTTCTGTCAAGAGAGGCCATGGCTGGTTTGCCACCAAGAGTCATGTTGGGCGCAAAAAAGAACGGGGCGGGCTAGCGCGCTGCTTCAGGGGTTCGAACACCAGTCAACGCCCAAAGCGTTCTGGCCTCCCAACTGGCCCGCGTCCAGGTCGCACTCGGGGAAAGACAGGTTCTGGACCTGCCAGGAAAGCACCCAACGCTCTTGGCTTGGTTTGCTGGGGATTTGAAACCAGGGGTTCAAGTGGATGAAAGGGAGACTAACTGTCAAAGCTATGGTCAACTATGTGCGATCTGAAGAGAAACTCATTCCATGAAGGTTGCCAAAGCTGGAAAGCTGTCTTTCCTGCGGTATTTGCGCCAATCCACCCATTCGTTGTTGTCGACCCCCAACCAGTTGTTCCAGCCCAAAAGGCGAAATTGAGGTCAAACATAAGCTGGGGGTCGTACAAACAAGATCTAAGCCAACATATGCGGTTCCCGAAGAGAATACGCTGAAATCGGTGAGTCCCTCCAGGTGTTTCTGGGAAACATAGTGAGACCACAAAAAAACAGATCCCTTCTAGGTGGACCATGTGACACAAGGTCCATGGATGACCAAGCATGTCAAGAACTAGCGACTCCTTTTGACGGCGGCAACTGACATAGATACTCACTAGTTTCTAACGCATCATTTGGTTTCTTCTCGCGATTTTGCTCAAAACATGACCGGGATGGGGCTGGAAACTGGGTAGTCCCCCTCATCCTCAAATTTACCTTATCCGTTGCTGGTGGCTTCTTTTCAGGGGCGTTACTCATGGTTGCGGCGGAAGGAGATTTCGGGGGCCTTCCTGAGGTGTGGCAAGGCGCCGTGCCATCAATGTCGTCCAGCAGGAGTGACACGGGCGTGGTCTGCGCCTGGAATTCCAATGCGTCCAAACGTTGTCGTGCAGTTAGGATCGGAGTCTGAAAATCCCTTCGGGCCAGACCCAGGTTTCCCTCATAAAGTCGGTCACTCTCTGAACCATGGGTTGTCGGAAGCAATTTCACCAACCCTGTCCCACTCCTGGAAGCCACACCTGGTAACTTCGCAATGAGTTCATGATACGTGGCCGTCTCTGCCTTTTGACGGCCACTCAAAAATGTTAATTTCCCCTATCAACAAATGCATCCTGCTCATCGATTTTCGCAGACCGGGTCCCCCACTTTTGACAAGCCAGATCCAAAGCGATACTCTGAAGGCTTGCCAAACCCCAGGTACTCCAGGACCCAAGCTCCTTGTACCCCGTAGCCAAAACAAGTGCATTTGCTTCGGATCATCTGAGACCCACAAAAAACCCTATGAGCAACAAATCCTTTGGCCCCCAGCCAAGTCGGGTGGGGTGGGGGCGTATTTAGTATTCAGGGTTGGCGATTCATGATCATTCACCTGAAATCAGGAACCCTGAGACCTGCCTTTTAGATGAGCTTCTACTCTGTGGCCTTGTTCTCGGCTTTGCAGAAACAAAGGAACCCTTTGTTTAACGTGATTCAATCCCTTCTCGGAGAGGTCCAAGCTTTTCTAGGACACATTCATATGGGCATGTCCTTTTGGAGGAAACATGCTGAACAAGAACTGGTGCTTTTGGTGCTTTTCTGGCTGTTTGCTGTTTCAGGCTGTGATGTGTCGAGTTACAGTTGCGAGCAGGGCTGGGGGAGGGGGACATGCATGTTACTGTCGTTACGTGTTGATGCATGGCCAATGTTGTTTGCAGATGCTGGCCAAAAGCGTCTGAAGAGCCACCACGTCAATCACAACAAACATGATTTGCTAGAAGAGTCTCCGTGACAAGGGGAGCGCGCAATCAATGTATAGGCAAATGGTGGCAATCATTGCAAGACTATGTGCCAACTCAGCTTCACTCTAATTTGTTTCGCTACATACATAGCTTCGTTTGGAGGTATCAGCTCCCACTGAGAAGGATTTCTGCTGTACGTTGGCTGTAGTTTGTTCATTGGATGTTTGACAATTTATGCATAAACACGATGCTGTCCTAATCCTCTGGTTCACTGCCAGAATAGCCAGGGGAACCACGTGTGACGGCGCTTTCGCCTCCAGGTTGTTTCGCAGCCTATGACCTGTTTGGAAGGTGCCTTTTTGGGGGAACCCAAACGGAAATAATGTTCATCTCTCCCGTCGTGGAACCAGAGGGTTGCGTTTGGACAATTGGGCTGTCAGGTTCTAATTTATATGTTCCTCGAAACGCTCGACACGCACCTCCAAGGATGATACAGAGTAGACCACGAGGTAGGAAAAGCTGCTGGACGGAGTCTCCACCGGTACCGTCACCTTCGGTGAAAAAGCCCATGAATAAGGCCTCTGATTTCACCGAACATATGAAAAGTATGGAAATCCTTGACGTGGGGCTGCACCCTCCTATCCTTGTCTTGTTTCTGGAGGGTAGAGGCACCCAGCATCTAACAGATCCAACCTGTGGCCCAAAAATCTGAGGCGAGGCAACCCCATTTCTGTTGCCATGCGGCATCCCGCATGAAAAATCTAAAATGCTCGGGGCCAGCCTTCAACAAAAACTGGCTGTCCTTCTAGAAATGTCTGGGAAGGCCAAGAGTTGGGGCTGACCAGGGGGCCATCCTTACACGGCTGCAAAGCGTGAGTTCGCGTGTGCTTTCGGGGCTGTCCTTAATGTTGCTGACAGACCTGCTAGTTGTTCAGAGCGTATTGTTTGCTCAGGACAGAAACGCATTCAGGGCAGGAGGTTCCGTGATGTTGCGGAAAAGGGCGCCAGAAATATCGAGGGCAAGGGGCTAGGGCAACGCTGTTCCAAATCCCTGCAACTCCTCAAGCCTTTGGCTCCATTTGCCTTGCAATGGATTCAACTTGGAAGAGACAAACGACAATATCCCGTGTTGCTCCTTTGCCTCTTTACCGCACATGAAAAACCAGCCAATTCTGAGATGAATCTTTTGCCCCGAGCTTTGGCTTCGAGTTCAGGTGCCAAGACCTTGTATGGCGATTGTAAGCCCGAAAGCATTCGGTCTCAGGTCAGCCAGGAGGCGATATTGGTGCCAACCGGGATGCTGTCGACTTGAGATTTCACGCTACCGGCAGTGTCAGTGGCGAGGTAGACGCCTCAGCGAACGAGCGTCGCTTCGTTTGACAACGCAATCGATTGCAGTGTCGGCCAAGCTTCTTGTCTGCAGAACAATAAGCTTCCCTCTAATGGTTTGCATTGGTAGTTTGGTGAGGCAGTTTCCAATTTACCCACAGGAACCAGGGTTCAAATTTCCAGTTCCCACCAACCCGGATACCTCAGATAACCAACGGAAGAAACAGGAAAATGGCCTGGCGGCTCGGCCGATCACGGACCTTCCATGTCCAGGTTTTTCGATTCAGAGAGTATGGATTGGTGCTTTATTTGTTTTTGCTGAACAAGGGATGCTGTGAACATTTTGCCATCCACCAAGCCAACCGAGAACGCAGATGGAGGTGAACGCATGCGCAGGCAAGGCGATGTTGACAGGCGCTGCGCAAGCAATACTTGGTTGACAGGCGCTACGCAAGCAACGCTTTGTTGACAGGTGCCCGGCATGCATGTCTATGCTGACGAGCGCGTGTCCAAAGGATGTAAGGCTGTGGAGGTGTGTCTCAGAATGGGTTGGACCCCAGTTCCAGACTGCAATGAAAGAATAAATCTTAAGGGCGCGAATCATTTTCAAAGTTCCCTATGTTGAGACATGCCAACAAGGACCTCCTCATTTCATCAGTCCCCAGTCGCATGGATACCCCCTGGCCAGGCAAATAATTAACATGAGTTACCTGAGCAGCTCTTTTTGTTGTTTAGCTGGATATTTCTGCAAAGGAACTGGGTAGTATCTCTATGTAAATCTGTCTGTGTGTGTGCGCGCGGGACCAAGTGTGGTGGACCAAATGCAATGTTACATGAACATATGTGAGAGTGTCCCTGAAACCTTCATGACTGACAAGTGAGCCCCATCACAACAAACCCGAAAGCAATCCAAAAACAACTTGAAAATCAATCAACAAATCAATCAAACAAAAACAAGTAGCAAGATCAATGCACAAATCAATATAAAAACCAACAAACATAGCAAAACAAAAAACAAAACAATCAATATCCGCCGACGTTGGGGAGGCGTGCTGGATACTTAAGAGAGGCTAGAGGATAACCCCCCCCTGCTCTGATACGTAGGGTTCAGGGGTGGGGGGTCCCACGATGTCCCACGTACCGTGCGGTAATCTTGACATCCTTTTTGCGAAAACGTGGGAAAAACCGTGTTTGTTTGTTTTTGTTTTGCGGGAAAAATACTGGGATTACTGGGGAGCAAAGGGGAAATGCAAGGAAGTGCAGGGAAATAAGGGAAGGAAACGGGAAGTCGACATGACAGGAAAGCAAGGGGAAATGAAAGGGAAACAAAGGGGAACTGAAAGGGACATGAAGGGGAAAGAAATGAAAACAGGGGGAGTGCAGGGGGAATGAAAGGGAAACAAAGGATAAGGAAACCAAAGGACACGAAGGGAGATGTAGGGAAATGACTGGCACCGAAAGAACGGGACATACATGGAAAATGAGGCGGACATACCGAGAAAATGACAGGGGCATGAAGGGGGAGTTGAAAAGAATGGAAGGGGACATGACCAGGACATCATGGGAAATGGCGAGACGTGAAAAGGACATGAAGGGAAATCCAGGGAAAGCCAGTAGAAGCAAACAGTTCAGGGTCATGAAGGGGCACGAGGCAATTCAGGGAGGACATGACGCTCCAATGCAGAGAGAGAGAAAGAGACAGAGAGAGAGAGAGAGAGAGAGAGAGAGAGAGAGAGCGAGAGAGACACAGAGAGCGAGAAAGAGAGTGAGAGCGAGAGAGAGAGAGAGACAGAGACAGAGCCAGAGTCAGAGTCAGAGACAGACAGAGACAGAGTCAGAGAAAGACACGGAGAAAGAGACAGAGAAAGAGACGGATAAAGAGACAGAGAAAGACAGAGAGGGAGACAGAGAGAGAGAGAGAGACAGAGAGAAAGAGAGAGACAGAGAGAGAGAGAGAGAGAGAGAGACAGAGAGAAAGAGAGAGACAGAGAGAGAGAGAGAGAGAGAGAGAGACAGAGAAAGACAGAGAGGGAGACAGAGAGAGAGAGAGAGACGGAGAGAAAGAGAGAGACAGAGAGAGAGAGAGAGAGACAGAGAAAAAGAGAGAGAGACAGAGAGAGAGGCATGGAGAGGAAGGAGAAATGGAGACAGAAAGAGAAAGAGAAACAGAGAGAGAGAGAGAGAGAGAGATTGAGGAGAGAGAGGATTGGGAGGATGGGCAAGATGGGGAGGAGAGGGATGGAGAGAGGACGAGGGAACACACGGGGGAGGAGACAAGAGAGAGAGCAAGAAGGAGAAAAGGGAGAGGTGAGAGGACAATGTCGGCGGACTGAGCCGGAAGCTCTAAAGTACAAATTAATCTATGTTCAAACCGAAATCAAAAAGATGAACGGAGAACTGTTGAACAAATCATATGTGTTTCAAAATCAGAATCAATCTAAAAACCTGAAAATTTATTGATAAGGATCAACACTCGATTATGTTTGAGATGCAATGAACGCAATACCCTGAATGCTGAAGAAGAAATCCTCGTGAAGCTTGCTGCGATGTCTGAAAAATTAATGACTTCATCCCATCCCCCCCCCCCCCACCCCATCCCCCCCCCCCAACCCGGTCAAGTCCCTGAAATTTGCACAACAACTACACGTCGTGCGGTTTTCGCTCGGTAGGCAAAAAAATGGCATCCTTGGAAACCATACCATATCATTTGCTCCGGGTCAACATCCCAGGCGAGATACCAGCGTTGCACCTCGAAGTTGTTTACACTGAAGAGTCACTACACCCTGCATCACCCTGCCATGCGACACATCCCAACCACTCTGCATTGCCTTGCGGATTGGTTTGAATCCAAATATGAAGCAACTCAGACTGGGCCTCGATTGCCATTGCTCAACCCAAACCCAATGGTGCAGAGAGCTCAAAGTTCTCAACCGGAAGCCTGGGAAGTCTGGCGCTTCTCATTGTCCCGATCTGACATCGGGGCTACCCGCGGTTAAGGTCAAGGAGCTGTAGGACAAGACCCGGCCGTCCAAAGTGCCAGGCGGCTGCCAGGACCTCCGAGTGCCATGGATCAGAACAAATCCACTGGACGTTACACCTATACTTGGAACCTTCAAAGTTCTTGGTGGACAAATCCCCAAGGAATTTTGATGACCAGCTTGGGTCCCCTATTAAACTTCATTGCATGATCGTCACATAAAGCTAGCAGTTTAGAAACTGGGGAAGTGAGTGGCAACTTGGCTCACTGGAACGGAATCGGGCCCCAGGGAGACTCATCCTGGGGGCTTGTGGAACAAAGGGACCGACGGGTGCAGCAGTCCTAAAATCGCACTTGCACAGAGACCTGACCTGTTCCACATTCACGCGCACTTGTTGAATCACAGATGATACGCAACTGAATGTCACAGGCAGATTGTCGGACACAACCTGCGTGGAAGGTGCAAGAAATGGAGACACGCCTGTTCTGCATGCCACAAAGACCGGAACTCTGGGCAAAGACATCGTGCAGCCAACAGGTCCAAGTGCCCGGCGCATTGCCGCCCAACTCGCCAGAGTCCAAATCCTGGCGGGACCACTCGAAATTCACCCCTTGTGCCCGTGGGCCAAAGAAAAACTGAAAGGAAAGTGGAAAAGCTTCGCATGGAACCCTCGTTTCCCTGCCAAAGGACCGGCGTAGCACGTAAGAGCACTGAGTTTGTGCCATGGAGATTCCGGTGGGAGGGCCCTTGGTGGGGAGAGTGGGTGGATGGAGCAAGTCCTGGGAGCATTTTGGGGAACTGTGCCCTTGAACTGCGCAGCTTGGTTGTCCCCAAGTCTTGACACATGCCCAATTTGGCGTGGTTTTGAGGGTACCCTGTCCAAGGTTGCCTAAAACGCAACACAAAGCAAAACAGTGCTTGGGTTCTGTTGGGTTGTTCAAAGGGAAAAGCAAAGGAACATCATGGACAACCCCCTCATTTTTGTAGGGGTCCCGTACTTGCTCCCTCTATGGCCTGGTCACTGAAGCTGAGGTCGGACACGGATCCATCGAGGTCGGTGACCGCCAGGGCGGTTGGGGTACTCTGCTCCAGCAAAGATGAGCTGGTGTAAACCAGGCCTCAGTTAGGTGACCCCAAGTGATTCGGATAAACGGCTTCAACTTGATCCTCAAAGTTAGGATCAAGTTGTTGCAGGTGGATGAGAGTCTGCGACATCCCAAACAGAGCTATACACAGAATTATCTTTGGGCGCAAGCCATCAGAACCCACTTGTGACAACCTGTCTAGAGCGCGTCCCTTGAGTTAGCGGTTCGCGGGGTCAGCGCCCGCCTGGTTCATTCAAAGCTAGGCTTCTGAGTCAAAACCTGGTACGGCATGACAGAGACACGCGCCCGGGACTGGCCAACCTTCAAATGCCAGTAGGTCACCGGCCCTGCAGAGTTTTTGTGCCGCAGGGGCGATTGCAGGCTTGGGTCTCAGCAAAGATATAAGGCAAAAGTCGAGCGCATTTGCTCAACCCACAGAAGCTTAGGTTGTGGGGATTGGGACCTTCAGTTGCTTGGGTCTCAACCAAAATCATGTCCCCCTAAGAACGATAGCTTCCCTCTTGCTTTCCCTTAAGCTACCAACCAAAGGCACCAGTGAAACTAAACGGACACCAGTGCCAATCTATTCTAAACTGAACCGGCAAGCATTGGACATGTGCCTCGCGACCACCGGCATGTGCAATGTGATGTTTCTCGGCACCGTATGATCTAACCCAAACGGGGAAGCTGCGCCATCCAGTTTCACCCAACTGATCTTTGGGGACCTGAAAAAAAACACAGCATGGCATGGCACCGGGGTCGGTTCAAATGCTCTAGTGCGGTATCAAACCACGGTCAGCTGCATCCTATTGATGTTGATGGAAAGCAGGCAAGCTCCAATCCTGCAGCGGAGATTTGGTGATGGTACGCTGCGCGATCCCCATGAAGAATATCACCGCTAGGCCCTGCCAAAAAAGGGTAATACATGGTAATACTCAGCTATAGTCTCAGCTGAGCGAACTCACTAAAAGGGTTCCCTCAACCCACACACACACACAGTCACAACATGGCATGGCGATTGCTTGTCCCGTCGCAGTGCGTGAAGCCGGTGAAGTTCGTGTTCGCTGGGACCTGAAACCTCAGGCAATGGTGACATAATTTCAGCGCAGTCCCCGAAAAATCGGTGAAAAGGTTCCGGGGAAAAGCACTCAAAACAAGGGAGCCCTTCAACAATAGTGACAAGCACAAAAGGTCGATCCTTCCTGAAAGGGAGAGAACCCTCACAGAACTTGTTGACGCAAAGAAAGTCACAAATTATTGCGCAGCTTCGCCGGGTTTGCCCGGAGTCTCCTGGGATTGACCAACCGCGACTCCCGCACTGCTAAACCCTAGGAATGATGGTCAGCCCCTGTGCTCTTTGCAGGCCCCCGTATTGGAAACAAAGGAGTGAAGTGAAACGAATGCCAAGTAATGGAGAATGGATTCGCAGAACTGCAAATCAACTTCAACATCTACTGCCAGTTCCTGAAAGAGGCTCGATGAAGTGGGGGCAATCCGCTGGCGCCAGCTCTCTTTGTCCGGTGCACGCAGGCACCTGGCTCTGGGCTCCTGTGTAAGCTGAACCAGGGTTGTCGTTTTGAATAGAGCCCTCACTCAGGTGCAGCAAATGGCGTCCGCAGATCTCACTTCATCTGCCGCTTCTTGGGGTGCAAATGATTCCCGGGCCAGTGGAAGTCCCCGCATTCCCGGATCATGCGCTTGCCCCGCAATGAGGCATTGTCCTAGGCTTATCCAGCGACAGAGCCCCGGGTCCACGAGCACTCTTCCCCCATTCACATAAAGACCCTGCAACAGCAGCCACGAGCAGTGTGGAAATTGTTTGATGACTTTGTCGGGTCACCCAATGATCTGAGACTACATGAATCCAATAAAAAATAAATTGTAGGCGTCAAACGCAGGGCTGCATTCCACATCGACCTCCGGTCGGGAAGCACGTTGCTCTCGCTGGCATTGTAGTTGTTGCCAGACACCTAGGACAGTCAGAATTTCGTGAACAAACTGCTCCAAATAGACCAATGGAGAGGTTTCAAAGGGAATGAATGAACGTGCCAAACCCCTTGGAGATCTCAAAAATAAGTGACTCGAGGAATGTAAGCACATCAGGGGCAATTGTCTAAACTAACTCAACTGGGGTCTTTTAACAACTTTCCAACAGGTCTGTTTGCATGGACGTATACTGTAGGTGCATATTAGGTCTTCATCACAAAGTCTGTGGCGCCATAAGAGCCAAAACACATCTTTCGAGCCCATGCGCCTCAAGCAACAAAGCATGGTCTCATGTGCTTACGGAAGAGCGCAGTACACACTATCCCCGCAATCTGTCTAAGCATCTCAACGTGCTCCCAATGGATCCGTAAAAATATACAAGCTTCAATTCAAGGTTGCCACGGGCCCGCGCGGGGCCCGGCGCAAGCCAAAAAAGGTTGGGAGACGGGGAGAAGGTTGGGAAGAGCTTGCGGTTGGGACAGCGGAGCGGGATAAATGGATTTCCCTGGGAGTAAGCTAGTTTCCAGTTTGCTGTGGGACAGGGGTGGCTGGGGTTTAAAAAGCAAATGGCCTGACCCGATGAGTGAAAAACGGATGGGAAGCGCTGGGAGAGCGGTGGGAGGCTGCTGGATGTGCTTTTCGCAGCTTTTCTGGGCTCTTCCAAGCTTTTGCAGAGCTTCAGCCAGTTGCAAGGGATCCCTTAGCTTTGTCGGGCAGGTAACTTTTGAGGCCGCTTCCGAAACACAGGATGGGGATCCGGCGACATCTTGCCACGAATCTTCATGGCACTTATTGGCTCGGTGTACACACCAAGCACTGCTTCAAAACGGGTCCCGAAATCAGCAATCCTTGTATGAAATCTGTTGGCCTGTGCAAAAACGAAGTGAGCAGGGCCAAAGCCAATCGACATTCGGTTCTACCAGTGGTTGCACAGCCACCCCGATGAAACCAAATACAGTAGTTCCGAGGGCTATGTTGGAGGCCTATGCTGCAATCCGCGCAAGGATACCAAAAGAAAAGCGTGACAGTGCAACCGTGTTAAGTCTACAATTGGGGCATTCAACTTGCTTCCCATCAGAAGTCAATGCTAACATGGCCAAGTTGGGGCATGCAACTTGAATTTCCCATCAGAAATCCATCCAACCTGTCCAGGAGTCCTTCGTTTGGGTGCAAAACGGGTATGGGTCAAAATTAAACCACCAGGGGACCGCAGGTTTTGATCCATGTTTAATAGGGTTCCATTTGGGGTACCTATTTTTGCCCCACAGCCAAACGACCCAAAACCTCCCGCTGCGCTCCAGACCGACCGCGCCGAGCCGCGTCCACGTCCACGCCCACCTGAAACCGGGCGCTGCCGGCCGCGTCGGAGCCCAAAAAGACGCGGAAGGCGGCGACGTACGTCACTTCCGCTGGAGGTGTCCTCGAAGGAAAGCGACTGGGCTGTCGGGGGGAGCCAGACCAGTTGCTCTAAACGGACCTCCGGACTCATTTTTCGGCCCAAACTTTGAGCTCAACCTTAACTTACTACCTTCGGAAAACGGGTCCAGGCTGGTCTACAGCCAACCATTTTTGGGGCTTCACCTTGAAAAGGAGCTCCTGCAGAGTACGTAACTTGGAAATGAATCCTGGAGACCCCTTCGGGTTCAGCATGAAATTGCAGTCGGTGTGCTGCCTAAACTGGTTGGGTGTGTCTCAAATAGGCGGTTGGCAAACCACAATGTTTTGGGTAAGCTTTCCCATGCACCTGCAATATGGCGGGAAAAGTGAGAACCATGCTGGAAACGGGATGATCATCCCTAAGTCAACTCAACTGTAAACTTAGGACGTAACTGTGACGTAACCATTCTCTTTGTTCAGCATTTGAGGCAAGGGCGAAAATGCCTGCGAGATGTTGAACCAAACGTTGACCCTTCCAAGTCTCCCTTTTGCCTGAACAGCCTTCTTTTGGTGCTCCAAAAAGAAGATTTACCAGGGAGCTGCTGAAACCAACTTGGCATTGTCAACCTTTAAGGGGCTCCAAACAGCTGCTTTCCCTGCGGAAAGTGTTGCAACAAAAAACACCATGTCTGGACGTCTTGGATCAACGGTTGAGACAACCAATGAGCAATAAATACCAGGACTCAATGGCTATCAACTGATTCCATTTGATAGCTGTCTCCCAGTCACCTGACAGGGAAACCGCATAAATCACATACCAACTGGTACAGGAATCTGTCCCTCCACATCCGAGCTCCAAAACCACTCTTCAGACCAATCTTGGAACACTATTCAAAACAGAATCGAAGCGTTGCTCAATGCGGACGGGAGGAAAGCAAAACATGAGCCCGGGAAAAGTGATGGGGGTACTCCCAGATGCCCAGTGGCCATTGAAAAAAAACACGCATCCGTTTTTTGGGTTGGTTGACTTTAAAGGGGAACCCTTCCCCCCAAAAAAACTCAAAAAACGGGCACCACTGGGCAACTGGCACTGCAAAGGCTTATGAAACCTAGGCCGGTGCCATCAGCTCGCTGAGCGCGCGGCCAATCCAAGGTGCCTCCCACTTCCCCACCGTCCAGGTCCAGGTCTGGAAAGACCTGGGCCATGGGAAATGACCCGCCTGGAAAACCTGGGCGACCTGGGTATCACAGAAAGTGTCCCTAAACCCCTATTTCTCACCGTGCCCGGGGCTGCAAGTCTATGACTGCTCCTGGGGAAACATGTCGTGACCAACAACACAACATGAGTTTGGTGTGCGAAAACAATGTGATGTTGCCTCCACCAATGGTCAACAGAAACAACCGGGCTCAACAAAACATGAGCCCCTGCTCCTGCTGCACAGTTTGTTTGCTGACTGGTGGCGACATGCTTCAGTGTCTGAAGTTCAGCATAAGCCATAAGCTTCATGTGTGGCTTGGATGGGGGGCTTGGTGTACTGACCAGTGTGAGCCACAGTCAAAATTGCTCAATTGCCCCAAGAGGAGGTTCCCCTCCAATCATGTCATGGCCTCCCCAAATCAATTGTAGACTTGCGCGAACCGAGCATGCTGCACTCACATTAGTGTCATCAGTTTAGGGTACCCTGATACGCAAATAAATGAATGGCCATAATCTCCTGAAAGTAAACATACACGAGGAATTCCCAAAAGAACACTCTTCTGCAAGCTGATGTTAGTTTGATTGCAGGGAGCACTATTAGCTGTTCATGTCA